GGGGTACAACCAAGACCGGGGCTGGAACTAGTAGAGCGGGGGAAGGAGCTAGGAAAACTGCTAGGGAGCCATGTCAGTAGCTGAGAGGGTTGTGCAATCCACTGTCATGCCTTTTTGCTATTTATGTTTCCGTAGTTGGCGCCACCGGAGGCATCTTGTTTCTGGGCCTTCCTCGACAACGAACTGCTTCGCGTCGAAAGACTTGGACTGCCACTGCTGGTCGTCAAGGTCAGCTCTCCCGTCTTCTCAACCACATTTTTGCTCTCTTGTTTAGTGTGTTGACGTCGGCTATGGGTCGTACTGAGGGCCGCCGTAGAAACTGCAGTCGCGCATTTGCCCCAAACGGAAATCACAGGCGGGTCCCGTAAACCAGTGCTCACGACTCAAATCATTAAAAAATTATTAGCAGCATTTTCGAATTTGGGTAAGCAAAGCAAGCGTGACCGGTGAACGTCGCGCGAAGTTACCGGTACCCCCAGTGACGACGTCCTACGTCCATAGACATGCGACGGTTATCAAGCCAGGCGAGCCTACCGATACCACCCCGTCAGGACCATTTTGTGTTTTCGGGAGGTCCCGAAATCTTGGAGTCACTCAGTTACTTCACATTGGATCCATGACGAATTCATGCACAACCGAAGATTGTCAATCCAGCCATTGTAGCCGGCTGCCATATAGTTACATCGGCGACAGTGGCAACAGTACCGAGCACACTCAGGTTCCACTTTGCTCACTACACTCCGGTATAAGTACCTCGCATTGGATCCCTATGATGAATATATACACAACCGAATATTGTCAATCCTATTGATCTATAAAGTGTCTATCTAATGAAAGGAGTGGTCTATTGGTCGGTAATCGATGATCTATTATCTTATGAGTTATCTATCTATCTTTATCGTACGAAAGAAGCAAGTCGTTCGCCCGAGGACTTGTGCATACAGGAAAGTGGGTACTGTACCGACACATGAATCACCACCAAAACACTACGAAATAACACTGGGGGGATAAATCCAGTAGTAGGATCCACTCTCTTGTGTATTGTTGGCTCGCTCATGTTCCCTTTTCAATGACTCGACGACGATCTCCTCCGTTCAGGCTGCTGATAGGGCTTGAGTTAACAGAGCCTCTTCCGTAACGGCAACCTCTTCCTCTTCTTATCAGGAGCGATCGACCATCCACAATGGTATTTCCTCGGCCGTCCGCAGTACACCAGAGAAAACAACAAATAGATATGAGTATTGTTTTCTGTGCTCAACTGCAGACGACCGGAGACTTACTCTTGCTTATCAAATTGTACCAACTTGGTCGTCATGGGCCGAGAACTGACTGCCATCACATGGTCCATAGGATTCAATAAGGGATGGCTTTCGAATCTGCACCGAACACGACCGGCTTGAGTGAGGCTTGGATAATAGAGGTGTGATCGATTCGATTCGAATAATTAAAACAATTCACCCATTGACGGCCGAGATCTGACTGCCTGCCCATGATCCATAGAAATGAATGAGGGATGGCTTTCAACTCTACACCTTCAACAACACTCTTGATAATAGACTTACCTTGTACGGTACCAATCGTTCGATCAATCGATCAATCGAAAGATCGAGTCAACAATGGGATTTCTTCGGCCGTCGGCAGTGAGAGAACAGAAAGTAACAAATGAGTATGTGTTTCTCTTCTATTCTGGTACTGAGGAAAACCGGAGACTTCTTCTTGTTTCAATTTCTTCCAACTTGATCGTCATCGACCGAGAAAAGAAAACCTTCCCGATCTGGTCCATTTTCAATGGGGAAGGCTTTCTCGTCTGAACCGGAGAACGTCAGCTTGTCTTCAACAAAATACACCATAACCTTAGTAACTTCAACGGTTCTTTTTATCCACGAATCGATCTAAATCTTTCGAAAGAGAACCTGTTACTTAATGATACACATGACCGTTGATTCTGCAACTGACATGTTCCTACTGTTTTTTCGTATAGTGAACGCCGGCAAATCGATTTCAGAGTGCAACTGAGGGGGTAACCAAGAGGAGCGCCGTCTCAGGAGATAGAATAACCCGCACCCTCTCGCATTTACCCATGATTCGTTACTCACAATCTAGTCACAAACCCTCATTCACCCGCACGAACCCACGAAGTCCCCACATAGGTTCGGACAAAAGGAAAGAGGACAATAAGCGCCGGGCAAGCTTGGCGAAAGACTTAACAAATCTTCTGGAAAGCATCCTTTTTTGGATCGGAGTTTCAGGGGAACGTTCCGAGGCCTCCAAGCATGTTTGAATGGTTTATCATTCTAATTAGCAATTTGACCAAGACATTACAACATGTTGTGCCTTGTATAACAGGGATTTCGGCTTAAATGTTTCGTTTGAGGAAAATGCTTCGGAACGATAGCACGAAAATGCGCGCCGGGCAGCTAATGGCCCCTCTGAACCGATGTGTCACTACCCGTTGCAGACTCGCATTAACCCGCACGCGGGTTGAAACAACGGGTTTCGCGGGTTGATGATGGCAAAGCTTTCAGTTTTTGGGGGTACAGTCGTACCTGGGTTACTCGGCATTTTGTCAGTGTTTTGGCGATTAAGTGATCCTTATGTAAATGTCTACACACTGTTAGTAGACATAAGTAGACAAAGTAGACATTGTGCGACTTTAGGAGACATTAGTAGACAAAGTGATACATTGTGAGACATTGGTAGACAAAGTGAGACATTGTGAGACATTGTGAGACATTGTGAGACATTGGTAGACAAAGTGAGACATTTTGTACTGTTTTACTGTACTGTGTAGACAAAGTGAGACATTGGTAGACATTAGTAGACAAAGTGATACATTGGTAGACATTGGTAGACAAAGTGAGACATTGTGAGACATTGGTAGACAAAGTGAGACATTGTGAGACATAAGCCATTTTTTCTAAGGAGCATAGAACATTTAGGCAACTCTGTAATCAGATACAATAGCTTAAATAGACAGAATGCCGAGTAACCCAGGTACCAGGTACCTGGTACCGAGTGTGACGTAAGCGGAGCCCCTCTTGGAGGAGATAAGAACGTAAGATTTTATCAAATGCTAGCTACTAGCTAGCTAGTAGCCACCAAGAAGCGAAGGACTAAACTGGGCCCCAAAGGAGGTCGCTACTGGTACCAGTGATTGGTTCCTCGGCTCGTTCGTAGATAGAGGCTTACGGTACCTTTCAACGCACCGGTACCGCAGTGAAGAGCCTGAGATGGAGGGGACGCAAAAAGCATCAAACATATCACTTACTCTCCACACCTTCGTTATACTTTTTGCGGGGATTTCTTAGTTTCATTGTGTATGTACAGCTTCATCCTTCGAGGATCTACAGTACAAACACCACAAGACAATCGTGTCAACGGACTCGTAACCAGAGGTCTTTGTCCACCCAATCTTTCTTCCCTTTGTGGCGTCTGTTGGCTTTTGGTCCCCAACCACATCAATCCTCTGTCTGTGATAGTAAAGAATCAATCCCCTGGATGTGGAGGTCGAAGATGAAAGACTGATTTTGCAAGATCGATGAGAGCGCGCTTCCGAGTTGGCCGTTTGTCATCATCATCTGTCTTCTACTAGATCAATGGAGGATGAAAGATGAGAGCCAAAAATGAAAGATTGATTTTGCAAGATCGAGATTGCTTTGGGTTGGAGGGCCGTAAATAGTAGGCCCCAAAAGGGGTTTAGAGAAAAGCCCGTAAAAGCTCAGTAAATTGGGGATTTAGAATCTTGCGTGAAGTGGTACAGAAAGCCCCCTAATTCCATTTCAGAAGAAAATCGTGCGAAAAAGCATCCTTCAATTGAAAGAAGGCAAACGCGCGAAATCATTTAAAGGAGAGGGAACTCCTAAAACAAGTAGACCCCAGAATAGAAAGGCTGTTGAACCTTTGTTAACCCGTACGACTCTGTCGTCAGGTCATTAGGGATAATACTCACGCCGGCCAGCCAAGTAAGAATGCTGGACTGGGTTACTTCACGTCTTTTTGGTGGCACAGCGCGGCAATGGCCTTCAGCGTCGAGTCTTTTTCTCCATTTCCCGACGCCGCCGCAGCAACAAAGCGCTCCAACGCCCATTATCGAAGCGCTCGCAACCAACCCCCCCTTTGAAACAAGAAGAGCAACAACCATCGACACTACTTGGCTGCAAGAGAACGCATTGATAGTCGATCGTCCCTTGAATAGAAGCAACCGTGGCAACCACCCCAACAACAACCGCAACACCGGGTATCGTCATGGTACGTCCTTCCGTCGCTCGTGTGTCTAGTAGACCAGTACTGGCCAGGCTCGTATGTAGAAGCTACGGCCAAATGTCCCGTACTGGTTTGGCAAGATCGATTGCCAATCGTTTCAAAGTTGTTGCGGCCCTTTCCCTTTCTCACTCCTTCTTCGCTTTCTTGTCCTCATTTTTTGTTTGTTAATACTTGGTCGGATCTACCAAACCCCATCAACCCATCTCACACCTACGCCTGGTCTTTCCATAATTTCTTTGATTGATTGTGGTCTTGCGTATTCGCCTCACTGAAAAATTTCACGATGAACTACTACGGCAATGGGTCCTCTTCGACCACACCTCGTGTGTCCTCTTTACTCCTGCTTCGATCGCTTCTCAACCGTCCTTCCACCACTGCTACTGGTACCATGGGTCCTCCTCTGCCACGCCAACGACGATCACTCCTTGGTCTTCACACATCACGAAACATTATGCCCTTTTTGAAAAAACATCGTCGTGATCATGCGGATGATTTGACGGTCATGACGGAATCAACGGCTGCGACTGTTGCCACTGCTGCTTCCTCAATATCTACTGCTGCTGCTGCGACTGTTGTTGATGATGAACAGAATCCAGCGGGCAAGAGACAACGCCGTCAGGCAGCCGCGACGGTCGTCCAAAACTTTGCCTCGTGGAGTGGAGTCGGTAAGAAATCCAAGGCACAACCAAGACCGGAAGTGCTGGTTCCACCGCGGGGAATTGGCCCTGTCGCAGAGCCCAACCAGAATGATGTGTAAGTGTCTCTTGTGCTCTCAAGTGGTCTGATGGAGACACACCTGTACTCACTCGCTCATCCCACCCTCCTCCTTTCGTTTCTCAGTCTCTGCGGACGAGGTGGAAGAATCAACTCTCACGAAGGAAATGTCCAATTCCGCGACATTGTCAATGACACCAAGAAGGACTATCTGGCCAAGTCCACCAAGAAGCTGGAAAAGGCTCACATTGCTGCGGGGGTGGTGCAGACAATTCGAAACATGGAACCATCGGGTCGATTCTTGAAGGAAGACTCCGACACCGGGATGTGGTGGGACATTGGGGATGCCAAGGCCATCAAAAAGGTCGGTCAGGCACTGCGTGAGGATGCTCCAGACATTCGAGAAGAACTCGATGAGGATGTTGATGGCAACGAAAAGGGAGACAATGGTGACAAGAAGACTGACAAGAAACCGGAAGGCAACAAAAAGGCGGCTCCTAAGAGCTCCCCCAAGCTCAAACCTGCCAACAGTGACGGAAGTCCCAAGAAGCATGTCATTGTCTTGCCCACTACCCGATCCAACAAGCGAGGGGAAGACAACAGTGTGGGTGCCATGCAACCACAAGCCAGAATGCTACAGCAGCAGCAACAAGCACAACAGCAGCAGCAGTTGCAGTTTCAGCAAGTCATTCCCTCCTCTGGCAACTCCATGGCACAAGTCTCCCTGCCAGGCTCCACTGGAACCCCTCAGCAGCAGCAAGTTTTCCCACCATCAGCGCAAAGTAGCAACTCGTCTGCTACTCTGCGACATGGTCAGTTCTCGCTGCGAGGGCAAGGTGCTATGTCCCAGAAGGCCATGGAAATGATGAACGCCCAGCAGATGCAAAATGGAAACATGATGATGAACAACGGCGGAGACGTCTTTGGGCGTGGGTTCAACCCACCCTCAGAGATGACTCTGGGATCTCACGGAAGCTCCGTTTCGGGATTGAGTGGCTTTACCAACTCGCAAATGGGAGGCTCTCTTCTCTCGGGATTGTCCGATGGTGTCTCGAGCTTGACAGCGGGTGATTCGTCGTACCGAAGACAACTCGCCATGCTCAATAGTGTTCAAGCACAGCAACTGGCGGCGGCGGGCATGAACGGTGGAGTGAACAATGCAGCAGCGTTGGCCGCCATGAACAACAATGCGGCACTTGCCATGAACATGAACAACGCCAACAATAACATGGGCCCTCCGGCCGTTGGCATGTTCCAAAATGCTGCTCGCGGCCCTGGCTCTGGAAACGGCGCCATGGGTTCGGGAAATGGTTCCGTCTACTCGGGAAGTCGGGGCAGCAACGGTTTCAACAACTACAGCGTCACTTCGAGGAGCGATCTCTCGGGACAAACCATGCCACAGGCGGCCGCCATCTTTGGTCGAACGTCGTCGCACAACGATCTGAGCAACTTGATCAGAGAAGATATGAGCATGACGGAGCATTCTCTTCTTGGAGGTGGAATTCGAGGCGACGCCAACAACTTCCGTCAACTGAACCAACAATACCAACAACAGCAGCTCCAACAGCAACTTTTGCTCCAACAGCAGGCTCAGTTGCAGCAACAACAGCAACTCCAACAACTCCCCCAGCAACAACAGCAACAGCTGCAGGCTCAACAGCAACAACAACAGCTCGAACAGCAGCAGTTACAAGAGGCAGAGGACGAGTTGCAACGGCGAGAACAGGCCGAAGCACAGCATTTGGACGGCATGGATGCTTCTATCATGAGTGGTTTCTCCTATGCCAGTTTCAACAATCGCGACGGCCGCCGCAGTCACAAAGATGGCATGGATTTCTCTGTGTTCTCCGGGGCTTCTTTGGCCAATTCTCTTGCTGGTACCCGGGCGTCCGCACGAGGAGCTGCGTATGCTCCAGCATCGGCACGATATGCACGTGGGGATCAATCGGTCTCTGCCCGAAGTCACGTCTCAAATTACAGTATCAGTGCCATGTCGCAATCCATTGCTTCTATGTCTCTGCATTCCGGCGCCTCGGTGGCTTCTTTCTCAGCTCATTCGGCCATGTCGGACTTCTCGGACACGCTGTTGGCATTGGATCTCGCCGAAACAAGTAGTAAAGCGCTATAGAGTACTCTGCTGGTACTGCGTAAATTAAACGTAAGACTTTGCATATAGAGTATTGTGAGATGATGGCTAGCTAGAGCAGCGAGGGAATTCGTTTTGCGCTTTGTTCGCGTCCGAAGTTGCGAACGGCTTGTGGTGCATGCACACCTTTTTCTATTCATGATTTGGTGACGGTACTCGTACAGAAGGTCACTTGCTTGGTGCTAAGTGTGGGCAGGAATAGTGGCAATACGAGTTGGCCTGGAAAAGCACCGTAGAAGCAAATTACACTGTGAAATGAGTTCTCCCTGTACCGCACAACTACGGTACGGTAAAGTCTAGTAGAGGAGCTGTGAGCAAGGATAACCCGCAGAGCGAGGAAGTAACTCTCGAAAGTCTAGCTGGGCATGCAATGTAGCGGCAGCCGCGGTCGCATTGGAACAAACTCGTCACATTCTTGCTTGGTAGGGGCGTTTCTCGCTACCAGCTGCTTGCCAACTGTGCCCAGGTCTGGTTCACATGCATCTCCAAGCCCCACTTCTGGTTTCACTCCTGAACCCACACCAGGCCTACTCAAGGACCTACCTCTGTTTCTCCTCCAGGCCCCACTCCTGGCTGGTTCTACTCAAGCACTCACTCTGAGCTCACCCCTTGAAAATCTACAGGCCCACCCTTCCTGATTGCTTCCACTTAAGGCCAACTCTTGTTCAGCAGGACCCACTCCGGACCCCATTGCTCCGCCAACTCCCAGGGGAAGCGGCGCAAGGAGGGCCCATGCTGAGCCCCTCCTTTGGACGATTGCTGGGCCCCATCCTGGTTCCACTCTGGGCCCAACACCAGAGCCCACTTATGGTTCTATGCCAGGACGACCCACTCTAGCTAGCTAGCTAGCTAGTCAGCTAGCTAGGCCCAACACTCTTGGTTTCAAACCAAATTCTCCCACTGGTCGTGGCTTGCCCAGGGGCTACGTGTGCGCTACCGGTACCTGGTACCAGCTAACGGTACCGGTACAGTGACGCGTCGACTTCTGTGATTCTCTTTGACCGCTTAGCTGGATTAACTTTCTATTCGACCCAGGCTTCTCGGCAGTGATCGCAGGGCGAAAGGGGTCTCAGGTCTCAAGTCTCATGAGAAAGTTCCATGCCCGGTCCGAGTGGACATGGAGCAGGCTGACAAGGCGTTGCTGTATGGATAGCTATGGATATTGCCTTGCCTACTAGGAAGAAAAATAAATCCCCGAAAAGAGGGTACAGGGTACAGTGTGTTCCGCTCGTAAGAACAGGCCGCCACAGAACGGACAATTCGACGGGCTTGTACTAAAGTCAGGTCAGTCAACCAACCAACAGCCAGGCCTAGCATCTTGGACTTGGCTAAGCGCTGTTTCTAAACTACCTTACCTCTTCACCACTGAGTATCCTCCCTGGATGAGAAAAGAAGGCGTGTCATTGGGAGCTATGAACCACCAGAAAGCCGTAGCTGGTATGAACAAGAAACAAAGTCTAGCCATGTTAATGCATCCTCCGTCGGAACTGCTTCTCGCAGTTGCTTGTAGCGAGCACACACAGAGGCTTTGTCTCGTGGTGCCAGGCTGCTAGAGTAGATCCCACAGCAAGGATTTGCTTTGGTGCGACGCTGGTTTGGCCACTGGTGCCGGTGGCAAGCATTGTAGCATTGTTGCAGTCTTGGACCAGCCACGCAGCCAGTGGCCAGAGGTTGAGCTGCCTTGGCGACTGGCGATGGCCATTTCTTCAGTACTAGCTAGCTAGTATCGCTTCGGTATTGTGCGTGTCGGTTTGCAAGAAACTTTTGCGTTCTTGTTAATCTCTCAATCCTAATTGTTAAATATATTCATTCCTTGGACATCATGCTTTCCAAAGGTTTGCTTGGGCAGCTTTTCTTTTATTGCTTGGCTTTTATCACCCTTAAGCTCCAACCACCCACCACCAGACACCTGACACCAGACATCGTCGAGCAAAAGCAAGTTCTTACCGCACTAGCTAGCTAGTACATGTAGTAAGTGCGTATGCATAGCTGCTACTAGATACTAGCTAGAGTAGAGTAGAATACTACTCCAGTCTCCAGTATGTCTTGTGTGTTATGTGGCTGTGTGGTTGGTACTCGAGTATTTATTTCCTGGGAGCTGGGAGTACAGTCGTGTGCGCTATGCACTGTGCAGGTGCTGGTAGCTAGACTACCGGTACAGAAGCATGAACAGCTAGATCTACACTGCGTATGGCGTATGGTACTGGTACCAGAGCTGCTACCAGTTTTCCCACATTCACGTAAAATAAATGCTCAGGCGCCTTTATGTTAATTGTTGTGAAAGGCTGAAAGAAGAATCTCCTACTAAAAGTCCATGTATTCCGGATCCCTCCCTCTTACGGTACTGTACCCCAGGCTCAAGACCACCATTAGCGGTGGCGCTGCTGCACACAGGGCCTGGGCAAACCACGAGCTTAGCGGTCCAAACACTGCACAGTGCACAGGTTGGGTATCTTTGGATACCTATAGTAAAATAGTAGACTACTCAATAGTTTCATGAATAGATACCCGCGATTGAGCTATTTGTATCACTCAGATAATACCCTATTTATAAGATATATTACTCAGAATGGACTGGGGTACCTATCTACGTGTAGAATTTATCGTAGTAGACATCGTATCTTCCCAGAAGCACAATAGTACTCGCGACTTCTTAGCTCCAGATCAACCGTCAGTTTAATTTTTCAAGGAAACATCGGAATACTATTCTAGCTCGAACTAGATTTGTTTTGGTGCTATGCGAGATGGTGCCACTCATTCTTCCCTTACCACCGGTACGGTGGGCCTGCCATCTTATAGGCAAGCAATCATCAGTCTGTTGCTTGACAAATAAATTATTGCCATTTGGGACAATTTCAAAGTCGCGTTTGTGTACATAATGAATGCCATTGTATCAATACATTGATAATGTATAGTATTCTACCGGGATGGGAAAGGGATAAGTTTGGAAGATGTGTTTACCTTACCAGGTACCGGTACTGGTACGGTACCACTAGCTCAACGAAAAGTTCTAAAAGGCAAATGAGAGTAGAGTGTTTCTTATATTAAAGGTGTAAGGTGATTGGTAAAGTGTAAGGACATAGCAGAATCTGATGTTAGTACGATCGTACCTCGATAATGGTACCACTACCACAATCTAATGCCGGTATCCGGAGCTTTAAGCCCTGCCTTCAAAGCATCTAAGTACCAAAGCAACTTCGGTACGATACAGGGTCATCAGGACAGCACAGAAGGGAGATAAGGGTGTGGGAGCTCCAAGCAGCCTCCACGACTGGTATGTTAGATTGGCACAAGAACAGAAAAGAGCACCTTGTCAGTGCAAAAGTGTCCTTTGTTACACAGGTCTCGACAAAACTACTCACACGCAGAGCTTCATCACTTGACAAGTTCACGAAAGACACGGAAAGCACAGAGACCAAAGCTCAGGCGCACAATCCTGATCTGAAGCTTCCAGAAAACCCCGAGTCAATCGCAACCCCTGTGACTTGAATTGTCTCCCTGTCTGGAATCACACTGATTGATCGAAACCCTTTCGTGGCAACTGAACGCAATCAACACACAATGTGCATTCCTGCTCTCACCACAACTTTCGATATGTACGTGACACCATCCTCTTCATGCTCCAGAGCATACGAAACAGCAAAGAGACCCCAACAAGAAAGTGGATACACTTCCAGCATCACCATGTTGCCTCCTCGCAGCTACAGCCCCAAGAAGCGTGTGGCCTTCACACAGACCTGCAGTGTTCAGTTTGTGGAACCTCATTCGGCCATGACAGCCTCAGAACGAGATGCCTATTGGTACAAGGCCGCCGAAATCAACGCCTTTCACAAACAAGCACGAGAAACCTGCCGCAAGCTCCGTACTTCCAGCACTTCTTTGGATACTCCCGTCGTTTGCCGTGGCTTGGAACTCCGCAAGTCACCTGCCCGCCAAAAGCGCAAGTTGGTCACTCTGCAGTTTGTCGTTTCCGCGCAACGCAAGCTCAGTGATCCTCGCCGTGTGGCTCTCCTGGCCGCCAAATGCTCGAACTGGGCTGCTCAAGTGGCTCGAGTCGAAGCCCAACGAGACTTTATCCGCGCTTATGCCGGTGACGAGTGCCTGGCTTTTCTGCCTCCTCTTCCTCCCATGACACCCTTCCCAGTTCCTTTCAAAGGACAACAACCAACTTCCAACAAGCGAGCAAACGCTCCTGAGAGGGCAGAACAACGATGCGTCCACCGAAGGATCTCAGTCTGCTAAATTAATTGAACAAATCAGCAGCCGGAAGCGGCCAAACAGAACGCAACGGAACCAGCTTGTGGCTCTGGCTAAACGCATACATACACCCAAACACCACTACAGATCGCATGTGTTTTATTAGCACAATGTACACAATAAGCACACTTCCATCCCACTTAAAAACTCATCTTCATCATTTTCGTTGCCGACGTTACCCATAGATAGCCAAACCATACCGGCAGCTCTAGCTAGAAGGCCAATCAGCGGCGGCGATCCAAGCTGGGCGGTAACAGCAACAGCGGTAGCTCCCCAAGCGGGCACACTGCCTGGTAATTGTTACAGGAAGAAGCGTACAAGGCCTGGTAATTGTTACAGACTTGACTAGATCAAACCAGGGGAGCTTGGGAGCTTTGAATCCGCATCAGGGTAACGAGTCACAGTTTGAGGCTCCAGGCCTGCACGGTTGCTCAGCAATCTTATCCATGCTGTAAAACAAACCTCAAACCATTGAGAGCAGAGAAGCATGACGGCGCTTCGCTGCTGGTCAGCTGAGGTGGACCGGTCAATCGCTCCAGATCAGACTTTCGCCCATCTGCGAGCCAAAGGCACTCAGTTTCTGGTCCCATCATCTGTGAGCTAAACCGCCCACACCACTCGGCTGCTTTGCCAGATTGAGCTGGTCTCAAATCATTTGCTTCTTTCCAGGTTTGTTCCATTCACCCCCCTCGCTTGGCCAAGTGTTGTGCCAATGCCTGCTCCAACCGAGGTATCCACACTTGCTCGACGTGATGATTGACCCAACAAGAGCAAAAGTTGCCCTTGTCGTCGTGATGCATGTTCATGTTCTTCTTTGTTTTTGCCCCCTTTTGTCGGCCCAAATCGTCTATCCATTCCAAGGAATCAGGGCATTCATAGCCCAAGAAGCAGTTCATGCGGCGGTAGTTTAGTTGACAAATTTCATTGCGAAACATGGTTTCCTTGGGTTGTACGGATCGTGCGTGGATCAATGTTCCTTCTTCTATCTCATCTATAAAGACCTCCTTGGTGGGGTCAAATTTCTCGCTCCTGGCACCAAAGTAGTTGATTGGATTGTGCAGGGGGTCATAATAGTCGGCTGTGAACTTTGTCACCGTCGCATAGTGCACAAAATGGCTGAGAACATAGTCAGGCCGGTATAGTTGCTTCATGGCACGTTGAAATCGTTCTGGTCTCGGGCGTTTGACCCCGTCGCAATTGTACACCTTTAAGAAAGTCTCGTTGCGCCTAGGAATTAAGCATGGTTGTGGCGTCAAATCTTTTAGGAATCGTTCGGTGACAGGGTTTCCACAGGCTCCCTGATTCTCCAAGGGACTGAACAGACGAGGGAACACCGACACCAAACAAGGTAGATGAGACCATGCAAACACACCCAAAATCATATTCTCTAACCACAACCAGGTAGCAAGCACAGAACTTACTCCATGAGATGGATCCGGGGATAGCTACGGCCACTCCTGAACTTGATGATTGCCACCTCACGCCTCTCCATGTCATCTATAATTGGCTTCCAGGTGATTGGTTGTGCGTTATTATTTGATGGCGGCATGTTGGTTGTTACAGTTTTCATAGGGGTCAGGTATTCGTCCGTGTCGATAACGGCCATCCAATCCGTGAGAGGACCAAATCGTTCTCGACAACTGGCTTCGGCGGCATACTGTGAACTGCGATCTCCGGGATGAGCATGTCCCGGACGATGATTGTTGCAAATGACGGCGGGCCATGGCAGGTGGGTGACAACAAAGGATGGATCATCATCAAACTCTTGTATTAGGGTGTATAATGGACTATCTTGAGGAGAGTCGATTCCAGGTGTATTGTCGTAAATTACGACATGATCAAAGCCCACGAGACGATGGAAGATCAACCACTCACGGAGCCGTAAGGAATTGTCTTGGACAGGTGGTTCTTCATCTTCTCCCCGTCGATGATAGGATGCCGAAGTCCAAGTGCACAAGACCAGTCGGTACGGTTTTGGTGTTTTGCTCTTGCCGACGGATGACAGTGCATTTTGAGTCTGTGCGGATTGGGTTGTTGTTGCTACAATGGGACAGACTGGTAGATTGGCCCAGCGCCCACTCTCGGAAATGGCGGGTAGATTGCTGTTTGGAAATAATAATGGATGGGTAATGTCAAAAAGCTTGTCCGGAACGGCCCGGACTTGATCGAACGTGTCCTTGCCTACCATGGCCGGAGTCAGCCACACTTGTGATCTCGCAGGCACACGAAATGGCATGACATCCACAAGAAGCTGTTGTTTTTTGGTTCTCGCTGTTGCCGATGATTGGAATTTGGTAGGAATAGGACAGTAGAAGATGAGTTGGGAGATCCAAAACTCACTTCGATCGGTTTCGGAGAACATGCGCTTTTTCTTTCTCCATGTCACGTATTCGTAGTTGAAGAAATAGTTGGAAAGCGACAAAGACGAGGAAGCGTCCATACGTTGGTTGCCGTTGTCGTCGTCCTGCCAATGAAAGCGACAGAGAAATCTGGTTTCGGGTACAATTTCTTGACTTTGAATCTCGTCATCATCATTTTGGTTTCTTAGTAGTGTCGTCTGTTGATGAAGTGGGTCGAGTGATTCCCGAAACAATCGAAAAGACGCCGTGCCATTGCGATAGTCAGTTCGTACCACCGGAAGTGGTTGAAAGAGGGCAATTTGTGGTTCCCAAAACTGCATGACATCCCTTCGATCTTTTCCCGTATCGCAATTGCGTCGATTCTGTCCCACAAAGACCACATGGGTACCATCGGCGGACAGGAAGAAATCATGGAGCCAGGGCAACCAGGGATCAATCTTGGTCGTCGTAGTATTGTTATACAACGAATTGACCACGGCCGTTCCAAAGTCCAGTGTCAATCGGGAACAGGATTGCACCGTGGGAAACTCGGACCGGATCAAGTGAGAAGCAGACGAAGAATTAGTAGGATCCAAAAAGGCAGTCACAACCTTGTGGGACATCTTCTGTTTGGTGGTGGTTGTCTTCCAGGCAGAATCGGTTGTTCTTGTGGAGGTATTTGTCAGCACTGTCGCTTGCTTGTTGACGGTCCAGACGATCAATAATGCTGCCAACAATCCCACCCCTGCCATGGCAGCGAGGCTGCTCTTCTTTCCTCCTCCATTCTTCAGGTCTTGATTGGATCTTAATAACCGCTTCTTCCGGTTTGTTGCAGCCATGTACCCTGCATGCGGTAAACTGAAGTATGCCTTTGAGTTCTTGTGCCGTACAGCAGCAGCAATGGATGCTACAGCATTACCAGACAAGTCTAAATAGTCTGCGGGAAAGCTCTAGCTTTTGTGGGTGTCCAGAGGAAGAAGAGGCTTCTGTGAAGTTGCCGTTGTTTGCGTCGTCATTGTCGGAAGCAGTTTGCTTAGATCTACGGTAGAGTTAAGGATTTCACTCTCGCTTGCTTTTTTCTGCGAGAGGTTCGATCCTTTTGGCCTCGCCACATTTTGTCGAAAACAAAACGGGCAACACCAAATCCCACGAAGGACGACCGACCCAAGCCATCGCCACTCCACATGTATGATATGTATGGATACTTATGATACAGTCAGTATCCAATTGAATGCATCATCAAAGCAAATGATATAACCATGTCATCTTCTGATTCACAACAAACTGCAGCATCGTCGAGAATAAACAGAAGAAGAATGCCATCTCGAACTCTCCCACGCAGTTTTGGCGTAGCCATGCTCGTGCTGCTGCTGCTTCAGCTGCCCATGGTCCAAGCTAGTCTGTCAGTTCCTTCCCTGGTGAACATCTTGAACATGAATCATGATTTCTTCACCTTCCGAGCCGCCATGAAGTTGTCCGGGTTCTGGTCCGAATTGGCACTCTACACGGTCAATGATACCACCAATGATACCAGTAGTACCACCACCAGTAGTGGCTATACTCTGCTGGCACCCGACAATGAAGCCTTTGAAAAGATTGCTGGAAAGTATCTGGAACCAGATTGGCAGCCCTATCTGCTGGCATTGGTCGAGTACCACATTGTCGTGGGCACGTTCTTGTCGGATCAGTTGGTCGAGCGGGGAGAAGGTGCAACCTTTGCCACTCTGTTTGGCGGCAAGAATGTTACATTGACCGAAGGTGATCCTTTGATATTCAATGACGACGGAATGCTCATGGATGGAAATCTAGTGGCATCCAATGGTGTCGTTCATCATCTTAATTCTGTCTTGAAACCACCCAACATGCAACTGTCCTTGCTGGAACAACTCGCGTTGGATCCCACTGTTTCCATTTTCTACGAGCTCTTGCAAATGGCAGCATCCGACAATAACAATGACTGGGCAGCGGCACTCTTGCCATCTGTGGACAACGAAGGGCCCTTTACATTGCTGGTGCCACACAATGACGCCTTTGCGGATTACGACTACCAGACGCTCACCAACGAATCGGCCACGGCCACGGTCCGAAACCACATTATACTCGATGCCATTGTCATGGCATACCAACAGCAACAACCCACTGTCGTGGTTACATTGAATGGCGAATCCTTGCTCGTGGACAGCACTGGCATTCCCGACTTTGGTATCCAATTTCATTCCTCACAAAAAGATACCTTGGCAAGCGACGGAGTTTGGCACATTGTCGACACGGTCATTTGGCCCGCAGAAGTATTTGATGATGCGCTAGATTTCGTCGAAGACCTTGTCTTTGAAGAACAAGACATGGCGAATACCACCAATGCCACCAATTCGACTTTGTCTCGTTTCCTTCAACGAGGAACCCGTACCCTGACAGAGTACAATTTCACCACGGTAATGGCGGATGATAATACATGGGACTGCGATCCCCTGGAGCAGGAATTTGCACCGTCGTGTTGTCCCCTCCGGGATCTGCAGTTTGAAGAATTCTGTATCAGTCTATTCGGAAGAGCCCATTACAATAGTACCGGCATGATTGAAGCTCATGCTCCATGGATTGGAGAATACGGTGTGGATGGGGATCCTCATGTCTAATCAATCAACCAACCATCCAAACTCAAACCAAACAATCTATGTACACTCATGTGTTATATTGAATCCACCATTATTTATGTTTTGGTGGTAAAGCAAGCAAGCAAGCAAGCAGAAGCGAAAGAAAGAAAGTAGAAAGGTACAGCAAAGAAGAACGACTCACAACAACACATAGCGGAGAAGAAGGCACATAGAAGTAGTGGACGTTATAATTAAACGAATGCATAGAAGAAATGAAAATCTTGGATCTGTGCTTGCTGCTGTAGAAAGCTGCAGTGACCTTATTCTATACCAGGTACTGTACATGTAGTAGGAGAATGCATCTTGCCCTACATGTAGGCTGTAAAGCCAGAATTGGGAATGCAAAGAATGGGGCTACTATACTTGTAGGGTCATCTGAAGGGTCACTTGTAATCCACCACGATCATGGGCCAGTAAATAAATCTCAACATGGGAACCTTCTTCTGTTGTGTCAATATCATCAATCATTGGCAAAAATGGGTGGCTGTTAACTTCTGCATTCACATTGGCAGTCACCGTTGCTTCATGGAGCCGTCACTTCAATCAGTTGCTTTTATAACAGAAACCTTCAAAGCCAGAATTGGGAGTGTATACCATTGTTTCAACACTGACAAGGCCTTCAATGTCAACATTTAGCGTTCTGGTCGGGCTCTCGTCTCTGGCTCAATTCCAGCGCAACTTTTGATTGGCTTGTAGTGAGCACTGAGCACTGACTTGACTGGTGGCTCTGAGCAACATCAAGAGGGTGAACATCCAAAGCTGCTTAACTCCTCCCTTGGAGCTGTGGATAATACCACCATGAGCTTGCTCTGAGTAGAGTGAGTGATTGTTGTGCGGCCGTGTGGTCAGATCAGAAGATTCTTTGCGTGGTTGCTCCTCACCTCTTTGGTGTTTTAACAAAGTGTGATTGACAGCTCAGCTGCCTCTCAGAAAAGATATCGATTGATGGTGTCGGATGACGTTTTCAGAGAAGAGCAGCCAGTGGAGTGTTGTTGATCATGCCGTCGAGAAAGAACAATGGCAGCCAGGGACTCGACTCTGTGCTCATTCCTGAAGATTGAAGAGTGAAGAGGGCGATGATTTCATCCAAGATGGTAGAAAAGCATCCATCATGGCTTCTGCTGTTGCTTTTCCTCCTTGATATTTTCCATTCGAACGAAGGTTTTTCCACGCGTCCTCTGATTCATCCTCAGCATTGTCACGATCATCAGCTCTCAGTGGAAGGAGGAACAAGAACAAACACTCTACGTGTATGGGGCACTCCCGTCGACACGGATGTTACCTTGGTCTCTGTGGGAGAGGAGGTTGGAGCTGGATCTTACGGAAAAGTCCACTTGTGTACAACGCCAACTACTGGCAATGACAAGGGCGAGCAATTTATTGGCAAGCGCCCCTTGACACTAGAAGAAGTCCAAGCCAACAAGGTGTCGGCATCAAGCACTGATAAGGAGTTGAAAGAGAAAACCCAACGCTGCCAACACTACTGGGATGTGGAGAAGCACTGCTTTTCCAAATTGGGCCATCATCCACAATTGCCAAAACTGGTGGAAGGGTCCTTTCGAGACGACCAAAATCGACCCTGGATGCTGTTTCCAGTCATTGGTGATGGCAACCAAAAGCCAGCTCCCTCCTTGACGGATCTCATGGAACTCGATCACGAAAAGCAACACGACAAGACACATCCACACCATTTGTACCATTTGCAACAGGCGTTGGGGTTGCCAACGGAAGCAAGTCTGGGAGAAACGCTCGACGCCTTTTTCCAATCCCTCTTGCAAGTCTTGTCGTATGTGCATGCCCGACGAGTGGTCCACAGAGACGTCAAACCTGGCAACCTCTTAATTGCCAACGAAAAGGTCTATCTGATTGATTTTGGATCCGCCGCCGATTTGGAAAAATCTCGTGGCAGTGGCATGTTTGCCGCCAATCGCTACGTTGGATTGGAAGATGACAGTGTCGTGGCCATTTCTCCCATTTACGCCGCTCCGGAACTATTTGTCGACCGGATCAATAAACCGGAAAACTTTGATGTCTTTTCGGCGGCGCTCATTTACTGTCAGCTCTTGTTCAACTTTTTGGACGAACGGACCGACGCAGGGTTCCATCAACAATTGGCGTCCACAGAGTGGAATTTGGATCTCTGGCTGCAACAAGAACTCGCCAGTAAGGTACGACCGAAAGGATTGGAAGAAGCATTGATCGTCGTTTCGGAAAGACCCGGATTGTGGCGGTTGTTGCAAGAAATGTTCAAGGCCAAACCATGGGATCGGGTCGAGTCCCAACATGCCTTGGAACAGTTTCAACAAATTCTAAAGGGTGACGATGACAGCCGCATCAAAGAGGATGGTCCATATCTACTCTCCGTGCTGGAATCATTGGAACTGTGTGATGTGTCGAGCATGCTTGAAAACGACAGTTCGGACATGGGAGCAGGAGAGACAGCAGCATCAACAATCAGTCGCCCACTCCATTTTGTGGCCACATTCAAACGCAATACACCACTGGGTCTCATCTTGGCAGAAGCCAATAGTGATGATAATGAGGACGACGACGAAATGACTCCAGAAGAAAAGCGTCAATGGGAGGAAGCAACGCAGAATGCCCCGCCAGGACAGGTCTTTGTCAAAGGAATGGTCTCCGAAGGACAAGCCGCCGATTTGGGTATCTTTGAAATTGGTGATCAGTTGCAAGGAGTAGGAGAGCTGCCCGTGGGCGGACGAGGATTTGAAAAGGTTCTCGAATTGCTGGGGACGCAGCCTCCGTCTTCCAAATATGTTACCTTGCACTTTGATCGCAAGAAAACATCGCTTCGATCCGATAATGATGGCGACACTTCTACACTTGCGTCTTCGTTTGAGAGTCCCATATTCCCCCTCGATAGTGGCGCTTGGTCGGCCAAGGGACGTCGACAGTCGCAAGAGGACAGATTCGGTACGTACCAAATGAAGCTCCTCATGCTATACTGCAGTGAGAACACTTGTCGCCTTTTTTGCTTGGTTGCTCAACTCATTCATGAACATAATGCCCGCGATGCATGCAGTCCTGCATGAAATACAAGATACAACGCGTAGATCTGTTTTGGTCGCTGGCGTTTTTGATGGTCACGGGCAAGTCAAGGAAATTGTGTCATGCCTATCACTTTGCAATAATTATGGCAGCATGGCTCTCACATATCGTTGTTTCCTGCGTCTCCCAGAGGAACCGCTGCTTCAAAACTAGCGGCAGAGGAAATGCCAGAACTCGTCTCGGACGAGCTCTTTCGACACAAGAACAGTCCAGTCGGAACCGTATTGGAGAACTCATGGAGGACCATTGCGTTGGACTATCAGCAGTCATGCCTCTCAGAAACAGCTTGTATAGCTGACTATGATGCTCGAGAGGGAACTCTAGACGCAAACACTGGAGCGGATGACCTCGTGGCTGGTACGACAGCTACTGTGGCCGCCTTGGATGAAAGCAATGGGAACATCTCCATCCTGAACTGTGGAGATTCTCGAACACTGCTTGTGAATATGGAAGGCAAGGTAACCTTTCAGACTGAGGATCATACTCCCGAAGCAGAAACGGGACGTCTCACGGCGGGAAAAGAACAAGGTCTTGACTACAGCATTCCAGAATGCTCGGTCTCGCGATGGTGGTTGAGCGTGGGCGACTACCAGTATGCCGTAGGGCGGTCCCTGGAAGGTCCATTTGCAACTTCCAAAGGTATCACTAGCGAGCCTGACGTGACAAAGCTCCAAGCGGAGCCCGGCTCATCGATTGTTTGCGCTACCGATGGGATTTGGGAAGTGATGGATTCAAAGGAAGTGGCGCGTGTCGTGACGGCTGTGCGATCGAGGGGTACAAGTGCCGGTGATGCAGCAAAGACGCTTTGCTCTATGGCCATCGAAAAAGGATCATCGGACAATGTTAGCGCGGTGATCGTGTACCTCGAATGAGCTGTCAAAAAGGGCAAATTGAAACGCACAGCAATCAGCACCACTTTGACAACAATCTCCGCTATCTGCTTATAGAAAGGATACACAGAGCCAATCGTATGTCATCCTCAAAGGAATGGTGTTACGCTAGTTGACTACAGCTGCTGAATTAGGCTAGTCTATAGAATCCACAAAAGCAGACAGCGAGGAGGTCTAAGGATCATGGGTTTCTACTGGTGGCATGCGCATCGACAACGCCCAGAAGCACCAGTAGCTGCTTACTCAAGGAAGGACGGCGATCGTCATCTATAGTTGAGGTGCGAAATGGCAGTGCGTGCTTCGTACTCGTACCGGCGTTGGAACTGGAACGCTCAGTTGGTTAGGGTGTAGCCTTCTTATTGGTCTTCCTTGTCGAATAGCAATTGTTGCCAAGCGACTACTTGTTTTCATAATCTCATGTGGTATCATGTTAACTTCGCCTGTTGTGTGCAGACCTTTGTCTTTGCGTGGATTCATCAATCATAATCATGCTACCATTCCACTTGGGACCAAGAGAACCGCAGCATTTCTGTCGAGAAGGGCATTCGATCTTTGTGCTTGTCCATAAAGATCTCGGAGGACCTTGTCGAATTGCGTGGATGCCGGTAACTGATTTCAACCTGTTCGCTCCCTTGAAAGCAGTCTCCCCATTCCGGACAGGTGTCGACACTAAGGGCGTGGAAGTATCCCGGAAATGCTTGGCCCAATTCAAAAGCATTGGCTTGTGGTGTTCCTTCTATTCTTTCTTCGGTCATCACGTGAATGACTTGTAAGTGATTGGGACTCATCCACTTGTCCAACTTGTCATTGAACAAGATATCATCGTATCCGTAGTCAACGACCAAGTCTTCGTCAAATCCAGCCGCCATAAAGTAGGCACTTCGAGACACTATCATGAGGGCTGGATGCTGAACTGTTGCATTGATTGGTATTTCATAGAGCGGAAACCTGGTATGAACTTGAGTTTGCGGAGGAGCCATCCGAATGTAGTCCAGAACGGCTTGGAACATGTCAGGCGTCGGCACATAATCCGAATCCAAACTCCAGACCCAATCGGTGGGTGAATAGTAGATTCCCAAGTTTTTGGCACCTGCGACATGCCAGGGCAAGTCTTGGTCAATTTCATAGGCCTGAATAAAACCTGTATTGGATTTTTCATGCGGAAACAAATCTAGGATCGCTTGTCGATTGCGGTTCAATAGTCTCTTGAGACTCTTTGTCGATTGTGAACCGTCGTCGATAATGACGAATTGAACTTGTCGTGTGAGGTCTGGGGAAAACTTGCTGAAAGCTTCCAAGAAGTGCAGCAACAGTCCCACATCATTGTAGTATGGAGTCATAATGGTCAATATCTTGTCGACGTGGCTGGGCAAAGGCACAGGCGTGTTCTTGAGCCATTGGCAGGGACAATGTGGATTTGGAACGGCGGTAGATTGATACTGGGATTGATTTTTCCCCCAAGGAGTCGTATGGGTGGGATTGACATGCCCAGGCACCACAAGACAGCCACAAGAGAGCTGATCGTGAGATCGTTCCACATCTTGAGTAATGTCTTGGAATGCTGGGGCTTCCACCGCTTCCTGCGGTGTTTGCTGTGGTGGTGGATCAGAAGGCTGATCTGAGATCCTTTCAGGTTCTTCGTTTATTGCTTCTTGATCCTGAATAACATCCGCAACGCGCTCGACTGCACCTGTGCAAATACATTCAGTGTGAACCACCACAGGTCTGCAGTCGCCACTAGCGTTTGCCATTGTCGTCGCTCGCAGATTCGTGTCGGATGGAGTTTGAGGGCCCACAAATGCGTTTCGCATGGAACTACTGGCGCCATTGTATTGATTGATACGAACTTGAAACACGGAAAATACCACCATCATCCCCATCAAGAGGACAAAGTGATAAAGCTTGAACATGATAGTTGCGTTCTTCATCTTTTCCACCGTCGAAGGTGAAGGTCACTGGTTTTGGCAGAATGACAAAGTTTTGGCGGAGGGTGAATTTTGTGAAGCCACGCAGGTCCCCGTACTCGTGGTAACCGGTACTAGTACCGGTACCGTACAGTGTACGTACTCGGCGAGGCTCGTCATCGGCTTTAAATTCGTGTTACTGTACTATGTACTACCGGTAGCCACTACCGCTACCGGTACCGGTAGTACCTGGTACCGGTACTGGAATACTACTGGTCTACTACATGTACTACTATGATAGCTACTAGCTAGCTAGTCTTTTATCGATTTTACTAGCCTTTACTAGTTCCCACGCCAGGCGCCAGCCTGCCGATGAAACCACGACAGTTAAACAACTTCCAAGTCTCCCCGAGCGAACACAACAACATCCACAAAAACAACAGCGCAACAACAACGACAACAATCGAAGCGCAACAACAACAACCATCATGTCTTGTTCTGTTTGGATTAGGCTCTACAACAAGGGAGAGGAGACCAATGATCGTGATCCTGTAGAAATCATTCCAATTCCAAGGAACATTGGTGCCTTGAAAGCAGCGGTGCTGCCGAAGCTCAGCCCTGCGTTGCTGGGTGAAGTTTAGGTGTACGAGTATGCCCCAGACACCGAACAACCTTTTTCTGAACAGACTTCCATTAGGGGAGACAAGATATTGAAAGAGCTGATTGATGGATTGGGGAATAAAATCCTCGAGTGTCGATTGATTATGATCATCCCTTGGTTGTGGTGGCACCCGCTCAGAAGCAGCTGGCCCCACCTCATAAAAAGCAAAAGGTTGCATACCAGTTTGGGAAAAAATTTGATCGCTTCGCTGAGTACGTGGACGGCTCCATCAACAACATTGAAGAGACTGATATTTATGAGCGTGATGATGTTGAACGAGAAATCTTGAGTTGGTTAGAGCCCATGAAGGCATCTCCAAAGCCAAAATGTGCTACCATTTGGTCTGGAAGAGGCAGCGGAAAGACTTCGCTAATTCGAAAGATAACCACGTCATCTAATCACTTTCAGGCAGCACGAGATTGTGGTCGTCTGATGATCATTGATGCTAAAAGGGACAATGTTGGACTGATTCCAGAAGTACTCAAAAGCAATGCAGAAGCAACTGACAGGTTTCTCATCGCCCTTGTTGGGTATCACTTGTGCAGGATCTTTGGGGACACTTCCATTGATGGAGTCGAGTTCACGAGCACAGCAACTGTCGGGGATATGTGGAATAGTGAGAGTTTGCCGTCGTCTTTGGTGGGAAAATTGGATTCAATCAGAAGTGGAAAACAAGCCTATGACTGGTGGAAGAGCTGCACCAAAGGCTTCCTCAGTTCTGAAGAAGGGGATGGGCCAAATCCCATTATTTTTATTGATACTGCTGAAGTGCTAGCTGTTGTCAATGACATGCACACTCCAATGAACTCACCGAGCAGGAACAATCCTGCATCAAGAATCAAGGACTCAGCTGCTGAACTCCATGTTTCTACCAGTGACGGTGAGAACATGCCAATGCCATCTAAGCGCAAGCACCAAAGCTCGCCAACAAGGTATCTTGCGCTCGAGTGGCTTATGATGCGCATTCCAAACAATCACACCATAGTTGCCTTCGGGACGGGACAAACACGAGAACTTCCGGCACCTTTGGATTTTCAAACACATGTGAATCACAAGCGCTTGGCTCCCTTGAATGCCTTGTCCGAGGAGGCGGCCACACGCCTATATTGTCGCTACAAACATAACCTACAAGAGGGTCAAGAAGTTACTAACCCCCTCAAAGATCTAGTGGACGAACAAATCAGATTTGTTCGAACGGTTTATGCGGTAACTGCAGGAATCCCGCGCATGGTTGTGCAGGCGTTCTCTTCGAAGAAACACTCTCTGATAGCACCAAGGCATGGGAATTGGGAGAATGATGTGCTTGAATTGTACAAGGATGTCTCTGAGCCGGTGAGAGAGGGGAAGCTAACTGTCGAATGCCTGGCCAAAGCAATTCTAATTTCAGCTGTGTGCGATGTTGAGCTGAAAGAAGGCACATTCATTCCTGGGGAAAAGGTCACATGGGACAATCTTCGATGGTGGTCAATTGCTTTTCTTGCAGGCAGAGAGGGTGCCAAGAAGACAGGGCACTACTGCAGGATCCCGCGCCTACTGTGGCATAAAGAAGCGGACACAATTCATCAATGGGTCCAGAGTGAATGTAAGTTCAATGTGCATGACCTTCTGCCAACCATCCAGCAGCTCTACAAATGTGCTGCTGCTACATCAAGCGGACTTGCATGGGAAAAGACATTCGCCAGTGCACTGGTGGCGCGTTTCTTCAGCCTGTGTTGGATGAAGGGGCTAGACCCCGGAAACACCTACATCGGCTTGGACGAATTGCTCCCACAACAAGAGGAGAATTTGGCTGCCATAAAGACCCTCAAAAGAGTCGAGGTGTGCCTTGTTAATGGCATAAGTGCAAATGCCAAGAAGGAGGTGTTTGCAACCAAGGCGATACTTGACGAACGAGGATTTGATTCAAAAGCAATTCATGCAAACTGGGAGCATAAGTCAGCCCACCATGACTTGATCCTGCCTGTCCGCTTCAAGGGTGACAGTGAGGATCACATGCTCTATGCTGTGTCAGCTAGGAATGGACACCACAAGACAGAGAAGGACCTTCTGGACACAGAACAACACCTTGTGAAAAAAGCTGGTTCCGGAGAGAGGAAGAGAAGGTTGAGGGGATCATCCAGGCCCTCAATCCAAGGCGGAATCAATCTGGAAGGAAGCTGGAAAAGGAGTTCAAAGATCTGACAGAGAACGAGAAGTATGCAGAGGTCGTAATCACAGAGGGTCATGTTCATTATGTCTTGGGCTGCTTTTCTTGAGACCCTGGAACCGATTCTGCCATTCTTGTGTTTGTTGCTTCAAGGTATTGGAGTAGAAGATATCGACAATGCCCTCTCAATATTGTGGACAAAGTAGCATTCTACTATGGAAAATGAATCTTAATGTCATGTAGGGAGTTAGGATAGAAGACAGCAAAAAGAAGGCAGAAGTGGGTCGATCGGCCTCTGGTGGATTTACTATAGTCACTAGTCCCTCCCGTGACTGCGACCTCACACAAACCAGTCAACAATCAACCAAATCCATAAGCCGAACCTACGATATTAAAACTCTCACATTTCTCTCACTGGCCCCTTCAGAGACTAGCAAACGAAAGATCCTGCCCCTGTAATCATTTTTAGGGCTTGGTCTTCCAGGTATGAATGAGCTTTTCTACGCTTAGCAGTCAACGGTGCATTTTAGGCGACCGGACTGACTCGACTTGACAGGATTCATGAACCTTTTCAAGCCGAAATTCAAATGATCTGCCCAGAGCCTAGAGAGGCACAAAGAGCAAGTCTCCATTGGTGGCTCTCCTTTCCAGTTCTTCGGTTGTTTGTTGTGCGTCGCTGGGGCGACTTCCTTGCCCCTGGTCCGTGTTCTGTTCAAGAATATTTGGAGTCGGTGGCTGAACCTGCTCCGCCGTCGCAATGGCTGGTTGTGCAGTCGGTTGCATGGTATTGTCGTTTGGGACTTGCGCTGTGCGTACAGCGTCCATTTCCTCTTGTAACTCCTCCATGGCTCGTCGAGCTTCTTGTAGCATGGCCAAGGGTGCCTTGTTGTGCCCTGAAAACTTTCCATAACACTCGCCTTCCACCAGTCCAACACCCCAGCCACGACTCTTGACAGCTTTCTCTGCAAGAGCCAATATCGACGAAAAGGAGTCCGTCAAAGAGGGTGCTTCCACCAAGAGACCGTCAATCAACTTGGCTCTGACGATCCACCCTTGAGACTGGACAAGATTGCTCACCGACGTCCAGATCTCACGTTCGCAGGCTTGCATAATTCGTACCATGCTGATGTTGGGAATGGTGGCAGGGGCATAGTCGTGGGATGCAAGGAGTGCTGCTTTGTCGAGTTGTACCCAAGCGTATTGTGGAAGAGTCACGACAAGATCTCGCAGAGCCCTCCACTCGGTTGTCAATCGCACAATGAATGTCTGCAGCGACAACAAACTCTCATCTGTAGATGATGGCATGGCAATTTCCGTCTGTTCCTCCATTGCCTGCTTCCACGTCTCATAGGTGCCTCCTTGCAAGAGTACTTTCGGCAGCAGTTGTGCCTGAGCTGGAGAAATGCCATCATGAACTCCTCGGATGAAATTGTTCCATGCCGTCGCATGCTGACGATAGTCCAGCCAAGACGGAATCAAGCTGGTAGCTTGTGCCATTCCTGCCAAACTGCACAAAATACCGACTGCCATGTCGCTCTCATCACACTTGATCCAATGCGCAAAGGATGCCACCAAAGCGTTTCGAAGATCTCGCGGCATGGCTTGCAGCGTGAGCGGTCGAGGAGCGTAAGATTTGAGCGATGCATCGGGCGGCAACGGCGCTGGATGGAGCGCAAAGAGCCGTCCACGCATGGAAGCATCGAGCGGCTGATAGTCGACCTGATAGACAACACTTTTACTTTTCGTAGGAATGCCTTGGACAAGGTCCAGCAGGTCCTTTGCCATGTCGTGTGTCATTTGTGCGTACAGCAGCTTGTCCAATACATCTTGCTGCGCCTTGGTTCTCTGCGACAAGCCCCGTAGCTCTTCTAGGAATTTGGTTCTGTTCTTTTGATCACGTCGAAACTGGGGCAGAACATGACTCCTCAAGGCTTGCACGTTGATCTTTTCGGCGCAGCTAGTATCACTGTATTGCAGACGCATCTTTGTTGTCATTGTCGCTTCCATTTGCTCATTGTCGCTGTCTTCCCACAATGGTCGAAGCACTCGCGCCCCTGTCAAGGACATTTTTGGAAAGTGTGCCACGGCTGTCTGGTAGCTATCTAGCCCGGGTTGCAAGAGTTGGCGAATAGTGACAACGTCCTCTTCTTGTGCTTTGACCACTCGACGCACATCCTGGATGGGAAATGTTTGGGTACTTCCGTGCCGTTTCCGTTCCACCGTGACGTAGGTGAAACCTTCCACGGATCGTTCTTCGCCTGTTCGCTTGCCGAGTTTATTGTTGTTGTTGTCGAGGCTTGGTGGTGGTTTGTGGATTTGTGTAATTACCAAGTCTCCTCCACCTGTCTGTTGCTGCTGTTGCCGATGAGACACATCCAAGACATTGACACGGTCTCCCACCCTCAAACCTTTGGCATCGATCAGAGCAACTTGATCGGCTCGCTGCAATTCTTGTTGCAACGCTTCCTTGCGTTGCGTATAATCGGCCCAGTTTCGACGTTGCGTCACCGTGTCATCCAGAGATGCTCGTGTTTTGAGGGCTTCCAATCCTCGTTGATGGCGCTTCAGAACCTGCCCAATATATAAGCAAGTATGTATTTTTTAGCGAGTGATGATGTGATGATCACTACCGAAAATTGTATACAAACAAACAAACTTACATTGTCAATCCATCCAGCGGATGCTTGAAAGCCATCATCGAAGCCCATTTCCTTGGCCCATCCTCGCGCCAATTGTTGAATATTGCTCCATGCCAAAGGTGATTTTCCCTTTTTGGTTGTTTTGCTTCTCTTTGCTGCTGTTTGTTGTGGCGGATACTCCTCTGTTGGAAACGCCGTAGCAGGAGTGCCATCATAAAATAGAGCCTGCTGTTGCTGTTGTATCTGCTCTTCTACTTGCAGTTGTTTCTCCTCCTGATCCAACAAGTGCTGCTGCAGTGTCCAATACTCAATGACCCGTTTTTCCAGACATTCGTACTTTCGTTTTCGACACCGCGATTCTTCGCAATTGACGAGGGCACCATTCAGGTACTTTTTGTAGGCGCGGCTGAAATGCATTCGATGGAAAATACTCACATCGGGGCCACTGTCGGCACTTCGCAAGAATTCCGTTTGGGTTTTGTATGCGCCTCGTTCAAATATCTGACACAGTCGGTACCAAAAGGATTGCGGGAATTCCGTTCGTTTCGAACCCTTTTTCGTTCCGGCGTTCTTGCTGCCTTTTCGTACTATCAATTTGGGTGGTGAAAACTCCTCTGTTGTTGTTGTTGTTGCGGCAGCAGTATTCCGGATGGCCGCCGGTGGACCGCCCGCTTTGCCATTCTGGGTGCCATCAGTCGCAGGAGGAGGAGGCGGTGGTGCCTCACCACTGGCACCATTCTCATCGTCCAGTTTGCCTCCTACAAGACCTGTATCAGGCAAGGTTGCGTTATGGTTATTGTCTGTCATGTCTCTTTTTTGTTATTAACTATAGATACTGGTACTAGTAGTTCCTTTCTCTTGTAACTTTACCGGGGATTGTGGCACAATAAGGAGAGCGCCGAGGCGATCGGTGCTGGGTCCCAGCCGCACCAGGGTTACGCGGCATTCTGTCTGTTTGTGTTTTGGGGATAAAGGGATCCTTTGACTTATGGAAATGTCTACAGACTGTTGAAAAGATTTAAGACATTAGGAGACATTAGGAGACAAAGTGATACATTCGTAGACATTAGTATACAAAGTGAGACATTGGTAGACAAAGTGAGACATTGTGAGACATTGTGAGACATTGTGAGACATTGTGAGACATTTTTGTGCTGTTTTACACTACCTTGTAGACATTAGTAGACAAAGTGATACATTGGTAGACATTAGTAGACAAAGTGATACATTGGTAGACAAAGTGAGACATTGTGAGACATTGGTATACAAAGTGAGACATTGTGAGACATAAGCCACTTTTTCTAAGGAGCATAGAACATTTAAGCAACTCTTTAATCAGACACAATAGCTTAAATAGACAAAATGCCGAGTAACCCAGTGGAGTCGAGAGTCGAGTCGAGTCGAGTCGAGTGAGTCTAATCTTTTTTTCAAAGAGAACGGGAACAGATAATCCACGCCACGATCTTACAGCATACTAGTACAGTCATACCGCACGAGGTTCAAGGACAGGACTGACTGTCACTCGAGACGGTCGCGGTGCGAAGAGAATGTATGTGTTGCCACTCCATACCGGTAAAAACAACATTTGATCTACTAGCTAGCTGCTAGCTAGCGAGTCAGTAGCTAGCCAGACCGAGCTAGAGCGAGCTCAATTGGCTGCGTGGCCGCAGTGCTTCACAGTAATAAGCAATACTGGTACCTGGTATCTTCAGCGTAAGGTAGTACCACTATCGTTCGACTTTTGGGAGAAAAAACACGAGAAGATTGACTCGACTCTGTACTAGCTAGTACAACGGCAGGTCAATTGGCTGCTTCTGCTCTACTGGAGTAGCCAGAGGCGCGCAAAGGAACCGTTCGGGGTGAGACTGACTCGACTGAGTCGAGTCGAGTCAGGAGGTTTACTGCGGCTGGAGCGAGCGGAGACTTCATGGCTTCATGACTTGGCTGCCTCGCTGCGGTACCAGTGGCCACATCGTAGATCGAACGGAGGAAAGGCAAGAACCATTGTTCAAGAATCTTCAACTTAGTTATACTTAACCATACAACTTTTAAAAGCAATACTTTAGTGGCTACCGTACTGGAGTTATTGACTTGGTGGTGATTGACGTTGTCCTCGAGAATTGATTGACTCCGTCCATAGGCGCCAGCCGACGAATCGAATCCACAAGAGCCACATTGATTCTCTGGCTGGGATGCTTGCATTCTTCTTTGCTCTACCTGGTAAACTATCTTTCAACAAGGAAGGACCTAGTTGGTGCTGGTTTCGGCATCATGATCCCAAAGCTCAGACATTAGGTCCACGAAGGACGCTTCTAGTTCGGCATCGTCCCAAATGGGAATATGATCCAACCAATGCGTGTCAAAGTTGCCGAGGGCTTCCACCAGGACACCGTCGTCCGATGTGCCCTCAGGAACGAGGGCATCCGTATCAAGGGAAACCCAACCCTCCCCAATCGTCGCGTCCGTCAAGGCATCAATGGCTTCAGTTTCATTCTCCTTCTTTGGATGATCAAGGACAGGAGCATCGTTCTTCAGAAGATTACCCGCCTTGAGGTGGATTCGCAGTTCTGGACATCCTTCCCGTAAAGCCTGGACCACCTTTCTGCGAACCGTTTTGGGAGGCGCCTCGACCCAGGTTCCTTTCGCATTTTGAACAAATTCAAACCCCTGTTCCTGGAGATGACTTTGCACCTGCTTGACGATTGCAGCTTTGTCCTTGTGAAGCTTCGCCTCGAGATAAGCCGGTTTGTAAAGCATCACAATCTCACGGTACACCTTGTTGCCCTCTATCCACAATAGCGGTGTCCCCAACAACATTTCGGTGTTAGGAATCCACAAACGCTGATGCCACTCAACATCACCCACGAACAGAGAAGGAGCTACTTACCGTGGTTGTTTGCAATTCCTCCGCGCCCTAGCGCAGTCTGGAGTGGTGAAAGCTTGGACGCCATTGACGCACCTTTTGGAGAGTCGTTCTTCCTGGAGCTGTCAACCATCTTTACATGTGGTAATTTCAAAGTACTTTTTGTTTCTTTTTCTCAACTTGGCTGCGAGAACAACTAGTCTAACTGATGTCGTCTGTTGAACTTGTTAGAGATCAATTTTGTGAAAAAGGCACATTTTTGATTAACCAGCAAAAAGCACAGGCCCAGCAACTCTATGGTATGCTTCAATACTGCAGTCAATAGCTTCCCTACCCTGGACCGCCCACCAGAGTTGTGGGGATTGTGTAGTACCGGTACCTGGTAGTCTAGTACCTCTGCGAGGAGAAGATTGGCTTCGGAAGCAAAAGATCCCCTCATTATTTCCAATCACGGACAGACTTGCTAACCAGTAGTTCGTCCTACATAACCGGTGGTACAAATCATACGTACGTGGATTCTCTACTTGCTTTCTACGAAGAAACTACGATTAGACTGTTCCCACACCCAGATGGACCCGAAACCGCTGCGTCGCCGTCGAAGTGGCAGTAATACCACCGAGCTGCCTTTGAGTCGAATCGAATCGAGAAGAGTACCAGTCGCTGTCAGCTGTCAGCGGTCAGCACCATGTCTGTGCCTCCTGAAAAGCTCCGCCGTCCAACGAATGCTCAAGCGACAACCTCCATCCCACGTGAAGGACCTTCTCTCGTCCGGTTATCTTGCTCCTTTCCAAACCAAGCCAGCAGTTGTTTGTTTGGACCATGGCAGAAGTCCAAGCACAACGTCGGCCCCACAAGCAAAAAGTAGGTACTCTGGATGGTTTTCTGGCTGGAAATGCTTCTTCTACCCACAATTCATCGTCGATAATGGCATCATGTTTCCCCATCATGTTTTTCAAGAACGAGGTGCAAACGCCCATTCGTAGTTGTCCCCGGTTGTTTGTGAACTGTACCAGTCGGTAGACCAGATGTTGCCTGCCCAGAGTACCGTACCGTACCGTACGGCACTGTCTGACAAGTGCAGTCACGTCCCAGATACCATACCTGGTAGCTTCAACTAACGTAGACACATCGAAGGGGCCATAAACCGTCTTGATTTCTTTTTGCATTACCTGGCAGGATTGCTCTAGTAGTAGTCGGGAGATGAAACGTGCTCTTCACCAGAATCCGAATACATACATCTCCTTCCGCTTGCGTTGATTGGATCCGTCGATGTATGGCTGCCGATAGCGTACTTGCTTCACTCCTTGCTTACGTCGCTGCTTTAGATGTATCAGTCAGTACCAACCGCTGGCTGGTTTTCTTTTTCTTCTTCTTCCTGAGCTTTTACCTGCTGTGATCCAAGAAGATATGTACCTTGTTAGCTGCTGGAGTAGTACAGTTGCGGTCTTACAGGACGGTACCATACCGGCGCTGGTTCGCACCCCTGTCTCCTTCGAAAAGAGAATGGCTGGTACAAAAAGGTCTTACCCCAACAAATAGTTGGAGCTGATCAAGACTATCCCGGACCGGATTTAGGTTGGGTCGCTACCGTACGGTAGTGAACAAGGGCAACAAGGTTCAGGCAAAGGGAGGTGGTGGTACGAGTACTGGTGGTACTGTACAATGGTCAAGCGTACGGCCGGAGTTCAAAACGGAGGCTTGGACTCTCACAGCAGTTGGCACGAAATTTTCAGCGATCATCATTAATGCTTTGAGTTCATTGTCTTAAGTATCTTTCGTAAGTTCTCTGGCCAAATTCAAAGTGGTACAGTCTTTCCGTTGGATTCTTCTTGTGCTCTGCTCCTTGTTTTGGTTGCAAGCATCGTTTTTTGGCAATTGATGAACCAAGAGGCGAGAGGAGACGATGGCAACCTGTCTTCGCCTCGTTTTGCTGAGAGGCATTCTTGTGGCGCTCTTGCGGGCCACCATTGTTTCATCTACTGACCAAGCATGGTGCTTGGGCGAAGCTGAACGAGCTGGACAAGCCGACGGCAATGGCGCGCCTATTGATAATGACGCCGAAAGCAGCATCATGTACGACTACATTGTGGTGGGCGCCGGTGCTGGCGGAGGAGTGGTGGCCTCTCGATTGGCACAAGCCGGGTACTTGACATTGCTGCTTGATGCAGGTCCAGATTACCAGTCGCCCCTAACAGATGTACCAGCCTTTTGGCCTTATTCTACGGAAGAACCACAGGTAAGAGAAGGAGATTGTACTCCTCCCACCGATTCGATTCATCATATTGATGTCCGCTTCTCTCACGTTGTCTCCCTCTTCCAGATTGAATGGGCCTTCCGTTCGAGAAACAGCCCGGACCCGGGGAGGGACAACGTCCTGTATCCCCGTGCTTCCATGATTGGAGGTAGTACCATGCACAATGCAATGATTTCTCTTTACCCATTTCCGAATTTCTGGGACGGTTTGCGAGAACTAACTGGAGACGAAGAATTCTCGGAAGAGAAGATGCGAGAAAGGTTCATTCGACTGGAAAACAACGAGTACTGTTTCAAAGGAGCAGAAGGGCATGGATTCGACGGATACATCAGCACAAGCTCGACAGACTTGCGGCTTGTCACAGACTTCAACTTTTTGGACATTCAGATTATTGCTATTGCTTCAGGGTTTGCATTATCCCATCTTCCACACAATCCGTTTTTGGTCTTCTTGGGAAACATATTCAACTTTCCCTATTGCCTTCCATTCATCTTCGACGTGAACGCACCCGGATTTCAAGACAAAGAGGGTGCTCACATTGGTCCATTATCCACAAGTCCGTCGAACGGACATATTCGCTCTTCAGTATACGACCTCATAACCCAAACTCGGTCAACTTCGAGCCTAATCGTCAAGCCAGACCACTTTGTAAGGAAAATACTGATAAAAGACGGGACTGCGTACGGGGTGGACGTCCAGGTAAGTACCAGGTACAGGAAGCTTTTGGTCACGCCATCAAAAGCACATCATGTTGGCAGCATGCCGCTAACATATCGATTCCCTGCATATCTTAGAAAGGAAAGGCGCTCTATGGTGCCTCGACGGGAACCAGGATTGAAGGTCGTAGAGAATCATTCTTCGCCCGCAAAGAGGTGATCATATCTGGTGGCACATTCAATACTCCTCAGATTTTGATGCTGAGTGGCGTTGGACCGTCTGAGCAGCTTCAAAACTTTTCTATCCCCGTGAAGGTTGATTTACCGGGTGTAGGTGCCAACCTTATTGACAAGCTCGAGGCTACCCAAACCTTTGAGACTACCAAAGGTGAGTTTGAAAAAGGAGTGGAATTGGAACGAACACAATCTCTGAACTATTGATTGGTTTCCCGGTTAGAGTGGCGGATCTACCAACAAGGGTGTACATTTTCGGATCCGTCTCCAGAAGAAGATCCCTGCTACGTTCAGTTCAACAATGGAGAGTTTCCCAGTGTGTACACTACGTCTGGAACGATAATATCGCTACAACGGAAGTCCGATCGGAAGTTGGAATACCCAGACCTGTACTACCAAGTGTCACCCTTCAATTTTATAGGTTATGTGGACGGTTGGGTAGAGGATGGCTATTCTCGACAAGATGCTCTCACTGTCAATATCAACACTCCTCTGGTTGGCCCCAGCAAAGGGACCGTGAAACTGAGGTCGGCCGATCCATTCGAAGTTGTCGACATCGATTTCAATGGCTACGACGACGAAGATCTAGATCGAGTTACACATGCTGTCATCAAAGTGCAAGAATTTGCAAAAAGCATGAAAAAGCTGGGATTCTTAAAAGGACCACTTTTTCCAGATGAAAGCGTCGATACGTTTGAGGAATACAAAACGTGGGTGAGGTCCAATGGATGGGGGCATCATCCGCTCGGCACTGCCAAGATGGGAGCTGATGACGATCCTAGCGCTGTCGTCAATGGGGTAAGTGTGTCATTGTGTATTTGGCACAGATGCTACCATCGATCGGTATGACGTGGCAACATTCAAAGTCCTGGAAGCATTAGCAGACACCAGCAACGCCCCATATCGGCCGACAAGCAGTTGTCACGCGTCTGATCGCCATTGTCCATTTTTTGACAACATCTCTCCTCTCGTTTGTATAGCAATTTCAAGTTCGAGGTGTGTCCAACCTGCGAGTAGTGGACGCGTCCATTTTCCCTGAGCAACCAGGTTTCTTTCCCACAATTCCAATATACATGGTGGGAGAAAAGGCCGCAGAGGACATCATCAAGGCAGACTTGACAATTAGCTACGAAACCTTTGATTGCTGATTGTACTAGATCGGCCCGCCACGAAGCTTTGCTTGGCACCGAAGAGATTGCACCTTTGTGCATGTGGTGCTTTACAATCGCTGGACAATGTGGAAGACCCCTCAGTCCCTGCTTTCTCGCCTTTCAGGGCAGAGTCGAACCAAGCTCGAACAAATGATCCGGGGCTCAACCAAATTTGAGCGGAACACCGTAGGATGACCAATTCCTAGTTCTTCTAAAATATGTGCTTGCTACAGCAGGAGGTTTGGAAAAACCAGCTTGAAGTCGACGAAATCTACCAGTTGTTTTGCCGGGTACATGGGATTCGTGCCAAAAAGCAGGAGCCTTGATTCCTTAGTTTTTGTTTGTTGTGATACGAGGTAGACAAAGATCCACCGCTTTCAATCATCCTCCAGCAAACTGCAACCGCTCTGCCTGCTTGTTGGATGATGGCGTGATCGTGCAAAACCTTCAGCAAGATACGGACCAAGACAACTGCGTACTAGTACACTGTACATCGTAGTACTATGGCAGGAGCCCCTTAGGTCAATCACAGTTCCAGACGGGAGTGGCTGTGCCGACGCGTCGATCTATGTACCGGTACAGTCAAAGACAGCTCGAGACGAAATTGCGTTTCTAAAGTACTACCTGTACGAGCGCGATCTATCTATGACGGTACCGAAACCTGCATACATAGCAAGAAGGTCCTGAAGCGTGAATCAAGTGGGCAGGGTCTTGCGGACCGAAAGCGGACTGCCCCTTTCAGCAAGGATTCATGCTCACAAATTTTACAAACCAAAAATCAAATCTCAAGCTCTCAAGCTCACAAGATCACAACCTTGAATAAAGCAAAAGAAACACCTCATAATACAACAACAAACAAAACAAAATGTTCCGAACAGCCAACAACAGCAACAACAACCAATCTAACACAAACGCTTTCGAAGTTAGCGATAGACCAAGAGTCCAAGTCAAGCCCCGAGGCATTGGACCGGTCACTATGCTCCATGAAAATGATGTCTTGTGCGGACGAGGAGGACGTATCAATGGACATTCTGGCAACATTCAGTTCCGTCGTATTTGTGGCGAGAAAAGAGAGGAATACTTTGCCAAGGATGTCAAGAAAATCCAAAAGGCCCATATTGCCGCCGGTGTCGTGGAGCGCATCCGATCCATGACTCCGCCAGGACGCTTCCTGAAGCAAGACGCGGGCACTGGGCACTGGTATGACATTGGCTGTGCTAAGGCCATGACTAAGGTTGGCCAGGCCATCCGGGAGCATACTCCAAAAGAAGATGATGAATTCGACGGCCAACCACTCGATGGCTTCAGCGGAAACCTTCAAGCGGCCACGGATTCAGGCAATAACGAACCCCTCTACCCCGGATACGATCCCAGACAAATTGACATGACGGAAGAGGAACAACCTCAACAACAGTTTTCGACACTACCAGTAACACCGCCACCCCGTTCCGTCTCGACAGAGCAGTCCATTGGAAACTACTACGCCCATGGCACCCCAGTGAGCACATTCCCCGAAGACCTCCGAGCCTCCAATGTTTCCGCCATGAGCGGTGTTTCCTCCATCAGATCCAGTACCGCCTCTTCTCCTGACTTTTCCGACATGAAAATGTACACTCGAATCCACAACAGTTACAGCTTGTCGCTTCTTCGAGAAAGTATCATGTCAGATATTTCCGACTGCGACTCTGTCATGGACGACGGAGATCAGCTTGCTGCCAGTCACCTCCTTGGTGGCAAGAGTGGCGATGATGTTCTGGCTTTTCAGGCAGAATTTGATGCTGGTGTTCAGAATGCTGCTCTCGAACCCCGCCCCTTTCCACCAACTCAACAGCCGCAACGACGAGCCAAGCGAAGCCGAATGAGTTCCATCATGTCAATTTCCATGGCCTCCACCATTTCCCTCTTGTCCCTTGGTTCCACCACCAGTTGGGGAGCCTTCTAAAAGACCGCAACAACAACAACAAAAACAGCAAGACTATACAAACTGTATGTACATAAAACAAAAAGATTTTGCAAAATAGAAACTGGAACTACTAGTAATAGGAACGCCTTTGAAAGCCCCAAGAGTCATCTAATGCTAGCTAGCCAGCAGTCATTGTAGTGAGCATAGAATCTAAAATACTTGCGCCTCGTTTCATAGAAATCAATACCTCATTGGTTGATGAAGCAGCGACAACACATGGCCGTGAAGCATTGGTGGAGATCTAGAATCAAAACCTCTTGACCTCTTGGTCAAGCACTGCTGCTGCTGCTGCTGCTGCTGCTGCTGCTGCTGCTGCTGCTGCTGCTGCTGCGGAAGCCTTTGCCAAAACCTACCTGCTGTAAGTAACACGCACTGCACTGGTGAACACCTCGCGAAGTCCTTCTCTATAGAGAACTAACTAACTGGCAGTGCAATCCAATTGATGCCTGAGACGAGACACAATGCATGCTCTTTGGACGAAGAACTGGAGTCAATTGGATGGGGATGGTCTAGATAGGTCCCAGTTGCTCGGTGGCTCTGGAGGTGCTCCTTCTAGAAATCCAGGCTCAAATAGAAGCAGCTGTCCTCTGACCGGTATCCAATTGGACCTGTAGCTACGACTGTACTTCCAAGGAGCTCAGACTACTATCGTAATCATCACAGAAGAACCATTGCAGCCAGCTGATGTGGCGCTAACCTCGTGGCTCGTGGAGACCTTGAGCAACACGGAACACCGGTTCGGCTCTTTTCCACGTTGTACCTTGCGTGGGTGGTTGGCACGATTTAACGGGAGTCGAGTCGAGTGAGTCCAAATCTAATTCGGCCAAGCTTTCGCTAGCCAAACCAGCATGAATGAGCGAATGAGCGCTCGGGCCACAACGAAAAGCCAAAGCAAGAGGAGAGTAACTACCAGTAACAACAGAACACAGGAAGGTCTTGTATTCCAGAAACACTGGCAGGTACCGGTAGTAGGCTTGGGTGAATATTAGATAGGTAGAGAGGTGAGTCAAGACCGGAAGGCATCATAAATTGTAAAAGAAGGACAAAATCAGTCTACAACAGTAAAGTATCCGAACCCAGTCAGTCAACTCATCCATTCATTTGCGTTCCGCTTGTTTCATTCATGTCTGGCTTCCACGGTTTCCCCAGTTATCCGTATCTCCCCACTTCTTCGGGTAGTGGTGGTCCCTATTATCTCAACGATCAACAAGCTCAAGCCATGCAGAACGGAAAGCGGCAACGGCGTCAAGCGGCGGCCCTCGTGGTTCAATCGCTCTGGTCGTCTACCAACAAGAAAAAGACAGACAAGGACAGCACCGCCAAGAACAATGGTAACAAGAACAACCGGCCCGTCTTGGAAGTCCCTCCCATGGGCTTTGGACCCATTCGAGAACCCAATGGAAATGATGTATTGGTACGTGTTTTTGATGATACCCCTTTCTTGTTTCTTCTTTTGGATACCCCATGATAGTACTAACACTGCTGTTCTACTTCAGTGCGGCCGTGGAGGTTTGATTAATGGATCTCCTGGTAACGTTCAATTTCGCACCATTGTCAGCAAGAAAAAGAAGGAATACAATTCGAAAAATACCAAACGACACGAAAAGGCTCACTTGGCGGCTGAGATTGTTCGGCACATTCGATCCATGAATCCACCGGGACGCTTTTTGAGGGAAGATGTCAATGGATTGTGGTTTGATATTGGGGATGCTCGTGCCATTCGAAAAACAGGACAAGCCTTGCGAGAAGCCGCTCCCACTATTCGACAAGAATTGGAAGTTGGTGCTGACGGTAAGAAAAAAGGAAAACAACAACAACCACCACCAAAAGACGACACTGATTCGGGCAGTGATGATGGCAAAACTGCAACAACAACAACAAAGAAGGACAAACAATCTGCGCAAGGGGAGAGAGCCAATAGTGAAAGCCCGAAACGAAAAAAGCAAGAGGCTGAGAACGCCAAAAAGGAAACCAGAGCAAAGAAAGAAACTGCCAAGAAGACCAGCAACACCGCAGCAGCAGAAGCAAAAGCAACCGTGCCATCCAGCGATGCTTCCGTGGCATCCAACACCACCACCAAGTCCAAACGATCCTCGTGGCTACCAGGAAGACGCAGTACCAACGATACGCCGGTCCCCGCGGACACAACTCGCAGTAGTCAGAGCTTTCTCATTCCCACGGCCGCGTTGGGGCCTCACATTACCGGATCTGTCACTTCGGTGGTTCCTGCTGGTGGAATGCCACGCATGTCGGGGGGAGCCGTCTTTTCCAACAGTCACAGAGGAGGAGGAGTCCGGGCATCGGCTCCTCCCGTATTGGCTCCGGAACATCATTCGTTCCAGCATCCTACTCCCCATCATCACCACCATCATTTTCCCTATCCCTACCCGCAAATGCATCCCATGTTGCATTATCCGCAAATGCATCCCATGCATCTTCCTCCCGTACCAATGCAAACACATCCATCAGCAGCCTATCATAATCATCCACATCCACAACAACAACAGCAACAATCGCCATATCATCCAATGGGGTATTCGGAAGATGCTTTTGGAATGAACTTTTTCCCAACCCAGGATGTCACGATGGAACAGCAGTCGGAGGGAAGTTGTACAGTGTCGGATATTAGTGGTTTATCCTCATCTGTCACGGGAGATCAAAGAAAACAGCGTGACAAGCATAACAAGATGAAGCACCAACCTACTTCGGAATTGGAAGGTGTACCACCGCTGCTTCCTCCCACAAGCAGCAACAAACGCCACGAGAACAACAGCAACAACAACAACCAAGCCAGAAATGCTGCTCCCGATGACAACTCAGTGGCCATGATTGACACCACCAGTTCACTGCCTAGTTTTAGTGACATTTTGGATGATGTCGACATGGCATCGGCCACCTCAGGGAAGGGGTCCTCACTGGCCATGGGTTCGGTGACATCGTCTGCCGTGGCCAAACTCATGGGACCACCGACGAACAACAGGAACAATCACAACAGCATCAGCTCTTTGAAACAACAGCCATTGCCACCACCGCAACAACAGCAACAACAGCAGCCACCAATGATCAATAGCAACAAGAATAAGCGGACACAATTTGCGAACCAACCTACCATGAAGGAGAACTCCAATTCGACTGGTTCCTGCTTGTCGGGAAAATCTGGTTTGTCAGGCAAGTCGGAGCTCTCGGTGCCTTCGAGTTGTGGGTAAGTTTGATTGCAGATTCTTTTGTATGCATCGCGGATTGAGCAAAGTGGTCGTTAACGTTCTCCCTTTTTCTGTGGCACTGCAGCTCCAACCTTTCGGCGTTCTCCGATTCTTTCATGGCACTGCATCTGTCCGACCACCACGAGTTTGACTAAACAAACAAAGGCAAGCCAAGCAAACTATATACAGGAACGGTGCAAGTATTGGAGCCACAGGGTACGGAGTACGCGTGTGCTAGTGGCGTCGGTACCGTAGAGGCTTCGATAGAGTCGTGGATACATCTGGTCACTCGGAACGCATGATGTGATGCCCCCAAGACGGCGTGATTGCTGGAGCAAAGTGCACCAGGTACAGCTAGAATAAAATTACAGAATGCATAAAGGCAACCCAAAGCTACACACGTGGATTCTGAATAATGTAGCTAGCGGCCAGTTTGGGCTTGGTAACTTTGACAGGTTTTCCACCGTCCGGGCAAGATAAGCACGGAGGCAGTGCCCTACTGGCTGACAGACACTACAGAGATTGAAGGAATATCAAGATCGTGTTGATAAAAAGGATATATTATTGACAGAAAGGGCTGGGGTCGTCCTACTAACAGTCTCAAGCTCAGTTCAAATGGAATCGTCGTTCCTTTCTTTCATACCGCTAGGGTCTTCTATCCGACTCAATTCCCAACACAACCTAACACCTTCACAAAACTTAGTTCAAATGGAATCTTCGTTTCTCTCTTTCATAGGGTGATCTGACGATCCCAACACAACCTAACATTTCCACAATGAGTTTACGGTCGCTTCTTCTACCAATGGCAGCAGAAAATGTGGTGGAAAGCTTCACTGGTCTTTCGCTCCACCCAATGAAAGTTGTGACCGGCCTCTCGCCAGGCAACATGGCCACAGTGTCCGATCTCGTGACCGCAGTGTCCGATTTCGTGAAGGCAGTGAGGCATGATTCTTGTTTCCAGAACAGCAAAAGGGGATTGCAGATTCGATTCGATTCCAAGTCAAAAAGAAACACAGAAAGCAAAAGAAACAAAAAAAGCAAAAAAGTGAGGTTTCCTCCTACTTCGTTTGACCAACAAAGCAACAACGTCTCGGTGTCATTGTTGCACTTCACACACCTGTTTTTCGTCGAAGCTTTGGAAAGAATTGATGTTTGTTTTGTGAGTGTTGCCAAACGAACTCGAGTGAGCTGCTCGGAAGAGACGAAGGCCAGCTTCCTTTTGTTGGCTATTACTCGGAAGAGTGTCGGTTGACCGTTTCTTTACTTATTCTATTTCGAGACTTGACCGTTGCCTGCGGTACTGGAGTGGTGCGCCGCGCATGTCAGTCACAGATCATTCCACATTTGAAAATGGACTCATTCAATCACGGATTTCCCCAAAAATGGAATAGAATCGAATCGAATCGAATCGTGGTTGACTTGCCTCCAGTGGACAAGGAATCTCAATCGAATCGTGGCGTACGCTGTACCAATAAGCCACCGAGCTTTCTCACCATCAATCGACACCATGACAAAATAATGTTGAACAGCTTTCGAACGTTACAGTCCAATCTTCTCGAAGAAGATGACTGGAACGAGGAACGAGAAGAACGGCGGAATTTGTTGGACGGCAGTGCCTTGCAGCCTTGCAGCTTTGCAGCACAAGAACCAGATCCCAAAGGGCCCAAAGGAACCCAAGGATCCAAGATCCTGCCCAAGCTTTTCCCACGCATCTATCTCAATCAGAGATCTGATCATTGATGTTCCCCCATATCTATCTTCGCCGAGACATGATCACGAAAGCCCAGTTGCTGATGTTACCAAAGGCTCACAAAAACAACAGAAAGCCACTTTGAAAGAGCTACCATCCACTCAACAAACACGCACACTCTCAGAACAACATGACTAGCACCACCGAGCGCAAACTGCCCGTCCCTCCCTTTACCTACGACGATGCTGTGAAAAAGGTTCGCATGGCGGAAGATGCTTGGAATAGCTGCGACCCGGACCGTGTCAAGATGGCCTACACGCCGTCTTCGAAATGGCGCAATCGCAACCAATTCGTCACAGGTCGTGAGGAAATCAAGGAATTCTTGTCTCAAAAGTGGCAAAAGGAACAAGACTATCGTCTCATCAAGGAGATTTGGTGCCATTCCGACAATCGCATTGCCGTTCGTTTCTGTTACGAACACCACAATGACAATGGAGAATGGTTTCGAGCCCATGGCAATGAGAACTGGGAGTTTGACGAGAATGGGCTGATGAAGCATCGCCATGCATCTATCAATGACGTGCCCATTACGGAAAAGGAGCGTCTCTTTCATTGGGACCGCAGCGCTCCACGACCTGCGGATCATCCCGGCCTGACTGAGTTGGGTTTGTAAGCAAGGCGTGCAGTATGACAGTAGTTGTAGAAGAAGCTTAAAATAAACTAACTGCTGATGGTAGTTGCAGTAGGCTCCAGTCTTTAACAAGCTAGTTGCCTTTGAACAGACTCGCAAGCTAGATTTACTGTTTCTAAACGATTACGATGCCGTATCCTCTGGTTAGACTGAAGGATATCCCTGGATTCCTCAGTGCGTTTGACCCGGATGGCGGAAGTGAAACCAAACGTATGATGTTTGAAGCAAGAGTGTCCTCCCAACCATGGTAGTGTAGCGACCTGACCGACTTTCTCTATGTTTTGCTGCTTGCTTTCCATCTCCGATCATTTTGCCAATCACGGAGTTGGCTCAGTATGTGGGCTTCTGTTTGTGTTGGATTGTCAAAGCAAGTATGTGAAATCTTGGTGCCCGTGAAGCATTGAGTGACAGTGACAGTCTTCAGCTAGTATTTTGCAGCTTCGCTGGATGATTTTGCCAGATCGCGAAAGATACAAAGATACCGTTTTTGTTGACATCTATCTCACCACCATCCCACCATCCCACCATCCCACACCTCTCATGTCCCGACGAAGACCTGCGCCAGCAAATACTAGTAGCACCAACAACAACAAGATGACGGACCATGCTATTAGCAACGCCCAAAGCGAATATGTTGGTCTGAACCCCTCTCCAACAAGACCACAGTCATCTTCCCCAGGAGCAGCACCGTTACCAGAATCTCGCATCCAAACCTACGTGACGATTGCCGTCCTGCTGTTGCTGATTCGCCTGTTGTATGAATTTCACAAGCCATTGGCCTTTTTGGCCCTCGTGCTGTTTGGTATCATTGGCGCCTATCGACTCAATACGCAATCCAACCAAGCCATTGCGCAACATGACGCTCGTATGGATCGAATCAATCGAGAACGAGAAGAATCCGAGGCCATGGTGGCCGAAGCAGCGAGAATGATGTTAGAAATCAACCGACGCCATTTGGAAGAATTCATCATTACCCATCCAGATTCTTCGTACGAACAATGGATTGGAAATTTGCATCCCGAAAATGCCGTTGACGAGACTACCATTGATCATCGATTTTACGTGGAAGACAGTGATCATCGATTGCTGTGGAATGAACTCATTGGGGAAGAACGACAATTTGTGCCTGTCAGAACGCTAAAGACCACTGATATTGAAGCAGCTGGAAACTGAGGAATCTTGATGTCAACAACCAAACTGGAAGATTCTTTTTTTATGGTCACTGTGATTGGATTGGGGAAGACATTGATGGCTTCGACTGGGCTTGACTTATAATTGAAGTTGCATAGAAATCAATAATACACACTGAAAATAGCAACCTTTCGATTTGGATGTGTCAAGCTCCAATTCCGAGGTCCCCATTCTTCGGTCTATCTCGGCTATGCATATCACATGGTTCATCATCACAGTGCAAGGGCACAAGCCATCTTGATAAGATGGCCGTTGGTGTTACCGAAAGTAAAAACCGTTTCTGTCCCTCATCAGGGATTTTTGCACGTGTCCAGCCAGCTAGATGATGACGTGTAACCAACTCCAGACACTCTCCTGGCTGCTGGCTCAGCATACCGGTACCAGTATTGCGGCTACTTGTTTTGCTGGCAGATGCTGCACAAGGCTTGAAGGCATTGTTACGGACGGAGCACTAGAAGGGCCGATATGTCGGCATGGCACATCATGCGAGCCATGTAATTGTCGTCTAACCCAGAATAGTGAATTGACTGCCAGCCAGCTAGCTAGATTTGGTGGCAAGTCATGTCTAGCTAGGTTATCCTGAAAAACGACTCACTCCGCAAACCAAATTGCTCTTGAGATTTCATGCGGGATCCTGGTTGCAAAACCATGGCAGTGACACCGGTTTCATTCATGCAACTGCAAATGCATGCACAGAAAACTTAGCTACAGTCAGTCAAAGTGGCAGTATTCGATACGATACCCCCGAAAAGAATCTGGATGGAATGGAGTCAGACTAAACAAGTGTTCGCCAGAAGATGCAATGCAGTCAGCCAGACACACGTTGTTGGTCAGAACATAATTGGTACCCATGGAAACATTCAAAGGTCGGGATCATGACTATCCTGCTCTTGTTCACTGCCGATCATCATCTTTTCAAAAGCGAACACGCTCTTGTTGGAAGAACAGCCGAGTTTTCAACCTGGAAACCTTGTGCACTGATACAAGGGCCAAGTGATTTGATCGCTCATGCTGGTACGGGTGGAAAATTCCAGTTCAGACAAAAGCTGATGTCGACTCGACTCGACTCAATCATCTTCATTTACAACAGGCAGCCGGAGGCTGAAGCCCTCAACCATTTTACCATTTTAGAAAATTATGTCAACATCAGCGGGGTCTCAACCGGAGCCACAGCATTTTGCCTCCAGATTCCCCAGGACCGTCCGACGGTTTTCAATCAGGATTTAAAAAACTTGAAATTGCCACGACTGATAACCGTTGTTAAACAATCCCTTAAACAATCCCTTAACTCATCAACAATCCCTTAAACAATCCCTTAAAAAAACAATCCCTTAACAACAATCCCTTAAATATTGGACTATCCCTTAAACAATCCCTTAACGCCAAATGGAAACACCATACAACTATCCCTTATTGCTTCAACTATCCCTAAAACAATCCCTTATCAAACAATCCCTTAAGCAACAATCCCTTAAATCTGCAACAATCCCTTAAACAATCCCTTAACAAACAATCCCTTAAACAATCCCTTACACTTCTGAGTCAGTCGTGTCCGTTTTTAAAGCCTGAGTGAAAACCGTCGAACGGTCCAGCACAACACGGGAACCATCCTGCAAATAGTGTGTGTCCTAATGAACACTGTGTTTATTGCTATCCCATGGTGTTCCACTAGTCTGTTTCTATAAACACTTTTATCTTTCCCTATCCTTTTAATTAAAGGTTCTCACAATAGCTAGCTGGCAGCAAGCTATTGTAGCAGCACTAGACTAGCTCTAGCCAGCCACAAGATAAACAAAGTCTATAAAAAATCCCTTTGGAGGCAATCTGGTAATTTGGGTATGTGCCAATATGCATAGAAGCTTGAAGCTAGCTAGACTAGCTACCTGAACCCTCCTTCTACAGTCAGCCCTCGCTCTTATTTATAATCTCTTATTTATTCCCTCTATTATATTTATTAAATCTCGAGATCCCCCCCCCCAGTCATGAGTGACCGTGACTGCAGTCATGAGTGACCGTGACTGCAGCAACAAATCTTTCGAGCAGCCCGACAACGTCGCACAATCCATTCCAACCGTTTCAATTTGACCGAGATGGCATGTAAAATGCCGATATAGATCCAATGGACGTGGGATTCCTCGCACCTCTGCGGTACCTCTGCACGCACCTCTCAGAGGCTGTCTCGTCGGTGCCAGCCCAAGCCCTGGTTGCTTACGTGCATTTTTGGAAGGATGGTTTTGACCAGACAAAAAACAATTCTTGTGAGCTGCCAAACAATTTCACGCAAACCATACCAAAGGCTCCAATCCGACCTAGACCAACATGAATATGGCTAGGGCTGCTAAGGCAGGCAAGCGAAAGCGTGATAGCTCCCTTCATTCGTACTTTACTAGCAAATAAGGCCCTAGAAAACGCTTATATTTATGCCCTCCATTATATTTATCAAAGTCCAGGATACCCCCTCATAAATAAGAGAGAGGGCTGACTGTACTCCCCTCTCCAGCCCCCTTTAAATAATTTTGTGGCCAGCTACCGGTAGTGTGGGAAGCTCGGAACCAGGAACGTGGCGAATTCCCGGAATCGGAAGGGGAAACTTCAAACACTAGCTAGAGATAAATCCGGTTACTACGCAGCAACGGTACAGTAGTACAGAGTACAGTGTAACCTCTACATGTAATTTTAGCATATCGACATATTAGTAACTCCAAACTCAATAATAAGAAGGCTGAACTGGGAGTCAAGCTGAATCGAGTCGGTACTAGCTAGTACTTGAGCTTTGAGTAAACTTACTTAGTTCAGTCACTTTTTGCTATAATCGTATGAGCTTTCTTAGCCCACTGCTCTATTTCGGTACCAATCTTAATACTGGTATTGCACTGGTATCGCATTTCTTCAATGCTGGATCTCTGAAGCTTTTCATTCGTAGGGTGTTGTGCGCAAGGTGATGCAAAAATTTTCAATAAAAAATTGTCTGCAAAATCCTACAAGAATGTCCACTGAGAATGAAGAAGTAATACTTTAGAATTCTGAAAGTGTTCGGGAGAAATGTTCCGGAGAAGTGTTCCCAAATTTGCGGGGGAATGCAATTTTCCGCTTGCCTTTTGTTTTTTTCTAATAAAACAAGCCAATTTCAGTACAAAAGACTTTCTTACTACCATTATACTTGTAGATCAAAACAGGTTAGTGTTCGGATACACCCAGTGCACCTGGGCCTTTGGGTCCAACTTGCTCAAGACTCTTAATTGGTTTGGATCAAGTAAGATTGGTGATCAGTGTCTCTGTCATCAGGCAGAAATTTTGCAGATTTGTGCACAAGTTTGGAGCATTTTCATGGTGTCAGACTTATGTTTCTTGTGCTTTGAGGTCTCAACACTGGGAAGTTTTCTTACAAGTCTGTGATATTTCAGATCAAAAGATTCTCATCTGTTTCTAAAATCTGAGTACTCACATTCTTATTAGGAGCTTCTTAAATTCAGGTTTGAAGTGTACCGGTACTAGCTAGTGCTGATCATGAGTCTTGCTTTTGTCTAGGCTGGCAGGTGCCGGTGCACTCTTTAAGACCTTGATGCTCGAAGGCTTTTAAAAGAGATGGCGGAAGGGGCACAAATGTGATCACCTGCAACGTCCGGGAATGAGATGCCGGTACCGTACCGTTACTCGTACTCGTGTAGTTTCACAACTCGAGAATTTCGTTTTTGTGAAACTATTGTTTTAATTTCACCTTTTCAAGGATTGTTTTGATAAAAATTCACGTACAAAAACGAAAACGTTTCACTGCTGGTGAAATTAGTTTCACCCTGTCCCTTGAAAGTTTAAAATAGTCAATTTCGCATTTATGAAGCCAATTTCACAGCAGTGAAACTTAACTGTGAAGATCACTTCATCATGCTGCTGGCCTGATTAACGAGAACCGTGAACTCGGCGAACAATAATACCAATAGGCCCCCGTACCGTTATCTCGAGTACTGTAGCTATTTTCAGGAATTTTATGATTAATAACTGCGGCCATCTTCATGTTCCGCTGCCGATGCCCCTGCTATTCTTGGAGCTCATTTGTCCGAAGAAGCCTCACGGGGAGTTGTCCAACCCAACAATCAACAATTCGCTGTTCATCGCACACCTGCTACCGTACTAGTAGGAGGAGTAGTCTAGTACCCTTGCTCTGTTCTGAGGAAGTACATGTACCATACTAGTAGTAACACATCTATCTGTTGCAAATCTTTGCTTCACAGGCACACTGACACAGCATAACTCTAGTGGAAAGATGACGAATAGAGGGGTGGTACATGAATTGTCTGCCGTCTGGTGGTTGGGTATCCTGGGGGTAGCATGGGGATTTGATCTTTCATTTGATTTTGTGTATCCGCAGTCTGTCTCCTTCCGAGCCGCCGTCATGACCAACACCTTGATTCAAGCCAAGCCTCTGGCCCACTTTGACGAGAACTACACTAGTACTAGCAAGGAGCCATTTGCTCAGTTTCGAGGGTTTCAACCGGACTTGCTAAGGGCTCTAATACCCATTGCCAGGGAGCTCGACAATGTGTCATTGACTTTTGATCTTGAAGAGGCCCCTCTCTTCACTTACGGACTCCAGTTCAACTACATGGCCAACGATTGCAATTTCACGGAAGATAATCCTATTCCACTCGAAGACTGCAACCGTTTGGACTTTGTTGTCGGAGGTAAGTTAGTTGCGTTTGCATGATCCGAATATATATTCAATCATACCGGTACTATTGCGGTACCTCCGTTGAACTTGAAGGGCCTCCTCACTTTTTAAATATTCATCGCATTCAGATTTCTATGCCTTTCCCAAACGATCCATTAAGGCTCCTCTCACACCCACCCTGCTCACAAGCGCAGCCGCGCCTCTCCAGTACGTCCATCGACAAAAGCGACAAATATCAACCTTGGCCGAAGCTCAAGCGCTGGGAGAACCTGTTTGTCTCTTGGATAATTCATGGCACGACGAAACCACCTTGTCCTTGTACCCAGAGTTGACCGACCTCCGATGCTTTTCCCATGAAGAATGCGTCCAATTTCTAAAGACTGAAAAATGTGCTCTCTTTGTTGACGACGATCTCCAATTAAAGTACATGGTAGTGCAAGATCCGGAACTTCGAATGGCAAACGATCGATTCAGTACGGTCGACATTGTCTGGCCCATCTCGGCGCGGTTGTCTCCCCTCAAGCAACAACTGTTGATTCGGTGGATCTTGCAGGCCAAGCTTTTGGGAATTGTGGACAAGCTCCATGACAAGTACTTCAGTGTCGAGCTCTGCACCATTGGCAAGGCCGGTATAAATTGCGACAAACCCTGTAGTCCCACCAATGGATTAGTGGATCGGTCGGGAGTGTGCGTCTGTGAGTCTACAAAATGGACCGGCGACGATTGCAATACGTTGGTTCTGGAAGACAAGAATCTGATCCCGCAAAGTATGAAGGCAGTGGCTTATCTAATGGTTGCCATCAACTATGCAGCCGTTGCTGTCTGCGCCTCGTGGTTGTACTGGTCCCGCAAGACGGCACAAGTGATGGTCGCCCAGCCAATGTTTCTGATCTTGATTTGCGTGGGTTGTTGCATCTCTACTTCAACCATTTTGGCTCTGGCGCAAGAAGATGAAGACAATGGATCTGTCGCTGCCTGCAGAATGATTCCGTGGCTGTATTCGGTGGGCTTCTCCATCACATTCGGCACTCTATTCGCAAAGGTGGGTGGTGTGGTTGCTGTTGCGTCATGGCTTTGCTTGCAACCTACTAACTCTTCGGCTCCTCTATGGAAAACAGATTCGGAGAGTATGGGTCCTATTTGTGGCGGCCGCCAACATGGAAAGGACAACTGTTACTGCAAGAGAGACGTTGTCTATTGTGGGCCTTGTGTTGCTAATTGACGTGCTCATTCTGGTTGTATGGACAGTTCTTGGTATGTTCTCACCTTTGACACCTGTAATTCGGTACATTCGTGTTCATCGTTGGGGGCTTACCAACTATTGTTTTGTTTCAAACACTTGTAGACCCTCTGGAGTGGCATAGAACCGCTGTGAGAACAGACAAATATGGCTATGTTCTGGAGAGCGAAGGATACTGCTCGGTGAGTTGCGTTCTCGTTGATATGCTGACCTCTCCGTACCTAGTAGAAGCCTGCATGGATCTTACCTCGTTTGAAACACCATTGTCCTATTCAAAGAGTGAGCACTGGGGGAACTTTGGTTTGGCTATCGGTTCACTGCATTTCGGCTTGATGGCACTGGCGTGAGTTACTAGGGGACGGTAAATCAAGCTTAAAACTTCTCTCCCGTGCTTGTCCAAACTCATTTCTGTGCTTCTGTTTCTGCAGATGTTGGATGTGTTTTGTTTCACGCAAACTGCCCACCCAATTCAGTGAGGGCAAGTACGTTGGGATTGCCATGGTCAGTAATCTTCAAATCATGGCCATTGGCGTCCCCATCCTGGCCATCGTTGGCAGCGATTCCCAGACGAGCTTTTTTGTTGCGAGTGCGATCATTTTCTTCAATGATTTGGCTGTGATTGTTCTGATCTTTGGCAACTTGATGTGGTCTGTTCGCGTAGAGCGACTGAAAAGGGAATCCCGACCTTCCAGGGCTGCGTCGCTCATCCAATCCGCCATGCATTCCTTTGCTCGTCGGACGCGAGAGGAAGAAATATTGGGGCACTCTGGACACTCGTCAGTGTACTCCTCCGCTGGGAAGAAGCGTTTCAGTAACCTCAGTGGCGTAGGATCTGTGGCTACGTCTTCCGTGTCCAGTCTTGGTGCTTCCCTATCCAGTTTTGTCGGAAGGGGCTTCAGTGGTGCTAAGCGCTCTAGCGCTGGTACGATCGACTTTAACAGTTCCGGTCGCGTTGTCCCACGAATGCCATCCGTCGACGAAGATGACATCTCTGAAGACGACAATGAAAGCCGCAAATCAGAGTTCAACGTCGGACTGTCAGATGACGACGAATTTGCTTTCGACGCAGGGGAAGAGAAGTGTGACCTGACACCAGTGGGTGAAAGTGAGGAAGATAATGATGCGGTCGCTTCGAGTCCGGATCACAAGAAGTTTGAAAATGTAAGGGAGAACAGAGACGTCAGTTTCGAGCTCCCAGAAACGGTGGAAACCCAGGGAGACAGGGATGGTTCTGGGGCCGACAACTCAACCATCGTCTCAACGAATGGCTCTAGTGTGGTGGGCGAGCCACTGACCAACCGATCAGGTCATGGCGAACCACTGACCAGCAGATCAGGTCACGACGAACTATTGCCTACAGATCACCTCACGGCGAACCATTGACTAACCGATCAGCTCATGGCGAACCATCAGCTGATGCCAAACGAGGACAAGTGGCAGTAGCCCTGCAGTATCTTGGTTCTGGATAACGGGAAGATGCAGGTGAAATCGGAAAGGAAAGCCTGCCCAGTCGAGACGCAAATGACCCTCTGCTTCCATAGTGCGAGTGCTCTTGACTGACTTTTGAAACATATAAATGAACATGCTCTAGCTAGACAAACATGTATACCGGTAACGTACATCTTCTGTTCTGAAATTTGTACATTTATCTATGATAGACAGTAGTTCCATACATGTACGGGTAGAGGGAAAGTACGTTGGGATTGCCATCCTCAGTGATTTTCAAACCATGGCCATCCGGGTCGCATCCTGGCCATCATTGGCAACGATTCCCAAAAGGAGCTTTTGTCGTGAGTGGGATCATTTTCTTCAATGATTAGGATTCGATTCGATTACCTTGATGTGGTCTGTGGAAAGCCTGTCCAGTCCAGACGCAATTGACATTCTGCTTCCATACCGGTATCTCGCAAGGGCTCTTGACTGACTTTTGAATCGGAAATGACCATACCGGTAATCTAGATCTAGCTAGACATACCGGTCCCATAATGTTTGTTCTTCTAGTAGTCATAGCTAAGATTTGACTACCATACATGTTGACACATTGAACGTGTGATTATGAACATTATCCATTTTTACATGCCATTACTTTATCGTACCACTACTGGCTCTATTCAATTCATTGTGCGCCCCTCCCTTTCTGCGTTAGTTTGACATGGAACATGCATGACATGTGTAGTGTCTGGAGTTTTGCTCGTTCACTCCAGTAAGCATCGAACGCATTCTCGAAAATGGTACATGCCGCGATGACGATATGACTGAGCGTCCTTTCCCTTGGCTTTGTTCGAATCGAGGATGGTGCTCGCGTGAGACAGGTCCACATCGCGGCTGACATCGGATGGTTCCTTGGACAAGAGCTGTTGTTCGTCGTCATTGTTCAGCAATATTGCACCGTTTGGCGCCACTTGCTTACGTCGGTTGTTCTTTCTTTGGTGCGCTTCGTGCTCTTCCAAAACCATATATCTCGACGACCTCCTTGCCTTGACTTTGGTATGCTGTGGTTCCTCGCTGGCAGTACTACTAGTATGTATCTCGGGGGCATCAATCTGAGCATCGGTGGAGGATGCGGTTGACAGAACCGGAGGCAATATTTCGCACTTGCTCTCGTCCGCAGCATTATCCCACCATGACATGGCATCCGTGACATTTGGCGACGCCCTTTCTTCTTCCCGTTGAGGTGGTTGCATCCAGGAAACGCGCCTCTCTGATGACTTGCCTGGTGTCTTGAGAAATGGCGAGGTCCCCCAACCCTCCTTGAATGAATCATCAGTAGATTTCTTGGTGGAAGACGAAAATGGAGCAATCCTCCATCGGCTCTCTGTAGTAGCAATGCTAGACGGGGGTGATGCCGTGGAGGCGGAAGACTTTTGATGCAATCCTTTGGCAAACGAGTCCAGTGTTTGGGTGTCATCTTCCAGAGACATGTTGGTAAAGTCAACATTCTCGTGGTCCAGCCGCGAGTGTCGATGGTTGGAACCCGTAATCTGCATGATTTGTTCTTGGTCTCTCAAGAGGTACCGGTCTTTGGTCTGGTTGTCGTTGCTGCTGCTGAGCATCATGGTAGGACTGACTGCCATATCGGAGGGAGGAAAGGGATCCGAGAATGCACCGGTACTAAACCCACCAGTACTGAACCAATTTGTATCCAAGGAGGCAACGGTATGAGTGTCGACTGCCTTCCAGGAATCGTCTCCGTCATCTGCTTGTTGATGTTGCTCTTGTAGTTCCTGTGATGCGGATGTAATTATGTCCGTCGAGGTTGCAGGTACCAGCGCCGTGCTACTACTTGCCGTTGTTGTTATTGTTGTTGGACTAGGACTCGACTGTTTGGCTGCTGCAATGACAGACGGTGGCGGAGACGTAGCAGCACTACTGTCTTCGGCTGTGGTATGATTGTCGAGTGTATCATTCAAATCTCGCAGTACGAATTGATTGTGTTCTTCTTCGTCAATAATCAAGGCCAGTTCTTCCAAGTAATGCTGCAGTGTGAGCGATCTTTGATGCGATAGCCGTCTCAATTTCGAGAGTTCCGGGTCGGTGGAATGATAATCCTTGTGTGTGGGCAAGACGACGGACAAGAATTTGCTCAATCGAGTGCCCACGAGGTAGGTATCTCGCAGATTCACGTGCGGGTCTTCGCGTGTTTCCAAGAACTGATTGAGAACCTAAGTATGCACAATGAACGAACAGTTAGTTAGTAAAGGGACAGTCTTGTCGTTGCATGAGGAATCGAATGGAATGAAGAGAAAAGCTCACCTTTTCGGCTACCAAATGGTATCGCTTGAGTGAGCAATCATCACTCATTTCAAAGGCATGTCGTCCGGTTTGTTCATCGTGTTCGACCAACCGCGTCCGATATGCCTGGCCATGACGTCTCCAATTGTCGTCTTCTTTTGCAATGAGTGATAAATGGTTGTTGCTGTTGTTGGAAGGAGCATTGGTATTGTCGATGTTGGGGATGTCGATGTTGAACTCCTCCTCGGCCTCAGTAGTAACCGCCACCAAAGACTGCTGCTGGGTACTAGTGCTGTAGTTGAGGAGACTGGCCTCGTTTGGCGCAGCCCCTGCCGAGTGTTGGTTGAGCGTACTGCTGCTGTAGTTGAGACTGGCACTGTAGTTGAGACTCGAGTTGGGACTCGTAGCACCATGGTTGTTGAGAGTACTAGTAGCAGCAGCTTGGTCTTGTGACAATGATGTAGGCGTGGTGGAAGGAGTGACCACTGCTGTACTATTCGCGGTGGAGGGTGTAATGGATGCTGTGATTGCGGAAGCTGATGTAGGTTTGGGTGACAGAAAGGAGGAATTGGGTTGCTGGTGCTGATGCATGTTGTCAATGCGGACCATATCGGTTTCTTCCAGTCCCAAAATGGCCTCCGCGGATGTATTGTTGGGTTCATACATATTGTAGCTGTGAGTGTCCTCCTCTGGCCATGGGACAATGTGATGATGATGATTGTCCTCTTCTTCTTCTTGAATGATACTATTAGTAGTAGCAGTGGCTTCGGTAGTAAAGTCGGGCGACACCACCATGGCTGTTGTGGACGGAACCGCAGCCGGCGTAATGATGGATCCATAGGGCGATGGCACCGCAAAGGAGGTTGGAGATGGAGTCGTACTGGACATGCTAAAGCTACTGGTGCCCGTCGTGGCAATGGTGTGTGCTGTTTGCGACGATGCCGAGTTGGGAGTAAAAGTTCCACTCTGTTGACGCAGCGTCTTGCTGACATAACTCATGGGCGGCGATCGAAGAATGGACGTAGGTGTGGCTCCACTAGCGGTACTGCTATTAGTACTAGTGGTAGTAGTGCTCTTGGATTGCTGTTGCTGCTGCTGCTGTTGCAGTTCGAGTAGCGACGAGAAGGTGACTCGTCGGTTGTTGGCATCTCCCAAACTTTCCACACTGCTGACACTGGCAATGCTAGACGCTCCCGAGGAGGAAGAGATTGGAGTAATGGGCGGCACAGCTTGTTGATGTTGCCGGGCTTGGTGTTGTTGCAACCGCCGAATAGAAGACAGATTGGAGGAACTCATGGTGGTGGATCGCGACGTTGACGATGCGAAATCTTTTTTCCCGGGCGTTTCGGCCATGGTGTACCGATGCCGAATGGCGGCCTGTAGAGGCGTTGGGGGCGCTTGTAGGCTGCTACTACTATCCGCAGTGGAGAATGTCATTGTCAACTATTGTACTGTATTGAATGGAAATGAATGAGTGAGTGGGTGCATGGATCCACGTAGACTTCTGTATCAATCAGTTGGTGCGGCATAAATTTTGGCAAGGAAGGTGTTGGTTTTGGATCGCAATGTGACCCCGCACTCGTGTGGTGCGCTCTTCGTGTCTGTTGGGATCTGCCAAACCGCCACCTCTCTAAATAAAGAGGAACGGAACGCCAGCACGCTAATACGTGAGTCTACTACTGTAAAAGGAAATTTTGGTCTCCTCACTTCTTTTGCACCAAAACCGTTGCTTCGTTAGAATCAAAGTGTCAATCAGGATTCAGGACAGATACGGTAGCCACCGGTACCGTTCGACAAAAAGGATAAACCTGGATCCTAAGACTTGGCTCGCTAGCTATCTGATTTGGTATCTAGCCAACCAGTAAAGTAAAGTAGCTAACATCATGCTCAGAGGCACTCTGTTGTTCCGCAATAATGCAAGCAGATGACAGCGATGATGATCCACACCAAGCAATTACTACATGTCCATCCAAGAAACCACCGACCGTTCGAGCCCCTGGAAATGGCCGGAAAGCTCGTCGCAAACGGCGTCTTCAAGCCAAACAGCGAGGGGATACCGGTCTCCTTCAGGCTCCCTTTTTGCATGGCAATACTCAACCCGGTCGGTTGGCACTCGTCGACAAGGCATGGACGATTTGGATGATGCAACACCATCATCATCACAATAAGAGCATGGTCTTTGTCGATGTCGGAATGGGAAATCATCCCGAAACAACTCTGGAATGGAAAACTGCCATTGAGCAGTGGTTGTTGACGACGGCGACAGAACAACCACAACCAGATACTACCCACGAACGCACCTATCTTTTGGTGGGAACCGAAATCGACGAGGAACGTCTCCAACATGCCAAGGACTTCGACTTCTATGCAAATAATAACAACAACAGTAGCTGTTGTGCCAATGCCAACCACACAACAGCCAAGATTCCCGTAGTATTTGAATGGAGTGGAACCGATTTCCAGTTGCCAACCATTGCGAAACACTACAACGTTCGAACGATTCGCGCCATGAATGTGACACGAGACTACCATATCCACGATGCTTGTACGGCCTTGCATCGATGGTATTCGAGTAGTAGTAGACAACAACCACAACAGCCTGGACCAAATCATACCATGATACTGGAGGGGTCTACCAATGACACGGGGTCGATTGCCGTTGCCATTATTATGGAGCAGGCTGCGAACAACACTGGCAACAAGGGTAATAATAGCACCGAAAGAATTGCCATTGACGGTGTTGTCTTTGGGGTTGATATAGAAAGTATCGTGTGGGCGGACGATGCTTCCCAACACAACAACCGGACAGAAGGCGCTACCATTCTACCAGGCAAGTCATCTCCACCGCAATGGTTTCAAAGGACTTTTCCTCGGTTGTGGCGGCATTGCTTTGATGATGATGGTCACGAACAGTGCAACCAGCCATGGGTCCATTCCATGCACCAGTTTCTCTCCAAGTGGCAACATGTTTCGTCGTCATCATCATCGACAGATGCCAAACAGATCTGGCTCCGCAGTATACACAAACTGGGAGTGCATTACGATTTGTGCCTGGATGGGATACATTCTGGCGTCTTGATTTGGAGGAATCCGGTCGACTTGTATGTCCCCACGCCCGCAGAATCCTTGGCAGGAAAGGGCTGCCAACGAGAAGATAACGTACCGGCTCCATGAACAAGGATGGCTAGATGCTTTACTTTCTAGCTAGTAATCTAGTCCAGCTTAACCGAGATAGTACAGCACGGACCGGATCTAGGGCGGGAGGCCATTTTTGGTCCTAGCCCCAAATGGAACCAACTTTGTCAGCCCCATTTGCCTACTCAAATAGGGAGTCTAGAGACTGTTTTTGACAACAAACAAGTTTCCTATAGTATTTTGAAGTTTTCAGGTGAATTGAGCTAGGTTTCGTGTCGCCATGGTGGAGCTAGCCCCGCCCCGGGAAACCGCCATAGATAGCTCCAATCCGTCGCCGTAACCATAGCAATCTGCCTGTAGCCACAACAGTAGGTATTGACATGAGTTGTGTATGCATTGTAGTCAACGACGGGACCACCAGGAGCGTCGATGTGTCGCACTTACGTTCAGCATAAGATTGCCGCCAACCTTGTCATTTGTTTCCAACGGCCACGAACGACTGCCTCCAATCTATTTCCGAGCCGAAAATTCCATGGCACGAGCAATCTCTTTGTAGTGCATGTTCCAGTGCGACTCGCAATAGAACACTCCTTTCTTGGCCGCTCCATTCGCATTGTAGGAGATGCCACGGCACGCGGGGTGCTCGCATCGTTTTTGAGTCTTCTTCTTACAACCATCTGCACGGCAAGTTCTTCTCTTTGGGCGTCCACTGTCCTCCTCGCAGTCAGAGTTGTCTCCAAAGATATGTTGATCCTCTATCGTGTCGATTGTTGCGACTGTGACGGGAGACAACACTTCGTTCCTTCCGACATGGATCTGGTCGAGTGGGCAATCGGTCGAAACAGCGAGATTAAGGTAGCCATCGTTGCTTGGTGCCTTGTCCGACATGTCGTTGAAAATCAGATCAGCTGCAAGTCGATCAGCGAACTGTCGCACTTGAACGCCTTCAAGCTTTGGGTCGTTGATGTGATGACGATAGAGCTTCCATGCATCGGTCACCGTCATGGACATCAGTGTAGTTGCAATTCGAAACCAGCCGTCTGTTGTAATCCAATGCTTTTCCATCTTCAAATCGCCTTGTCTTGCTTGGTTGTGTAAGTCGATGACATTGCTGTCGCCGAAGTAATCTGAAATCAAGGACGGCCTCGGCACGGCTCGAGTCATGACATTGCCAACACTATCAGGAAACCTTGCAATGTACGGGGCACCAGGCCTCGTGGTGCCAGCGTCCTTCGTTGCCAAAAACAACAAGACTTTCTTTCTGTTGTACTTGTAACCGACAGCAACAAGGTCGTTGCCCCTTGGAGTATGGCACTCCATTACAAGATAAGATCCACTCGGCCACTCCTTCATCTTCTCTTCCAGCTTGTCTTTTGGAAAGAGTTTGCTGTTGGTCTTCAACGCCCCTATGTACGCATGACCTTGTTCCACCATCCACTCCACGGAAGGAATGTCCGTGAACCACGAGTCACCTTTAAAGAACTCTGAACGACCATCTTGTCTTGCTTCCTTTCGAGATTGGAAGCTGCTGCCACAGTAGCTCGAGGCTTCAGCCATCCGAATCGTACAAGCTGCAGTTCCACCAAGCTCCGCATGTTCTTTCTTCTTCATGGCTTCTGCTCCCTCCTGAATTTCACAGTGAATGATGACGCCAGTCTTGGAGCATCCCACAGTCTTGAACTCGGTTCCAAGCGGCTCCGGTTTGCGTTGGACGTAAGAGAGGTGAGGAATATTTCCATAGGCAGTTGTTTGCGGCCTGAATGCACTCATTGTCTCATCCATCACCTTGATAATTGAAGCAGCAATCAATCTGTTTCGGTTCTCATTGAATCCATCCACCATTCCCCTGATCATATACCATGGATCGCCTTTCTCCTTTGCGATGGTGTCAGCGAACGCAAAAGGGAAGACGGATTTGATGTCCTTGAATCGTTGTTGCGACATGTACTCTTTGCCATTAACGCCGTAGTTTATGGGCTCAGTAATTGTCCAGTCGTTTCTGTGCGACTCCTTCTCCCAGAGAGAATGGCCACCAAGCTTTTGAGCCGCGGCAGAGACCAGGATGCCAATGAATTTCCACCACTCATTCTCTGACACTTGTTTGATCACCTTCCTTTTCTTTCCGCTCTTGTTTGATTTGGCTTTCTCGTTGACACAATCAATTTGTTCGTTCAATCGACGCAGCTGCACCCTTGGGTCTCCCGGCCACAGCGTTTTCATCAACTTGAGGTAAGGATACTCGTAGGCCGTACTGTTCTTGGCGTTCCGCTCTGGATCAAAGCACTTGAAGTCGAAACCAACGAGACCAACCTGCGCGTACTCCTGTGGAGTTTGAGGAGGGTCCGAGTCAGCAACAACTTCCCAGACGTAAGGATCAGCTTCCCACACTTGGATCAGCAACTGATGGGAAAGGATCTCCTTTGTTCCAGTGTTTTCAAATTGAACTACCCACTTGATGTTGTCTTCAGCCCTCTCCACGATTGCAATACACGGCTCTTAGCCTTATTCGCGACTCGATCCTAGATAGGGTTTGAGTTCGACTCATGACGTAGTCCTTCGCGAATAGTCATTGAAGACAGGGTTCTCAATGACCGCTCTAGTCATACTAGGTTGATGATGAAACATCGCTCTAGATTTAGCCAGCGTGGAGTACTTCCACGCTACTAGATAAATGCTAGACGAATCTTCCACGCGTTCCGTTTTTGGATCGTGGAGTGAGTAGGATTGCTACCACAACCTACTCTATCACACTCTACAGTCTCCCGCGGGAGTTCAGATCTACGATCCTTATTGTGGATCTCTCTCGTTGATTAGTTTTCATAGCTTCTAATCCTCTCATAACTTTCATTCTCTCAAACTCAAAACACTCGAAAGATCTTTACACTAGCTTTTAGTGTAGTGCACGATGGTTCCTCTTCGTCTTTGACGACCTTTCGTGGTGACAATTGCGCCCGGCTTGAAAGGTGGCTTGACTGGCTCAAGAGAGACGGTCCACTTCTCGTCAAGTAGGGCCTGTTTCTCGGCCTTGTAGATCTCCGTCTTCCGACGATGTTCGTCCTCCCGCTCAAAGTCGCGTTCATCTACAGGTTCGATGTCCTCGGTGAGTTCGTTGGGGATGGCATCGAAGGCTTGGTCCCCGTCTGTTGTTTCGGCTGGTGGTTGGTGTTTGGTCCAATCATAGAAGCGAGGCAAGTCGTTGTCGTCTTCGTCTTCGGCTCGTTCGTCCTCGGATGATCTCTCCTCGGAAGATGAATCGGCATCGAATTCTACCTCGGAAGATGAATCGGATTTTCCCCCGACAGATGAGTGAGAAGCAGAGGAAAGAGACAACGAACGCAAGATAGGAGCTGGTGTTTTGCAAACTTTGTGATTCAAAGCTGCTTTCCGCTTTGGTCTCCGGGCAGGCGACGCAGCCAACGGCTCTGGCTCCGGCTCTGGCTCCGGCTCTGGCTCCGGCTCTGGCTCCGGTGCTGGTTGTTGTTGCTCCGGTGCTGGCATCTCGATGAAAGGTCCATCTTGGTCTTTGTTTCTGGTGAGCTGGCCGGAAGACTTGGGTTCGTCCACGGTGGTACCATCCATTTGTTGGAATCGAACAATCCATTGATGCTTTTTCTCATCAGTTCGATCGACCTTGATAATGCGTCCATGTCGCTTTGCCTTTGCCCTTTCAGTGACATAGGCACCCTTGGTAAAGTTTGGCTGCCGCTGCCGTGCCATCGTCGTCGTCTTTCTCCGATCGAAGATAGTGAGTGTGGGCTCGAATGGAGATAAGTGCATGTCAACAGAGAGCACGTCCGTCCCCAAATTTTCCACACATGATAGCATCGACTCGTTTTGCCATAAACAAGGCAGTAGCTGTCGCGGAAGAGAAAGTTCTTTGTTCATCGCCATCTTCAAACCAAAACCTGTGTTGTGTGTTTGTGTGTTGGTGGTTGGAAGCAGTTTCTATCGAAATTAAAGGTTTGGGTCGCCCGGAGCTAGCTCCCTCCAAAGAAAACGAGACTGGTACTACTTTTTGGACTGAAAGCAAGTCTCATCCTGATTGGAGGGAGAAACGACTCCCCAATCATGACTAAAAGCGCGCACTCGACGAGCGAAGAGCACACTACGATCTATATATCAGGTGCGCGTCGATCGCAAACTGATCGACAATGACATTCAATATATCTTATTATCTTAGAGCGTGCTATCGCTACCACTGTGTTTCCTCAATACTTGCAAGCTGCATACGTTGAACGATGGGATACCACAATCAAAAGAAGTCCTGCGAACAGGGGACCTCCTCGAATTCAGCCGATTCAATGCTGTCAATGCTCTCACGCTCCTTGTAGACAATACGGCGAGCCCTCCGATTGCGGGTGGGGTTGCGGCGACCACTCTTGACTGGCATCGTGACGGGCTTGGGAGCAGCATTGCGGCGGGTAGCTCTCGTCTTGGGGAATGGCTTGATTTCCTCGACCTTGTCATCCTCGGACGACAGCTCGTCCTCGGACGACTGGATCAATTCCACGATGCGACGGTTGACGGCTTCCTTCTTCGTGTCTTCCTTGGCGGCTTCCTTCTTCTCGTCCGAGGCAACAGACTCAACAGACTCCGCTTCAGAGGCCAACAAATCAACAGAATCCTCCTGCTCCAACAAAGCCACAGGCTCCAACAATTCGACGGTGCTTTCTTCGCTCTCGGTAGAGCTGTTGAGCGTTGTCGGAATGCTCAACATTGGACCCAATACAACAATCGGCATGACCTCTCGATTGGTCCGAACCATGAGCTTCCCATCTTCGAGCTCCAGGTTGACACCATAGCTCTTGCGATCGTCGGTCGTAAGAGTGGCAATTGCACGAACGCCATCGTCCTCGTGGAGGACTACAACAGCTCTGATGCTGGTGAACTTGGGCATATTGCTGGCTGGAATGAACTCAAGGCTGGTGCAAGGTTTGCTGGATGCTGAGTTGTGGGATGGATGCTTGTTGGTGGGATCAATAGAATGATCGTTGGAGGGAACGCCTGGCCGTCAGAATTTTCCAGGTTTCTCTTTGAACCGACCAAAATTTGCAGTTTGAATCACTCCTCCCCGCCAAGCAAGAAGCCTCTCCCTTGCATGTGGCCTCTCCCTTGCATGTGGCCTCTCCCTTGCATGTATGTTAGGAGTCCGGGTGCTTCCGCTCCGACTAATCTTTCAGATAAGCAAGGTGCAAATCGGTCATTGTTCGAGAAGCTGCCTGTCATGAAGCCTGCTATCGATATTGCAAAGACTGCCTTGACTTGGTTTCTCCTTGGAGTGGACTTGCTTGTGCTCCTGCTGCTTGCTTTGATCAAGAAGCTCAACGATGGGTCTGGTTTGTTCTTGGCTCGGGTCTCCTACCGCCGGCACAAGTGGCTGTCTGTTCGCTATGGCAACGGGAGCGCTACCAAGTTCTTGTCGAGACTTGGGCGAAAGAAGGTCACGATCCAATCTCCTCCGCCCAAAGCGCCGCCCAGAGCGATGTCCAACGACCGAGATGCACAACTTCCACCGATGAATCCAAGGGAAGGCTGGCATGACGCTCCTGATATTGATGGTGTAAGTGGCGCTGGCTGCCTTGACGAAGTTGCCGTCTTCTACAAGAAGCAGGGCTATGAGAAAGATATAAGATTGCAGGGCGTTGTCACGGTTGAACGCTTTGGCAACCATCAACTTCATCGTGTCAAGATCGAAGGCAACGAATCCGTCAAGGACAATGGACAGTCAAGCCAAGGTGACAAAGCAGTCAACTGCATCTATCTCCCAGCAGGAACTCATATCGGCCGCCTTAATCTGATGGGCAAGACGTGCAGGAGCAGCAACAAGATCTTTGGCAAGAAGTACTGCTTCGCGGAGAACGATGAGGGCCTCGAGCACATTCAACTCCTCATTAAGATGGGAACTCGGGCCGAGCTTTTGAGCAACTGCTTGCACTTCCAGGACGTCTTCGAGCTTGCGCTTTGCGCAAGCTCGATTGTGGATATGGACGACTAATCGTTGGTAAGTCTCTATCGTTCTGGCAAGTTTCTGCGCTCTCTGGAGCCCGTGTCATGGCCCTCGACTCGTCAACAACTCATCTAACATTCCTTCCAACCATTGCAAGCAATCGGTGGCCTTCGCGGAGCACACAGGGCTCCTCCCAACTATGGACCGTATGGAGATAGGTCCATTTTGTGCTTTTTCCGCCGAAAAAGCTCCCTTACTACGTACTACATCGCCACCTCATTACTGGGAGCACCAACATATGACACCCATTCGCTTTTAGAGTATAGTAAGACGACTTTATAGTGCAAAGATGAGCTTAATCGGACCAATAGTCGTTGAGTTATGGCCAGTTGAGTGTAGCGACCGAATGGGGGCTGGTGGCACCGCACGGAGACACCCCGCCACGAGGCAACCCTAGTAGTTTCAAAGGGGAAAAGTTAGAGAAAGGAGCTCTGATGAGCGCCGGCGGCTTTCGGGTTGCACCCACTAGTACCTTGATTGGCCATCGATGAACCAAATCTTGAAAGGGCAACTGTGGAAGAAAGTAGAGAGAGTTCACGCATTTTCAGGCAATACCTAGCTTTGATGTTGCGCCGAGCTTCCATTTCAAGGCTGCCCCCCTCTAATAACTCGGGTGTTCCTGTTGGCAGGCCCCTTCCTTCTATGCAAACTGCGACCTTGCATCCAAGTACCGCCCGGTAGAGATGAAGTAAGCATCATTTTGCTTCACTTCAAAAGGCGGCCGCACGTCATCCCCAGACTTCTTCAAGACTTTGAAGGGCACTATAAATCATACAACACCTGATCTCATCAAACTGGCTCTGCACATGATGGGTCTTTCACACATTGCTGTGGTTCACCAGCACTTGAGAGAGCTGCTTACTTCAGAGAAAGAACTTTCCTCCTTGTATGCAGATTCCTCATCTTGTCTTCGGTCCAATGCTGCCATTGCCAAGCTTGCTTGTGAAGTGAGGGGTGGAGTTGATTCAATCGACTCTGAGTTGCTAGAGTACATGATCAATGAAGCAGCAGTGCTGGATGCCCTTACTCTTGCCATGTTTCAGGACCTGTCACTTGTGTCTGAGGTTGTCCAAATTCTCCTTGATAGTAAAGAAACAGTAGAGGCATACATTGATGTGGCGTCAACTTCAATTGACAAGCATGAGTTTATTACAAACAAATTCGAAGGCATTGTCCATCTGTTGAGAAGCTCAATAGAGCTCTTAGCAACCAACAACAATTATGGTGCACAGGCTATGGTGGAAGCCCTGCAGATGAACATCCTTGAGGCTGTAAAGCTTGACATTGTCAAAGGATTTGAAGCCAACGCTCATGTTGGTGTAGCACTAGCTGCAAATGTCCAATTTGCTCCTGTGACTGAGGATCATAAACAAAAATGGCCTCTTGGTGAGCACTGGGTCAATGCATACATATCATGGAATCTGGCATTTGTTGCTTCTCTTGGGACTTTCTTGCCCAGCGGGTTGCGTTCATTCCCTCTGTGGCCTGCACAGCTAAGCACAATCATGGTGATGGCTTAATCCACCACAGAGTGACTATCTTGACAGCATCAATGCTGGAATCAATCAAAAGTACATGTATATTCTTGTGATCTGAATCCACTTCTCCTTTTCATTGATTGCCTTGTTGCAGGTGTGGCCAAAATCCAAAGAATCCAACAAGAGCTATTCAGGTTGAAAAGCAAAACAAAAATTAAACCCTGCACTTGTTCAAATGTTGGGACATGCCAAAATGGAAAATTTTGTCCTCATCAATCCATCACCAGACAGAATAGACTATGGTAGAGGAGATGCTGTTTGATCTATGCAAGACCTTTGCCATGGCAGGTGTTTGGATACTACTCTACCGATAGGCGTACTGCTACTAGCTAGCTAGTACTAGTGGCTGTTGAGTGACTCAGTTTGCTGGTTCAAGCAGCTGTACTGGCTCGCTATCATAGCTCGGCCTACAAATTAATGTTGAGTCGAATGATTCCAGTAGTTTCCAGTCCATTCCCAAGATGCAAAGTGTCTTTATAGGTCACTGGAACCTGAGATGTCATACTATACTCTACTACAATCTCTCCGTATCCTAGACAATTACAATTTTGTCCAGTGACCGCTTGAAATGTCAATAGTAGCAACGTATATAAATCATTAAAGCTTAGATTGCTCTGAGGTTTCTAGTCAAGGGTGCACCCAGCCTTCCAGCCAGCTCCCGCCAGTTCAAACTATTAATACTTACTCGAACACTCGAGCACTGCCTACCGGTACCGGTTGGAGTAGAAGCGCACACAAACATACATATATATTATTAGTACATGTAGCTTTTGCTCCAACCCGAAGCGTCTACTAGACTACTAGCTAGCTTGCTCAATTCGCGTCAATTGGGTGGCTCTAGCTACAAGTACCTCTAGCTAGCGTGTTTGCTTGCTCTCTCCAGCTCCACTTGGGAGACGAGTCAGTAGTCCTCCGGTGCCGATAGAAAATCTACGTAGAGGTTCCCTTGCCTTCAATCTAGCTAATCTACTAGCTAGCTAGAAGCTTGACAGAACGAAGATCCTTCAGTTGGAAGAGCTAACTAGCTAGAACGAATCGAATCGAATCGAATCATTATTCAATCTAGACATCCTCATCATACCGGTATAAACGAAGAGATTTTGAATTAAAGTTGCCGCAGGTCTTCCGGTCTGTACGCACGGTACTATTCAGATGGGGAGATTTTTACATGGTATGTAACAGCCACCATCCACCCAACTAGCCCAAAGCAAGAGCCTCATCCGCACCACACTCAGCAGGTCTTAACTACAGGGCTGCACATGCATGTTCCAGTGAGGCTCATTCTCTAAGTCTTTGGGATTCTTTTACATATCTCTCGTTGGCACGATTACCTTGGAGCACAGTCATTGTCTGTTTCGACGGAGATAAAAGCCTGTACCACTGTTAAGTGTTTCATTTGACTGGACGACATTGTCACAGCAAAAAGGCGATATGAAGAGGTTCCCTGGAATTGATGGACCACGAGCAGAATAGACATAAACTAAGCTGATTTTCCAAACTGTGACTTCCCAACTCCCAACAGTTGTTTCTAAAGCTCTCGGCAGCAGGTCCTCAGCAACTGCCCGCTCCCACTCCTGTTTTTCTTCTTTTTTCTCAAAACAGTGACCCCTCCCTCCAACATCCAACACAAGGTAACACCCAGCAAGCTTCTCACATTCCAGTTTTGAGCGCTACGAGCAGTCCAGGTTTAATAGCGCATTTAGTTGGTTAGTTCCATTGTACAGCATCAGACGAACAGACAGCAACGATGGACGATACCTCTCTTTTGGAATCGTACCGCGTGATGGAGGATAACAGCGACGGCACGCAACAGACCGCGTTGGGAGAATCCGCACGCCATCTTCGAAGCGCTCCTCCTGTGGATCGTAGTAGCAGTACTAGCAAGTTGGATCAACCGCGACGAACAACAATCCAGTTTCCGCAGGACCCTGCGGCATTAGCGCAAGTGGTGGATCACGTGATTAACCGCGAAGACTTGACGGAAGAAGATTATCTCCTGCTGTGGTTCAATACGGAAGAATACAACACGTTAAAAGCCGAAGCCCGCCGCGAGTCGTTGGCGTGCGAACGCGATGGATCCGCCAAATTCCTGGACGAAGCCTTTTGCGAAAAGTGCAAACATCAGCAAGACAATCTTTCCAAGTGGGTCACCATGACACCGTGCGCTGAGGATTCGGAACGACGCGGTCTGGAACGAATGGCCAGTCAAAGGATGAGCAATATACGACAGCAAGCACAATTCCAGGCCATTATGGAGGTACTCCGCGCACAAGACGAACAGCTCTACAGTAGCAAACGGCAGGTGGCGGATCCCGAAGAAGTTCGAAAGGTCTCTCAAAAGGCCACTCGCGTGGCACGCCATTTTGCTCGCATGTTGGCCAAAGCCGACGCCCAAGCGGTACACGGCATTCCTGCTACCACTCGTGACGGAGATGCGGATACCGTGGCGAGTAGCAGTCATCCGACAACTCGAAGAATCAGCAAGTCCAAATCCAGCAGCAGCAAATCGCGATTGTCGGGTGGCTCGGATACCCTCAGTGTTGCCACCACTGGTAGCAGCGCCAAGAAGAGCAAGGCCAAGAAAAAAGACGACAAGAAGGAAGACAAGAAGAAAGACGACAAGAAAAAGGACGACAAGAAGAAGAAAAAAGAAGACAAGAAAGACGACAAGACCAAGAAAAAGAAGGACGACAAGGAAAAGACCAAGTCGACTTTGAAACAGAAATTCAAAGAAACCAAGGCCGGTATCATTGCACGGATACCCAGAATCGCATAGAGTAAGTGTGTGTACAACGTTGAACGTTGCACACAACCCTTCCTGCTTCCCCACCTTGTTATTTTGTATTGGACCAATACATACATAAATAATATATACATCATCTAGTTCCTCCGCACAGTTTTTGTTTCTTTTTTGGAGCATCCGAAACGAACCATCAATATTCTGTAGCTTTGATGCAATTACTATCGTGCTACGGGTAGTATCAATTCTCTAGTTGAGTTGTGATTCGGTGGCTTGCACCAGCTTGGTCAGGGTTGGCAACGATACTCGTAGCCGCAGGAGCTCTTCGCTACGGTGTGTTCCAGGCAAATGCAATCGAACCCCGCAGAGGGACGGGACGAAACCAAACCTCGCACTTGCAAAACTACATTAATTTTAAAATAAAAGGCCACACTACTATCGAATTGAATCTGTGCCGGTACTAGTGGATTTCAAAACGGATTCTTGTCACCGTCAAAACCGAGCTCACCATGGCGTTTTACGTGCACACGAGTTTACTCAAATAAATGCACCCTGGCTGATTTCGTACTCTCTTGCCAGAACCTAGCCAGGGTCTAGCCAGCCAGCCTCGAGCCATCGACTCGATTGGCCCACGGCACCAACTGCCACGCGGCGAGTATCAATAGCAACGTTGCATTAGTTAAGGAGGGACGCCCTGGCTACTAGTGGCCAACTCGTCAATCTATATAGATTTGACTCGAACGACTGAGTCACTCGACTCGCCCCAAAGACACGCAAGTCAGGTTCGTACAGAGGAGGAATGCGCAACTCCCGACCTTTCTGGCGTCTCAGGTTTCGGCTCATCCTGTCTAAAGAGCTAGCTAGACTAGTAGCCCCAACAGCACGCCGTGGTCGTCAGTGTGATAACTCATTTGGTTCGACTGCAATCATCGAATCCGATTGAATCCAATCGTTCAATCATTTCGGTATCGACGAACCGAGGTGCGGGGGAACCAGTCGCTTGCCACCGCCTCCTCGTCTACGTGTTACGAACTGCATCAGCTGCAATCTTTTGTCCTTGGTGCTACCGGTATGCATATGAGGCTGGGCTCCACAAGCATCGATCTGACAACCACAAGTAGCCACCAGGAGGCTTGGCCTTTGGCACCTCAAACAACTCCCGCGAGCCTTGGGAAAAAGCGCTGACATACGATAGCAAAAAGTGACTGAGCAAATAACTGACGTTGCCTTGAAGACCAATTTGGCGGCAAGGTAGATGCGGTAATAATTTCTCTTGATTCAAATATGCAGAGTAAACTTTATCCTTAACCCTAAATTTACCACACCTACCCATTTGAAGTGTCTTCCTTGGGGACAAACGTCACCGAGGTGCACGCATTAGCGTGGTTTATTGGGTTGAGGTCGGCTCGCGTTTTGGTACTTAGAGACAATTTGGGAGGGATTGTGGCCGAACCGATGACGTGGCGACAATAAATCCCAAGAGTGCATCGACACAAGGAAACAGCAGGCACCTTCCTTGGCGGCTTGGATCCTTTTGCTCTGCAACCGTCGGGTACCGCCCCTCTCGAATACATTCTCGCACTGCTGCTGCAACGCTGCAACTCTTGAAGCACACGCACTTGTTTCCAACAGTTGGGGGTCGAGTCTTTGATCTTCTTGCTGTTCTGCTGCTGTGTTGGAAGGACGTATTCATCGAGAGCTAGCTGGCTTACTTCTCGCCATTTTAAAATTCGGAGCTGGTGCGTCTGGGGCTTCGTCACTGCTGTTGCTTCCCTTCCAGGTGGTAGTGTACCAGTAGCCAATAGAAGAGAGTGTACCACGAGGCAAGAGGCGTTTATTCTAGTGCTCTGGTCATCCTTTTCACTGGTAGCAGACTGCTTTTGTGTGGATTAACTCGGTATACCTTTGGTTTCGTGTCGAGGTAAAGGAGGCGTCATTACGTTGCTGCCAGGAGAATCGAATCTACTTGAGAACTTCTGATACCAACAGGTGAGTGAGTTGAGTCCTCGAACGGCAGTACCAGGTACCTTGATCTGAGCTCTATAGTGTTCCCATTGAAAGTCTAGGACGTGGGTTGCTCGGCCATGGTCCTACTGGTCAAGAAAGTTCGCTGCTTGGCCTCCACAACTCGTCATCGCTGGCTAGCTGGCTGCTTGAGAACGCCAAATCAGTGTGTGTTTGTTTGTGGTGGTGGGATCTGATCCATCACTCGTGTACTTACGCACTAACTAACTTACCTATTGGTTCTTTGTAGGTGCCGCGTCAAACGAATTATCTCGCTGAATTGGTCCTTGTCCTGATCACGGACAACTGGGGTAGCCTTTAGCCCCCAACAACCAAGCTAGACAGCAAGCTAGCTGCTGCACTAGCTAGCTAGGATTCCATTCCAACCTTAGCTCATTACATTCAGTTTTTAAAGAACAACGACAACATGGCGCTGGGAATGACCAAAGATTCCATGGTGGACCTCCAGAGTCTGGTTCAAGAAAAAGAGATTCAAGCCAGCAATGGAGCTGATACCGTCAGTCTGCTGACCACAGGTCTATCTCATGGGTCTCAAAAACAGTACCAAAAGCTAGCCGTCGATACAACTACCACAGCTGCAGAAGATAAGGACTACGAAGAGATTCAGCCCTCGTTGGCAACGGAGCAAGCCCTTCGTAGTAATAGCATCAAAGCCAAGAAAGACGGAGCAGGAGAAACGAGCAGTCCCAAACAGCTGACATCGCCACAAGGTGCACTCTCCGAGGGAGGATTATTCATTGATGCACAAGAAGAGAAAAAGCAAGAAGCCGCTTCCTACGGCCAATATTCTGGATTCGCCAATGATTACGATTCCTACGACTACGATAGCTACGGTCACTTCCAATATCATCAATCCCCGCAAACACTTCTTGGGGGTAGTAGCAACAAATCCAAAGGGTTTCTTTGTTGTTTGTTTCCTTGGCTTCAACAACCAGCACAACAACAACAACCAACGGACCAGGAAGAGGCTCCCGTGCAGGAGGATTTCGTCGAAACAAAGAAAGAACAGGCCAAGGCAGCACCAATGCGGAAACCCAGCTCGGGAGATGACGACGACGTGTCGACAGGTGACGTCTCGGTGGGAAGCGACAAGCTTGGCGAACGACTGTCCGACAGGGACCGACAAGCTGTCTTGGCCAGGCTTCGATTGGCGCAACCGGATGGAGGCTCGTCGGAATCGGCAGGGGGGTCCTTGTCACCTGGGTCTTCCAACAAAGAAAAGATTCCAAACAAGGGGCTGTTGAAAGACATTCCCAACATTAGCGCACCTGCTAGCACCGACGAGGATGCCAGGTCGGATATTTCCACTGACACTGGTACCAAGAGCATTTTGAAACGTCAGTCGGTGGTGACGAAAACTCCCGAATCGCAGTCGGATAGCCGTAGTGGTGGTGGCAAACCGCGAAGGTCCCTATTTCCAACATACGAAACAACCAAGAAAAAGAAGAACAGAGATGATCACATCCAATTTGCTCCCATGGCCCGAGTTGTAACGGTCAAATCTCAAAAGGACATGACAGCGGAAGAAAAGTCGTCCATATGGTGGCAACGATGGGACTATGAAGATTTCCGAAAGACGGGACGTATCATCACTCGGGCCATGTTGGAGGGAGGAAGTGAAATCTGGTTGGCATCCAACCAATCGTGGCGGCATCAGGGAATGAGCAAAACGGCAACCCTCAAAAATGCGATATCCATGACGGAGGACAACGCGGCAAAAGCCCAGAATGGTAGCGATTCTTCCGATCTCATTCGATCGACTGGGGACAAGTGGTGGCACAAATTCGGACACTCCCGTCGTGGCCTTGAACACATTGCATCGATTAAGGAAGGATCGGAACGACAGGCCAACGTGAAACATGCTATTCGCGCGGTCTTGGACGAACAGAAACGGCATAAGGCTTACTTGAGAGAAGATCCAGAAAAGCTGCGAATGGTTTCGATTCATCATACATCATGGGCACGCGATTTGGCACTGGCGGCGGGATCTTCCGATATGGATGCTGTGAAGAGCAACTTTGACGAAGAACGCAAGTCTCGCGAGTTCTACCTGCTCAAAATGGCTCGATCGAATTCTATTTCCAGCAAGGGCAAGCATGTTCCAAAATTCATGCAGCCAGCCATGAATACATTCGCGCAGAAACTGGATGCCAACACCAGCGCCCAAATCATGTACCGTCGCAAGCAGCAACGGACACAGCAACAACGGATACAACAACAAACGGCGGCACCAGCGGTGTCCAAACCTTCGAAGCGTGCATCCATGCCACCACTGGCAGCGAATGGATCGAAGGGGCTAATTCTTGACCCACCGGAGGACAAGGATGCTAAGCAGGATGCCCTTAGCACTCAGAACTTGGCAAAGCGAGCGGCTGGATTTTCGCATGACGGTGCAGAGCAGGTGAACATGGCGGCTGTTTTGAGTGGGATGGGCGCCGTCCCGAAGAGTGCTCAACCCGTTGGAGCGTAACCAAATGATAGACGAACGCATCCGTAGCACACGCACACACTACTACTCTAGATAAGGCAATTGTAAACTGATGAGTTTTTGTACATGGAAAAATGCATTTCAACGCTGGGTACCCGGAGACTCTCCTCCATGCTGAACCCCGTCGAAGTACGCTTTTGGGACAGTAGCCGTCACACAGCCAATTGCTGAGTCGAACAGTTGCCAGTGGGTGCACAGCTATTGGAAAAGCAGTTAGGAACTTGCCAGCTAAGCTTCACATCAGCTTCTAGCTGGTGGCTCGTTGGCAAAATCGACGAGTAATTTAAGTGCACGAAAGCTCCATGTACAAGACGTGGCACAGAAAGAGAAGTCACGGTGGCGTGAATTTAGAGATTCCGTCCGTCTCTCAACAGCAGAATGAGGGGGGCGGCTGTTGCCTGCTACGGGCTGCAAAAAGATTGTACTTGCTTGTTTACATTGGTCATAGGGTGTACATTGTTAGTTTTCTATTCGAAGGAACTGAGCCTGCACATTTTCCATCCTCCTTATTATTCATCCACCCGCATGTAAACGTTGACGAACATGCCATCGTCTGTGAAGCCCTTTTCGATCCAGAAGGTCCCATCAAAGTAGGCACTTTCAACACAGTTGACTCTTCCTTTGAGCATCCCAAACAACCCGACTCCAACATTTTGGAAACCAAGCATATTGGTGGTGATCTTTTCATATTCAAATGTGAACAAACCTGGCTGAACTGGGCCAGACTGAACATTTCATTAGTTTGTTACATGCACAAGAAGGAGAGGGAAAGTTTAGACGTATCACATGCACCATACTACTCTCATTCCCAATAAGTTCGTACGGTACTTACATCAAAGGTGTACTTGCATTTTGCCGTCAGCGAGTCCAGACCCAACGTCTTTTGGGGGAATTTGAGAATGTAATCCAAGTTTTCTTCATCCAAAATCTTCAAAAAGACGGTGGCTTCGTTGGGTAAACTCTCCAAGACAGCATCCGAAGTGCTAAACATGAGTTTCCATTCCGACGCTGGTAGAAGGGCGGTTCCAATATTTTGCAGTGGATAGCTTCGATCCCTTCGATTGGCCAGTACAGTGTCCACGTATCCTTCCAATTCTCTTCGTTTGGTGGGATCCATCGTCTTGGAAGAGACCCCCTCTTGTTGCATGGCATTCAGTACAACCAACATTTCTTGATAGGCAAAATCTCCAGCCGGAGATGTCGCTGGCGTGTTTTTCTCTTTCTTCTCTGGAGACCCAAAGCCTCGATTACTGCTTTTCAGGAGTGTCCTGTGGCATTGCGGATTATTTGTGGTGGCTGCTGTTCTGAAGGGCGTTGGCTGTGAAGGTGTTGCAGTCAGAAACGCAGCAGCATCTTGTGTCAAGACAACCAATGCTACTAGGAGAAAAAATGGGAGGTTTTTGTTGCATAAAGATGCCATTTTGAAGTGCTGGTACCAATAGTTGTAGATTGATAAGAAAGCCACAGGAAAATGAGAATGATTTGCGATCGGATGCGGGTTGTGTTCTGTTGAGTTGGATACTGACACTTGGCACTACGATACTGTTTATAGAGATGATGGAGTCGTGAGCCCGGTGGAATGATCACATGAACACAGATACCGTACGATGGCGTCAAGCTGTGTTGCAGTCAGGAGCAAGAGTGTCAACAGTCAGCAGCAACCAACAATGGGTGCCATGCCATGGTGCATGGTGCCTGTGCCGACTGAGTCAGTCACCTCTTTGGTTGCTTTCTCCGTCTTGCTGACTTATCAAATATTATATAAGGTTTTTTTAAAATAAAGATAACTGTTTGAAACCCATCAAAGCGGAAAGGTCGAGACCCTCACAGGATATGACATGTCACATCTTCATCCTTCATTGTGATACGAGGTACCTTCGACCAGTATGCGAAACCCGTGACCACAACTGGGCTTTGAAGTCCACAAGAAAATAGTTAGCTAGCTAGAAAGCTGTGAAGGTAGCAACGAGCAAATCGAATTGGCCGTTTTAGTATCATCATGAAGAAAGTTGCAATTCTTGTGGCCGACAATCTGTTGGCAAAGCCAGACGAACCCCTCGCAGGGGACCCGGCCTGTGATATCGAAAAGCGAGAGTATCGCGAAGAACTGGATAAGTTGGTGTCAGCATTTGCGCAAGTCGGTGTTCTGCTTGAGCCAGTCCCTTGGCGACAAGCTGCCTCCAAGGCGGCAGAGTATGAGGCCATGTTGCCACTCTTGTGCTGGGATTATTTCCAAGGAAATCATGCAGTGTTCATGGAGGAAATGGACAAGGTTTCAAAAGTTGGCAACAATTGCAAGCTTTTCAATCCAGTGGAACTGCTTCGATGGAATGGGAAAAAGGATTACCTCGAGGAACTAGAACGTCTGGGCGCTCCATCCATCCGAACTGTCAGCCTCCCAAAGGTCACAGAGGAGAGCGTTGCAAAGGCAATGGAAGAACTCAAAGCGGACAAGGTTGTCATCAAGCCCAAAGTTGGCGGTTCATCTTGGCGCCAGGTCTTATATTCAAAGGATGAACCTTTTCCCTCCGAGGATGAATTGCCGCCCGAAGACGCACTGGTTCAGCCATTTTTACCTAGCGTCGTCGTGGAAGGAGAGTATTCCTTCCTGTACTTTGGTGGTGAGTTTTCTCATGGCCTTGTGAAGCGCCCCAAGAAAGGTGATTACCGGGTACAGGGCCTGTTTGGTGGAACCGAAGAAACCTATGATCCAACCGATGCAGAGCTGCAGGATGCTCAAGCGGTGCTAGACACCCTCACAATCAAGCCATTGTATGCCAGGGTAGACCTATTGCGTGGTACAGATGGTGGCCTCAAGCTGATTGAGTTGGAAATGGTAGAACCGTATCTTTACCTTCCCCTCGCTCCTGGCGAAGGGAAGGACAACAGAGGAGCACAGCTGCTCGCGAAATCCGTTTGCAGGCTGCTCCAGAATAACGAGCACGTCTCTGTGCAATAAGTATGCAAATAGGGAGGGCAAACTTCCACAACAGCTCGGTATCTTGTCTACCAGTGCGTACCAGGTCTACCGTGTGGCTAGCTAGAGCACTGGATGAAGGCTTTGAACGACCTTTCTTCCAATAGCTCCGATTGGCGGCACCGGTACCATACAACACCCAATTAATTAGCTGCATTTACCTCTAACCCTAAACCAAATTGGATTCTGACATTTTTAAGGCTAGAGCTAAAAATCAGCACGTCATTGGCACTCTGATGGTGCTCTGACTCACAAAACGAGAGGAAACACAGCCTTGAGGACCATGGCTGCGCTAGCTAGCCAGTACATGTGTTCAAGTTCTGTCGGCAGTTCGGCATGAGGTAGCGGTGCGAATGACGAAGGATACACCACGTGAGGTGAGCGAGCGAGGCTGAGTAATGCTCAGAGTAGAGTTGTCTAGATTCTCGACTCAGGACACTCTTTTGTATTGAACAAAGCCTACGCTGCCACCATTGCATTCTTCGAATCTCTTGCAGAACAGAATCCTAATAACTAATAATCGACAATGAAGACTCAAGTATCGGCTGTATCTCTGGCACTGTCTGTAGCGGCTCTGGTTACCACCAGCCATGCCTTTGCCAGCATTTCATCGGGCAATCTGAGGGCTGCTTCCTCGGTGGCAACCCCTCTGCACCTTCGAGATATACCTTCTTCGTCTACCAGTTTAAATGCAGCGATCAGAGACAGGGAAACTGCTTTGAATGCTGTCTTGCTAGAAACTGAAGAAGTGGTATCTGTGTCTTCTTCAGAGGTGGTCGACCTTTCCGTTCCAGATGTCGCTGCTGAAGCTATGGAACCACAAGAAGACGAGAAAGCCTATCTCAAGGACGGATTTGTCTTTGGATTGGAGGGATCTGGTTTGGAACGACCGCAGGGAAAAGTTGCCAATATTGTTGTGGAAGGAGATTCGCTCGAAACACAAACCTACCAAGTAGCCATGGTGGCGGGTACCTTTTTGGCACATGCTGGTTTTGCGACTGTCAACTACATGGATCTGCTAGCAGCCAATGGCGGCAACGTTGTCATGGCATCGGTACAGACATTGGTTTTGCTGGTCGCCAGTTGGCTTCTCGCAGATTTGGGATCGGGTGTCTTGCACTGGTCTGTTGACAATTACGGGAACGGCAAAACTCCCATCATGGGCGGTATCATTGCTGCCTTTCAGGGTCACCACTCGGCTCCATGGACCATTACCGAAAGAGGATTTTGCAACAATGTCTACAAATTGTGTATCCCCTTTGGAGTGGTCCCCATGACCGTAATCAACTTTCTGGCCGGGCCAGCTGTGACTCTGTTCTTCACATTTTTCTGCGTCGCGGAGATCATGTCCCAGGAATTCCACAAGTGGAGTCACATGACGAAGGGACAATGTCCCGCGTGGGTCAACACGTTGCAGTCCGTAGGATTGACTGTTGGTCGAAAACCTCATGCCCAGCATCACTTGGCACCCTATGATGGAAATTATTGCATCATTTCTGGCATCTGGAACAACGCCCTTGATGAATCTGGTATCTTTCGATGGATGGAACACATGATTTACAACATGAACGGAGTAGAAAGCAATGCATGGAAGCTCGATGCGGAACTGCGAGAACGCACTCTTCGAGGAGATTACGGCCTTCCGCCAACGGCTGCTTCCAAGAGTGCCTAATCAGATTTGTGGAGTGGCTAGAGACGCCTTTCCACCAGGCTGATTAGCAGTGCTAGTTCGAGGAAGTGTACAAAGCATGTATAAAATAAAAGACTTGTTAGAATCACTTGATGAACAATTCTCGCGGTCCGACGGCATTGGATCTCTCCTCCGGTGACGGTAAGTAGATTTACCTGAAGGCTCAAATGAAGGGCAAAGAAAGACACAAGTGACCAGCAAACTGGAATCTTCTCTATAATCTTGGTCGAACGACGACGACAAGATCCATGCCTTCATATTCACCATGTCTCGTTGCCACCAACTCAATGCGCAAATCTCACTACATTGCTCACGGTGAGGCGTTGCCTGAGATCACCAGCCCATCTCGTTATGGTACCGACCCTCTACAAGCAACATGCCGAAGTAGCTAGTTGTAACAGTCCAGTGAAAAGCGGCTATTCTATACATCTATTGTTGCTACACTAACAGCATCTGAGCCACCAGGATTGTCATCAAAACAAAAGGGTTCACATAGATCCTCCGACAAAAATGAGATTTCCTGGGTTGATTCGTTTACGTCACCTGCAACCTGGTCATGAAATGTCTTTTGGTTCGGCTCTTTTTGGTTTGGCACTTTGGCAACAAAAGGATCAGACACCTCAGGCATGACCATGTTCTGTTTTTCCAAAATGTCGCTGCCTGATGAAAACCTCAGAAGACCCGCACCAATGTACATCCAATGGGATATCAACATCCCAGCAGCTGCGATGGGAACTGTCCAATGAAGCTTGTAAGCATAGACCTCAAACTGGGACACAACAATCCATTCAAAGCAGACCTCCAAAAGACACTCAACAGCAATATATGCCTGCTGGTTTAGAGGTTCAAGCAAAACAAACCAGTGCTGAATAATCAACACCAAAATAGGATCAATTGCATGACGATTTGGTGGCAGGACCCCCGTCAGCAGAATACTAATCACCAAACTTGCAGAACCATGATGAAGCATTAGTCCAGCAGAATCCAAGAAGTCACCAACCCTGCTGAATGCTCCTTTACCATTTGAATAGATGGCAGAGTACATGTGTAGGATGACCTCTGAGAATCCAAACTTGAATAGGCTCATCACCAGAAATAGCAGTGCAAGAAAATTTTGGTGCAAAGCAAGGCCAAAAGTGATCAAGGCCAGCAAAGGGAATGCCAATTGGGCGAATCTCCACATTGACTGCAGTTTCTCATTCCAACCTGATCTGAGGAAATTCCACCAAAACCAAATTTCCAATCCAATGCCAGAAAACATGATTGTTGCCCAGACAATGAGAGACACATAGATTTGGTAGTCATCATTCTCCAGCTCATCCAAAGGAGTTGTTTGGCTCACTTGCCATTGATCAAGGCCATGGCAGAAGGTCCCACATAGATCAAACAGCATCTCTTCAACTCTGCCTGGTGATGGATTGGTGAGGACAACATTTTCCATGTTGGCATGCCCCAACATTTGAACAAGTGGAGGGTTTGGTGTTTGTCTTTTCAAGCTGAATAACTCTTGTTGGATTCTTTGGATTTTGTCCGCACCTCCATCTATGCCAAGGTCATGTGCATCAATTTCCTTATTGTACATTGTTGAATAGAGGTATGACGCCGCAAGAGAAACTGTCCTGCGATGGATAAAGTCTTCACCGTGATTGTGCTTAGCCGTGCAGGCTACAGAGGGAATGAGCAGCTTGCTGGGCAAGATATTCCCAAGAGAAGCAACAAATGCCAGATTCCATGATATGTATGCATTGACCCAGTGCTCTCCAAGTGGCCATTTTTGTTTATGATCCTCAATCACAGGAGCAAATTGAACATTTGCAGCTAGTGCCACACCAACACGAGCATTGGCTTCAAATCCATTGACAATGTCAAGCTTTACAGCCTCAAGGATGTTCTTCTGCAGCGCTCCCACCATAGCCTGTGCACCATCAATGTTGTTGGTTGCTAAGAGCTCTATTGAGCCTCTCAACAGGTGGACAATGCCTTCAAATTTGTTTGTAAGAAACTCATGCTTGTCAATTGAAGCTGATGCCACATCAATGTATGCCTCCACTGTTTCTTTGCTATCAAGGAGAATTTGGACAACATCCGATACAACTGATAGGTCCTCATACATGGCAAGAGTAAGGGCATCCAGCACTGCTGCTTCATTGATCAAGTACTCTAGCAACTCAGAGTCAATTGAATCAACTCCACCCCTCGCTTCACAAGCAATCTTGGCAATGGCAGCATTGGACTGAAGACAAGATGAGGAATCTTCATACAAGGAGGAAAGTTCCTTCTCTGAAGTAAGCAGCTCTCTCAAGTGCTGGTGAACCACAGCACTGTGTGAAAGACCCATCATGTGCAGAGCCAGTTTGATGAGATCAGGTGTTGTATGATTTGTAGTGCCCTTCAAAGTCTGGAAGAAGTCATCAATGCATGGAGTGTCATAATTGTTTTGGTCCAATTCTGGCCAGCTTCTGCTGCCATTCATCAACAACAGATCTTCCGTGTTATCAAGGTTTTGGTACCAGTGTTGAACTGTCGGGATAGTTTCTTCCGTTATCCTCTTATAGGGATTGTGAAGCGTTTCAAAGTGCTTGGTGTTGTTCATATCCCCTTTGCCAAAGACTAGCTCCACTAGAAGCAGTATTGAGGAGAATGCCGCCACAAGGAAAGTGGCAAGTAGGACACAGATTTTCAGTAATCTGTACACCACATTCCCTTGTGCCTCAGCTCTTGCTGCGTTGTCTGCCAGGACTTGCATGGAAGTGGCCCTGTTGGCGGCCACCCTATCTTCGCCTCGCATGTCTTCTCTCTACCAATGCGATCACTAGATAGGTTTTCGGTTGTTGCTGATGCGGTTGTGTTTGACTATGACTGCTAGCCAGCTAGAGAGAGAGGCAGCGAACACGATGGAAGTCTTACGCGATGCTGAAGCAGAGCGGACTCGACTCATTGCAACCACTCGGAAAGGGGAGAGGAAACAGGACAACAGTACGATCGTTCCGTGACCCTTTGGGTTGTTGTTTTGGCCTTACAGGGAGGCAAAATAAATTACCGGGGTTTGCTTTCAAGAAGACGGCTTCATAACGGTAGTTGAGGTAATGTCATGCCTTTTCCTTACTACTATATGTTCACTTGATCTACAACTTTACCATATCTACCTTATCGCCACGCATGTGATGCACATGATTTCCAAGCGTAGGCCGTTCTCCATTCGCCCCATGGAACTTTGAAAACGAGACAGTGGAAAAGGTAGGAAAGGTAGTACAGGAAAATAATATTGTGTTTATAGTTTTAGTAACGATATTTATACGAAACATAATACCCCACCTACGTTCTCTTCAATGCTGCTTCCAGGGGTGCGTGCCGACCAGCCCACAAGCACCAATTGGCTTGGTCTGCTGGCTATTCCTCATTGCTCTCCCTCTTTGGCTCGGCCACGGGAAGAAAAAGTCACAACTGGTCTTCGATTAACTGCTACCGGTACATGTGCAGGTACCGTGGCCATCTGACCTGGGCGGCAAGAAGCACCGCAACAGTCTTTCGCCATTCTTGTGAAGAGACGCACTGGGCTGTATGCAATCTAATGATGAGGAAGCAAACTCAGTAGCCACCTTGCTTGCCGCGCTAATAGCGGCAGCTCAACTCTTCTCACGTTCTCAGCTTGATTGTTCGCTGCAATCTGGCCTTTTGGCATCACGTTGGGGACCCGTATCGGGCCCTCTGAATTATGGCGCGAAGTACAGCACAGCCAAGATGCAGCCAATAAAACCTAAGGTTTCAAAAAACTGCTCACACTCGGAGCCAAGCCTATGCTTATACAGTGAAGTCAGTAGCCAATCTCGTAGAAATACACCGGTAGCCTCCTGGCAGAAGCTGATTCCAGAGCAATGCCTGCAGAGGACGGCGACATTCGAGGCCTCTAGTACAGGGTAGTACTCGAACAAGTGGCTGTCACCGTGGCACTGTGGTGGTACCGGCGCCACACGGAGTAATAGACACTTCTTTGAGCTGCGAGCGAGGCTAATATCTTCCAGGCTTCTGTCACTCTGGCAATTTATCTACCCGTCATCTCCCAAATTTGTTGTCCTCTCCTAAACCATTCCGATTTGATCCCACGGACAAGCCGTCACGCCTAAGTAGTTGGGCGCTATTCCATTCGTGGTTGTCTCCTGCGAGGATGCTGGGCTGCTAACTGTCACGAGTATCACGCGGGTGGGCTCTCCACGAGTCAACACATCTATGTAACCTGTTGCCGTTCCTATCTATTGCTGGTATGCAAAGGATGACCCCACAGCGCACGACGAGAGTCTCGTACCATCTGGGAAGGTTGTTGTAATCAACCAGGTCTTACGCTTCGACAGCATATCGCATCGCTTTCTCGAGGCCACTGTACAATCGGGATGAAAGAAGCAAATCTTCCGCAACAATCTCATTTTTTCTCTCGTGATCGTTGGTGGAGATCAGATGCACAAAGTGCTGCTATCCATGGCGTGCCTTGTAGATGCTTTGAAGGCATTAAGTTGTAGGAGATCGCCAAATGCTAGATGACTCCACTTGAACCTGGTTTTGAACCCACAGAGGCTGATGTGATCTGCTCAAGGTAGGTTTTAAAAGTAGCTTCAGGCAGTTCTTACCAGCCCAGCTTTGTGGATGATGCATCCTAAAGATAGCTACCTCTGATTATCTCTGAAAATGCCGTGTTCTAAACTCTGCTTTGCACCTTCTATCCAGAGGTAGATCTGCGTTTAACCATGCCGGTAATGTTCGCTTTCGTGGGATTATCGCTGACAATGTTGAAAAGTACAAAGGCGCCACATCAAAGCAACAGAAGACTGCTGTTGTCAATAGTTTGCTGGAGGAGTTCCAAGCAACAAGCCGTTTCGTTCGCAAACAGGACGACGGAAAATGGGTAGATGTGCCCGAACATGTGGCAAAGGAAAAGGTACGAAATCGCCCTGAGCTTAATCGAGTGAAGACGTTAAGCTGTTTCGTCGTGGCTAACTGTTTTGTGTTCCAATGCAACTCGTTGATGTTCTTCAAAAGATTGGGCAAGGGTACGTTCAATGTCGAATGCTTTCCACTACGAGGGATAGTGACCTGTCTGTGAACAAAACTGACTCCTCCCTTGTTCCTCTTATTCGTACTCTAGGTTCAGGGACATTCTCCATACGGGTACGTACTCCAGCCATAAAGGATGATTGCGTATTCGAAAAGTTGAGCCGAACTCACCCATTTCGATGCAGAATACAGGAGCAGCACCAAGTCGAAGGTCAAGCTGCGAAGGGAAAGACGTCGTCGTCAAAGAGGTCTAAAAGAACCTGGGGCTGATTCTGGGGTTACTTTGGGATTGGGCCTCACCAGAAGCAGTTCGAGCGAGTCATTGGAACCTCTGCCGTTAGACCAACCCGCGAGTTCGTCTTCGGGCGAAGCCCTCATCTACGACTATCCGTTTGCTTTTGCGCCGCCAAAAGATGAGGGACAAGCCACAGGCAATGACGGTGCTGTTGATGATACGGAGGATGACGGAGTTCACACAGATGAAGAAGACAAGAAGCTTCCAGCTAAACAAGAATCTTCCAAGCATGACGACGAACGTTCATCGAGACGACACGATGAACCCCAAGGAACGGGGCCTACCTTTGTAACACCTAAATCGCCACCAGTTCATCACTCTGTGGCGCAACACGGGCGGTCTCATAGCCTTGATTCTCATGCACCTGCTGCGGGTGTGTCTCCTGCGAGGTGCCCCGATTCCTGGGAACAATACAGAAGGCCAAGGCCTTACTTCCCCCCACAGGCCGGATACTCGCCGTCTACCTACGCTCCTATGCGTTATTATTATCCATCGGGAAGCTACCATTCACCACCGTCCGCCCAGCATCCTCGCCCACCGCCTCCTCCCTACCCCGGCACTCACTATCGCCCACCCCCGGATGTTCCATCGTCGCCTGCGAGGAGACCTGACTGGGATGCGTACTCCCACGGAAGATCTCCTCCTCGACCGCCGCCACCATCGGGAAGCTACTATGCTTCGCCCTATCGCTCATGGGGAGAGGAACCTGCTTCCAGAGACAGACCGTTGCCAGCATCCACAACGAGGGACGATCCTGACAACGAATCTCAGTCGAGGCCACCAGAGGGGCAGGCATCGGGTGACTATTACCATCCTCCCTATCCATACCCGCCGTACCCACCCTATCCCCCGCCTCCCCCACCTCCTCCACCGCCGCCGCCGCCACGTTGGTAGCAAGTGCTCCAGTTAATTGTAGAGTGGGTTTGTGAGGATGGGGTTTTGCTAAATAGCTTCAATAGACTTTTTGTCCTTGTGCATTTGTATTGATTCGTCAGATCAGATAACAACGATACCCCCCTCTCTTCTACACCGATCCAATTCTGAGCAACATAGAGTTGCACAGTCGTGCTTTACTGCCCATGCAAACGAGCTGTAGTTGGCTGCAACCAGTGCAAATGGCAAGTGCTACGACGTCGAGGCAGAGCGCCAGTGACAACAATTACTCCCACCGGTGTTGCTGTGTCGACCAGAGGCATGGTTTTGCTGTGGTTGCTACCGTCGCGTTTACATTTCCTGGCCAGTTGGGTGGTCTGGCGAGCAAAGCAGTGGCATCATTGAGACCACGTTGTGTCAAGGGAACCATAAAACAGAAACAGCGCTATCTACTATCTACCGGTGGGGATGATTCAAGCTCTTCAGACCTCAGAATGCCATAAATGTCCGATCTGGACGGGTAGCCAATCATCAGTTCATCACAGCGTTGCTTGCAGATCAGCACCATCTTCTTTCTCTCTCCTGTCCTCGAACATCTGCAAACAAAATCCCCACGGATCCGGCAGTAGTTGTGTTTTCTTTGCAAAACAAAGATCGAAAATCGAAAGGCAGATCCAAAGGAACCCGGTTGTTGAAGTTTTGCTCACAAATTCCCACCAACCAGCTCTGCTCCACCAATTTTTATGAGAACTCCCCTCGGCAACAAAACCAATCGTGTTGGTGCAGGTCACGTTAGGGATTAGCATTGTACTCTTCAGAGGGGCCAATACACGACATTTCTATCGCCTCATCAGATGAAGATAATTCTAAAATGCTAAGCAGTAACAGTAGAGCTAGGGGTATCTATTGATACAATTGTGTGACATCACTGGCATCCAAACAAGATGTGATTGGTACTACCGTACGTGGTACGTAACACTTTGACGTCCGCAGGTGCGTGGAAGCTCGGAAAGATCATGCGTAGAAGGGACAGCGTAGCACGGACCAGCGCACAAAAGACGCGCAGCTTGCAGAGGCTTCCTGTTGGAACTTGCGTGGGATTGCAGCTAAAGGATCGGCAGAGGTGGTACCACCAGGTGATGGCTACCCAAATTCATTTTGCTTCTTCTTTGGTCAAGGCGCCGACGAAGAGACAGCGTCACCGAGATCCATCTTGATCATATTCTTTGATAATCATCTCTTTGAAACTTGCACTATTGTATATTTCGACCAAGCCCGGCCTGTGCATTAGTCCTGCTATCTACCCACCTTGTGTTCTATCTAGTTCCTTGCAGCTGCTATCTATTGAATTCTTTGACCCATCAATCGGCAGTTTAGTGAGAAGCGAAGCCAACGAATATCGGACATTAATTTTTCTCTGTACACTTCTTTCTTTAGCAACCATTATCCGCAAACAACAACTGATACCTGCAACAACTGATACCAACAACAACAACAACACTGATTCCAATAATGAGAACTTCCACATCTTGTATACCCAAACAAAAGAAAATGCCACTCACGTCCAAGAGATCCAGCGCGGGGAATCTGGTGCTCTTGGTGGGTCTTGTTCTGATCATGGGATCTTCTACCTCTGCCTCGGAGGCATTAAGCTCTAGCTCTTTTACCACCAAGAATGGAAAGACGGCATTCACAAAACACAACAGTTTTGGCCACTTTCAAGACAAGAAGAAGAACGGACATAAGGGCGTCAATGGCGAGGAGACGAATGGAAAAACCAATGGAAAAACCAATGGACATCATGACCCTGATGCTACTGCCACCAATGGCAATTACCAAAATGGCAAAAGGAACGGCAATAATAAGAAGAATGGTGTATCACCTGCATTTTTGCAACGCACTGGCCAGCGAGAAGCCGACCGCGTGGTAGAAGCAGAATACATTGCCGATACCAAGCTACCCACCGATGTGGGCCAGTTCCAGCTCAGAGCGTATCGAGTTCGCAATGGCGAAGAATTGGACGAAGATATGGTGGGCGACATCGAGCCGTACCAAAATACCAACGCTCTGGAACCGGTAGTCATCTACTCCTCGGACAAGCCACCCTTTGGAGAAGATGGACGCCTAGCTCAAAATGTCCCCGTTCGCATTCACGATCAATGCCTTACATCGGAAGTCTTTCGCAGTCAACGGTAAGTCAGTGTGCGACGACAGCGGCTTTGTGCGAGCCTGGCTCTTGAGAAAACCTTCTAGAAGTCGGTTTCATATGGATCGTGTTTCTCACTCTTGTTGTATTCTCACAACATTTTCTCCCGTCAGATGCGACTGTAAGGAACAGCTAAAGCTAGCTTTGGAGTTTATCCAGGAGCACGGAGGTGCCGTCATTTACCTGCAACAAGAAGGCAGGGGAATCGGTCTTGCCAACAAAGTGGCTGCGTATGCATTGCAGGACATGGGTATGGACACAGTGGATGCCAATCTGCATTTGGGATTCCCTGAAGACTGCCGCAAATACGGTGTCGTTCCCACTATTCTCAAAGACTTGGGAATTGGAAGCATTCAACTCATGACGAACAACCCGCGAAAGGTGGAACGGTTGAGTGCCTTGGGAGTGGAAATTGTGGATACTGTCCCCATCTTGGCCAATGCCAATCAATACAATCGAAAGTACTTGGAAACCAAACAGGAGCGAATGAATCATTCCAATTTTGGACACATTCTCTCCGGTGATAGTCTTCCACCTCGCGGAATATCTCAAATGAACGGTGTGATGGCACCACGACGCACCGCAGAACAAGAAACCTTGACCGCTGCTGCCAATGCCATTGAGGTGTCCCTTCACATGGAAGGAACATCAGTCCTTGACAGCGAAACCGATGTCACTGATGACGAGGCGGAACTGGGCGTCACCGCCCACGAGGATGGATATTGCTTTGGCCGTCAATCCGTCGAGGATGCCATTGCTGCCGTTGCAAGAGGTGAAATGGTGGTGGTAGTGGACGACATGGACCGCGAGAACGAAGGAGATTTCATCATGGCAGCCGACGCCTGCACACCCTTGGATGTTGCCAAAATTGTTCGGTATTCTAGTGGTGTCATTTGCGTTGCTATGGAAGGCGAACGAATGGACGAACTTAAATTGCCAGCCATGGTGTCCAATAGTGAAGATCCAAAGGAAACTGCTTTCAGCGTCACGGTGGATGCCACCCCCGAACATGGTAAGTAAAGGTGTTTCCAGTTGGGGCTGTTAAAAAGGGGTACTCGTTCTGACAAAACTGCCATTTACCCCTCATGAAGGAATCACCACGGGAATTAGCGCCGGTGACCGTTCCAAAACAATCCAATTACTGGCCAACGCTGATGCTAAAGTCACTGACTTCAATCGACCGGGACATTTGTTCCCTCTACGCGCAAGAGAAGGTGGTGTCTTGACCCGTGATGGCCACACCGAAGCAGCCGTCGACCTATCGCGTTTGGCTGGACTGTCACCATGCGGTGTTCTCTGCGAAATTGTTTCGGAAGAAAATCCGGCCGAGATGATGCGTCTACCCGAAATCAAGAGATTTTGCCGACAACATGGGTATGTCTTGACAAGCATTGTCGACCTCGCGCAGTACAGGAGAGACACGCAGCAATAAATAGAAAGAACAGCTCAGCTACAGAGCCTTCTCTTGTAGAGAGAACTCTTGCACTTGTGAAGATTGAATATAGCACATCAATAATACCTTTTAAACATTTTTACATCGGGAAATGAAACTGGGTAAGCGAAGAGAATAAACGCTTGAAGCTCTGCTGAAGTTGATGCCATCTTCTGGATGGACTGTGGACTCATCTCTGAGATGGACAAATGAGTGTTATTGAAACAAAAGACTGCAACAAAAGCTTGTACAGCGAAGCTAAAAGAGTCCATGGACTTGTTCAATAGCCGCCGCCGCCACCACCATAGCCGTGTTGATAGGATGCCGGTCGAGCAGCGTCTTGGTACCCATAGTTTCCACTGGCTCCCAACGGAGATGATCGGTGGTGAGCTGGAATTGGTCGTTGACCACCGCCGTTCACGCTCACAGCACGTCGCTTATTCAAACGCCGCTCGCCCGTACCGGTAGGAGGATATCCCTGGTAGCTTGCAGAGCTCGAGTTGGCCATGGCCTGCCGATTGAAGCTTCCTCCGTGCCCAACGTGACTACCGAAACTTTCTTGCAACGAAGCGGTATCATCTATCGGTATTCCTTGATCAAACTCTCTAGTGATAGAATCAGAAGAGTGGAACGCTGCAGAGGGGTCAAAAGTAGATCGCTGCGAAGATGTTGGTCCTCTACCGGTACGACCACTCTTGTTGGAGGTGGGACCATAGAGCCGGTTCCGCAGGTCGGCAGCAAGTTCTCTTTGCTCTTTCAATTCTTCCGCCAGCTTTGCATTTGCCGACCGCAGTCCGTGGATCTCCTCATCTCGGCTACGGATGCCCTGCTCGAAGGATCTTTTGCGTTCATTGAAAATGTTCTCGAAGTTTGCCTTTTGCTTTGCCAGCTGCGTCGCTGAAACTCGATCCTTGCGTCTCAGCTCTCGCATGAGTTGACGATGCAAGAAGTTGCTTTCGAACACCAACTGGTTCAGATCGTCACGGAATCGTACAACCATTCTGCTGATTGGGAATGGAACGCGCTCTCCGTTTTTTTGAGGATACGTCCCGGTGTACATTCTCTCCGCCCATATTTTAGTCTTTTGCTGAATGTTATGATTGGGATTTATCTCTGGTTTGGGCTTGTATTCGGTGACGTCGGCCGCAGTACAGAATCTAATCTTCGTTCCGCAGGAAAGACACTTTTCCTTTTCGAAGACTCTTGTCTTATTGACGCATTCTTGTGGTCCATCGGAGATCGAGTCGAGACGCAAAACAACGAGCGACAGACAAGAACAACTTGAGACGGGAAGGAACCAAACAAGGTTTCGTCGAAAGGATCTTTGCTCACTTACTGAAACAGTAGCAGCAAGTGCATGGATCACAATGAAGAATTCTCGTTCCGACAGTGACGGCATTGTTGCAGCAAACGCATCTGACAAGAGACGGTGGAGGAGGACCACGTCGAGGAACCGCCGTCGTGGCATGTGTCTTCCCCGATACAGATACACTCATCCTCTTGCTCTTCTCTAGTTTCCAAGGCAGGAGAATCGAATTGGACGTCGTAGCAGTGAGTGAGAGTCGAAACTGTACGTAGCGGTTTCAACAAGATGATCGAGATGACAAAAGAGAGGCAACGCCATTGTGGCTCAACCTCGTAAGAGAGCCGTTGTCGCCTCGAGGACTCCGTGCACGACTCGATTGAGTCACTCGAAATCAATGTTCAGTCACGGTAATTCGTGATGTACAAAAGTACTAGCGAGTACGTACCAAGAGACAAACTACAGCTGCACGCACTGGCCAAGTCAGAACAAACCTCGTGTCATTGCTCTTGCCAATCACAGAGCGCTGTTGCAACGGATGATCTCATCGGGTTCATCCATGGATTCTCGTTGGCTTGGAAAGAAGATTGGAATTCCCACGTCGACGCATTGGATTGGACACGCAGAATCTATCTTTTGTGCGTGCTCAGCTACTGGTACCATCTAGCTAGCTGGCAATTGAGGAGCTTGCGGAAGCAAGCTTATTGTCATCGCCACCACTTCTTGTCTTGGTGGGACATCGGCTGTACGTGTCAGACTTCTTTCTGTGTCAACGTGGTCTTCCCCAGCATGGAAACTTGACAACTTTTCCTGATAGAGGCTTCTGGCTGATGATGGACATCAGCTAACCTAGCTAGCGCAGAGATGGCAACATGTCCACCACGAACTTGGAAACTAGCTAGCTGCCGAGGGGCGCCAACTTTCAAAGACCTTTGGCTTTGGTCTAGGTGGGTAGTGGAATCCCCCATGCTACATGTATCTATCTATATCTAGTTAAGAGTTTCTACCACAACTAACATATGTTTACTTATACTTAGTTCATTGATATCATGCAAATTAAAGGAGGGTCGAGGAGTTGTGCTATTGACTAACTTGTTCTGTGGAAGGAGACGAGCAGATGGAAACTAGCTTGCTGGATGCTTCTTCTTTGTAGTCCACCACATGCTCTAGTTGCTTTGACAGACACTGATATTCCAACCACGCCTGTGTACCATCTACCACCGCTAGAGCCGTGGCAAATTGTTTGGCGGAATGAGAGCAAGCTTTAGAAACCGCGCTGATGGTGGCCACGGTTTCCTCCGGCGCTGCCTGGTTCGTTTTCAGTTGCTTTTGGGCCTCCAAGACACCCTGAATAGTTCTAGACCGCCGCAGCTGACGCTCCTGATTCAATCCGGGCAAAATCTTGGATTCGACACCTCTAGTGGGGGTATGGTTGGATGCCCAGAGTGCCAACTGCCCCACGGACCGACTGTCACGAATGTTCCACGAGGGAGTGTCGGGGTCATCTTGTTTCTCATAGTCTTCTTCTGGAGTAATTGGAGGGGTATCACAGAGCGTGAAGGTCAATGCGAGAGCTTCGGCATATTGCGCAAAGGAGACCTTGTTGGGGTCGGATGAGTTCTTGTCATTGTCAGCGGCAGATTCATTACGACAGTCGTGCATCAGAGCCATGACATCGTGTAAGGTTTTCCGGTGATCTTCACTTTGCATCCAGCAGCAAGTCTTCTCCTCCTCTGTCATCAGGGAACTCTTGGGTAACACCATTTCTCGAATACGGCGCTTGACTTGCCGAGTCTCTGCGTCTTCCTCGAACCTCACGCGCTTCTTGCTCTGGCTACCGGGTGCTTTGGTTGTCATTGTTCTTTGGTAGGGATCTTAATAATATTCTATTACTAGTAGTAACAAAGGGTATGCTGTTTTCTTGAGAAGAACCCTGTTGTGCACAAGTTGTGATAGCGAATGCCGATGAAACAAACAAATAAATGTATCAGGAGTATCTCCCACCACACATCCAACAAAAGAAAACCTGAACCAGCGAATGCATCTTTGTGGGATGAGTGATGACTCGCCGCAACTCTTCTTTGTCCCGCTGATGATGCATCGTTTTTCGCAGGCACTTGCTTCCCTTGTTTCATTCGGCGGTAGCAGAAGTGGTGTCAGAGCGGAAGTAGCCACGAATGAGTTCTTAAGGGGTTCGGAGTCGTTCGGACACCACCTGTCAAAAAGGACATTTCGTAAGCCATGAAAGCTACCATAGACTCGACTCGTCATCATGTGTTTGCCTTGCTCCTTGGAAGTGCAACAACCAAAGCCAAGTAATAAGAAGCGTGGTTTAACTTTGGCGAAGTGTTTGCACTCTCGGTTGCCTTTGAAAGATTCGTGGCGCTTTCTACTAGCTAGCGATATCCTGACGGAGACGGAAGCTTCAATGCAGTTGGGTACAGTAAAATTGAATAATAAGAGAGCCAGTATCATCATTCGCTGGTTGGACGATAGCTAGTTAGTCTAGACAAGAGTTTGTTCTCATCATGGATCCATCCAGCCCCAGCCAGCAAGAAAGTCTAGAGAGAACGGCGAAGCAAATCGAGCCAGCCAGGATTGCTCTAGAATTTTGAAATGAGTAACATCATGCAAACTTCATGGTCTGCGACACCAACCTCCCCGCCTTGTCAGCACAAGTATAGTCTCAGCCAAGATTTCGCTATCCATCTTGCTAATTTGTGTTCGGATAGATAAACCTTCAAACACGATGTGATGTAAACTCATTTGTCCAAGAGGCTCGAGCTTTGCTTTCTGCGCGGTTGAAGTTGAAAAAGGCTGACAACGAGATTCTGTGCGTCTCCTCCTCCTATCATCTTTTGGCCTATCACAAAGCCAACACCACGCATATCGCATATCTTCCATCTTCCAAAGATCTCAAGGAATTGTCGAATCTTCCAAGATCTCTGGACCCTTTTGGGCCAATCTCAACCAGTCTAAAAGTCTACATGAAGATCGAGCCAATTACTGGCGCTGGTTGCTGCCAAGGGTTCTTGGGCCAGGTTTTGCTGTTAGCAGATGTTCAGGCAACAATACTAGTAGCGGTAGCGGTACTGCCTACGTATGGAACAAGAAAAAGTTCATTCAGGCTGTCTTGTATCGTTTGCTCGGCTGCTTCTTCAGGCCAGACGACAGTTTCCTTTCGAGAGCCAAAGTCCCCAGGCAACTGGTACGGTACTTTCTTTCCCATAGTGTGTTAGGCTGCAGAGGCTTCGTGGAGAGTGGTACGAGGCAACGATGTCAGGGAGCTTTGTGCTGGTAGAGAACGGATGATGATAAACTGCATGTGGGATGGACCAGGTACCGGTACCCACCGGTACGGTAGTATTTCTCTCAGAAACTGGGATACTTTTCGGTATCATACGGTAATGCTTGTACTGTAGCAGGCACAGGTACCGGGTAACAGGTGGTACGAGTATACCGGTAGAAGCCCACAAGGCTGGAAAAGGAAAACCAGGTTTCCTTCAAAATTCTTGTCCAACGGCCCAACAAGCTGCCAACTGCCAACACCCAACAACAGTGACAATACCGGTACGAACGAGTAGACGTCTAGCTAGTGGTACCGGTATCTTCGGTGGGTACCAATAGCTGTACCATTGTCTCCAAAGCCTATTAAAGTAGCTTGCTGGCACTTGACAGAATTTAGAATGGCAAGAAAGTGCCAATGGCTCGCTGCGACGGTTCTCTCTTGTGGGTTTTTCGCACACTTGTTTCTGGATCCACTGGGTGGATCGTTTCGCTCCGATTGCGGTCACACACTCCACAATCATGTGGCCAACAGCAGTGAGACGAGAGAATTAGTGTTGGAAGAAGAAGAAGAAAAGCGCTATTGTCAATGGACCGTAGTGGCAGGTGATTCCAACAATCGCATGGCATTTGAAGGGTGGGTCGGGCTGGAAAAAAGAATCAAAGATGGCCGTATCATTCATCAAGCCAACCGCTCGGCAATGCAGTACGAATATTCCAACACTGGACATCATTGTAACTTACGGTGGGCCGACAAGGAACTGCTCATTATATTCCCCGACGCAAGCTCGTACCAGCACAAATGTCATATTATCTCTTCGCGCTTTATGATTGACCAACGACAGTCATTGGCTCGACTGCGCGCCAATTTGACCAATTCATCCTACTGTGGGAGTGAGCTGCAGCCAATACCATTGCCTAACGGATACGAGCGACCTCCTCAGCCCGACATGGTGTGGTACACGCACGGTTTTTGGGCTCTGCATAAAGAAAAGCGCACGGATTGCAACGAACGGTTTGGTCACGTGGTAGATGCCATGTTGGAATGGAAGCACCGTATTAAGCGTGTCATTTGGCAAACAGCCTTTGAAATCAATTATCATGCCGAATTCGACAACTCTATCATTGAATGGGACTACAAATGTCAAAAGAAATTGGCCAGTCAAAATGGCATTGAACTTGCTGATATCTTCACCATTGTCCATGCCGCGGATAGATCCAAGGCCGTCCAATACAAGGACTGCCATTTGAATCCAGGCCAGTATTTGATTGCTCATCAATACATGGATCGATGTTGTGGTGGGTGGGAAAACTATCTCGGCATGAAATAAATAGAATGGAAGGATGGTTACTTGGCTGTTTTATTTATTGCCAAGTCCAATGATATATCATGGCTCCAGTGGTGGATCTCCAAAAAACAAATGGTGTCGGTGCTTTGATCTCCTACTGTACACAGCTACAGCAACAACCAAACCAGGGACCGCTGCCATTAATACCACTGCATATGTACAGTGCAGTTAGAGAGAAAGTAAATAACAAAGTTTTGTCTTAAGTTTGCAAGATCCCAGCTTGGTGTACTGGTACCGGTGGTATGAGATGCCCGGTTTTGAGGGGAATTGTGGAAGTTTTAGAGTTTCAATGGTCGCTCTCTTAGCACCTCCTACTGCCGTTGGTGGTCTTAGTAGATCTTGGGTTTCCAACCATCCATCAACTTGCGCTGGCAGATGCGAACAAGGTTCTTGCAGTCATCAATACCCGAATGGTGACGACCCTTCAGCTTCATGCCCAACTCTCGTAGCATCCCAGCCATACCACAGTTGACGCCATACATTTTGGCAAATGGCTTTTTGATATTGATCCAATAGGCAAACCCAGGTGGAGTAGAAGGGGAGCCCGTCCAATGGCGCATTTGGGCGGGGAGGCATGTGTTGAGATCCCAATCACCACAAGAACAGTACACAAAGTTCCGGCGCCCTGCGGTGTCTGCCTCGACACATCCCACACTAACGACATTGTTTTGCTCCGTCCACGCTGACTTTGTTGCAGGTCGCTTCGAAATCCAAAATGGCCTGATAGTGGATGGGCTTGGCTACAGCTTCCAAGTAGCTGCACGGTCTGTCACTTGTATCCTCCTGTGTTGGTGCCGGGATACGACCGATCCCAGGAACGGGCGGTGTCGATTTCGTTCCTTTCTTCCTGGAGCCCTTCTTTTTCTTTCGTTTCGTCTTGGCGTCCAAGAAGCTAACATGGCCTTCTCCCGCTTTCTCGGTGCAGGTATCCAATTCGAGACGCCCTCGGATGGATTCGGGGAAACTATGGAGAAGCTTGGTGACTTCTTCTTCTGTTGGTGTCTTGGCTTTCAGTTCCTCCAACATTCGTTGGGCTTCTCCCAATGTGCTTCTGTTGTCGTCATCGTCGCGTCGGTGGACATGTGTCTTGCTGTTGTCGTCGTACGCGCGCTGTTGTTCTCGGGTGTTTTGCTTCGATTCTTTGCTCTTGCTCGCGAATAAGACGAATAATTGTGTGCTTCTGCGTTAGCTAACGCTATTTAGCAGCCTGCTGTGAATCCTAAGCCTTGTCCATCCAGACCTGCATATACTTGTCTGACGGGTACAAAGGTGCACAGACATGAGTGAGCCTGCAAGGCAGCACAACAGTTTTGCGACAGGGGTGTGTCCATGCATGGTCTGGGTGATTGTTGGACTCTATTGGAATGCAAACGTGTGAGCGAGGTGGAGCTGATGCAAACAAGAAAAAGAAGCTGAAGCTACCGTACGTACAGCCATGCACGCAAGTGCCAACTGATGAACTGGTGCCGGAGTCGCCCGTCTAGAGCTGGCAATCAGCTCGCTACTAGCAGACGCGGCATTTGTAAGGTAGCATGTCGATAGGATTCGATCCCCAACGATGGTTGCCACTTTGCTTCGCGCGCTGCAGCTAGCTGGTAGACGCAGATGCAAGTCTCAATCGGAAGTGTTGCTTTCTCTGCCACGTTACGACGGTACCGGTACCGGCAGGGGCGAGAATAGCATCCTCATCGGAGCTCCCATTCGGTACAGTACCGTGTTCCGGTCTGAGTACACTACGGTAGCGAGACGGTAGCGAGACAACGCAAGGCTTCGACTAGAGTAGAGTACTCTAGTCGAGTAGAGCACGCGAGCACGCAGTACTGGAATAGGTAAAAAGTAGGAAGAGTTTCTTATAATTATTATTCGCTGCAATAGAATGTCATTGCTTTGGTTCGGAATGGAAGGAAGTCGGATGCAAGAGGAGCTGTTTTGGAAGAGCCTATGCCACGACGGGAGTAGCAAGGATGGAATGGTTTTGTAATGCGATCCCTTCCGGTGCTTCATCTACGGCATTGCAAGCAGATGATTCGGATTCTTCGTTGTCACTGGCGTACTCCAACAACGCGAGTGTTCCGTCGACGACTCCCAATGCTCGTGCGAAGCGTCGCGATGGTTGTGACAAGAGTTCGGAAATGGAACCCAATCCTTCGGCCATGTCGCTACTGTCAATTCCCAATCCACCGAGTTCGCGTTGGACGCGGAGGACCTTTTGCGAGTGTTCCCGTCGTGCTTGCAGACGGTGACTGCCCAATCCGGGAATAATCTTGGTCTCCAGACCACGAGAGGCAGTGTGGGCACATCCCAGCAGGACCAACTGGTCCAGTGGGAGTTTGCTTTGGGCATTGGCTTCGTCAATGTCCACTTGTTGGGCCGTGTCGTCGTCACTGTCATTGTCATCACTGTCAAAACTGTTGGGGTTATTGCTATTGCAGAGATTGTACGTAGTGGCCAGGGCAGTGGCAAAGTGGAGGTAGGCACTGCTGTCATCTGGTTCTTGGCAGCTGGAGATCACTTGGTTGACGTCCTGGTAAGTAGCGCGATGGTCGGACCGTTGCATCCATCGTGAGGAGCGTTCCTCCTCGGTCATGTCGGAAGACTTGGGGACATTGAAAAGCTCCACAACCTTGCGCTTGACACGACGACTGCTGCTGTCTTCGTCAAAGCGAACGGAACGGCGTTTCTTGCAGGGAGCGGTCATCTTCAGGGGCGATGGAAAACTGAGAATGGTATTGTTGCACATGGTGGTTTTATATTGTGTTTAAATCGTTGACCTTGTTGTTGTTGGATGATGATGAAATGCTGATGTGGTCAGCGGGAAACCAAAATTGTGAGAGTTGGAAGTCGTGGTGTGAGTCGAGTCCTTGGGTGGCACTGGGTGGTACAGAAACAGCAACGAACCGGCGAACCAGCTTGAAGTAAAGTGGCAAAATAATAGTTCAACAAGTAAGTGAAACGTGTTACGTTTAGCTTCACCTTTACGTAGAGCTCACGTAGTCAAGACAATTGATCACAATTGATCAGCAGTGATTGATCCATTGACTTCGGATTTCTCCCTTCCTGCTTGTTCTCTACTCTAGCTAGTAGATAGTTGAAGGATAACTTGATCTTCTCCGTTATTCGACTTCTCGACACTTCAACACCGCTTTCGACGGAAAAGTAGGAATTAGCAGTCTTCAGTTGAAGCTGGTCAATTTAAGCATTAGTACTTGAGTACCGTACCAATAGACTACCAATATGTCTTTTAATGTATTCAAAGGAAAGTATGTATTAATGTTTCATTGAAGTGATATAAAGCTACGTTCACTGACTCACAAGCCCACTTAAAAGGTGCTCCGTTGTTAAATAGTTGTTGCAGTGTCGAATCAACTCACGTCTAGACTAACTAACTCTGCATTTTCGGTATCGCAGCATTGCAGCTGCCAGCTCAGCTGCCACAGCTGCTATTAATTAATAATTAATACCACAGGTAGGACCGGTGGTACGACTGTACCTGGTATCTCCTCTGCAGGATAAACGGGTGGGTACACCCCCTTTGGCCCTTTTGACTTTGCTGCTTGCTTGGTAAGGTACCCGTAAAAGTGATTAGTTGAAGGGGCTCCAGAGGGGAGAAGGAGGAGGGTTAAGCTAGTCTGGACAAAGGCATCTAGTTGCACATGTTTTGAGTTGTGGTACCCGTAAAAGTGATTAGTTGAAGGGGCTCCAGAGGGGAGAAGGAGGAGGGTTAAGCTAGTCTGGACAAATGCATCTAGTTGCACATGTTTTGAGTTGTGGTACCCGTAAAAGTCACCAGTCAAATGCACTCCAGAGGGGATTATGTACAAGTACATGTAGTTACGGTACGTATCTTTCGAAGTATCTTAAATCAAAGGTGAAGCAAAAATGCGTTATCTTAAAAATGGGTGTGCCGGGTGCCGCGATTCGAATCGCGCGCACTGTGCGCGCGCATCGACTCATTGGATTCTACTGACGTCAGTCGTGGTTCATGTAGGATTTGTACCACGCGGTACGTACGGAGCGAGTGGTATGTGTGTCGTAGCCGTGTAGGATTTGTACCACACGCTACAGAGGTAGTATAGTACTGTATTTTGTATAGTAAACATGACTAATCGGTCCTCTTTCTTCGTGGTAACAGTGTACGTAGACTCACGTAGAATATGTACTAGAAAGGGGAGGGGTAGCTTCAATACTAGAGTATTAGCCTAGTATTTTCATAGCTTGTTCAAACATCCGCTGTATGAAGTTGCAAAGCTATTGACCTCTAGCTAGCTAGGACATCCTCCATTTGAATTGCTTGTAGGTCAATGCAATTTCCTCCGTGGCCAATGTATAAAGCTGATCACAAGCATCATACTTGTCTGCAAGCACTCAGATTCCTGCACCAACTATGGCCGCTATCAGCTCCTGAGCAAAGTTTCAATTAAAAGGTAAGGACACACTGGATTTTCTAGGCACTGCAGGATTAGGGGGGTACCGGTACACTACCTTTGGTTTCAGGCTTGATGCTGCTTAGAGAGTGGGGGGTACCCCTCCCTTGAGGATTTTGCCTTGTGGACCCAGGACCTCTGTGGAAACTCGAGTCGTGCTACCCATCATCTCCTAAATCCTTTTGATCGTCTCCTATTTAATGGATTTCGTCTCCTAAAAATAGGAGACGAAACGGATCGTCTCTTAAATCTTTCGTCTCCTCTTAAATCGTCTCCTATTTTCAACGGATCGTCTCCTATTCTCAAGGGATCGTCTCCTAAGTGCACCATGTAAACTGTATGGTATCGTCTCCTAAATCTTTTGGATCGTCTCCTATTTCGAAACGATCGTCTCCTAAATGTAATGTCTCCTAATGAATCGTCTCCTAAATATAGGAGACGATTGCTTTCGTCTCTTAAATCATTTCGATCGTCTCCTAAGCCTCGGTGTATCATCTCCTAAGTAATTTGCCACGAATGACGTTTCCACAGAGGTCCAGGAAAGTGTGGCAAAAGCTGAATTCGGCGATACTGACGTCACTGCTGGCTATAGTTTATTGTTGAAACTGATTTTCGGCTCGAATTGCTTAAATCTTTGGCTCCCACTGTTGAATAATAGGGAAAGTGTTGAATAATGCTTTAACAGTTGTTGAAAAAACTGTTGAATTCAACTCATACAAGTGTTGTCAACAAGTGTTGAATCGGTGTTGAATAATGCGCTGACTGTTGAATAAAGTGTTGAAAAAAGTGTTGACTGTTGAAAAGTGTTTGAGTGTGTTGTTGTTGTTGTTGTTGTTGTTGTTGTTGGTTTTTGTTTGTTGGTTGTTGTTGTTGTTGTTTGTTGTTGTTGTTGTTAGTTGTGTTGTTGTTGTTGTTGTTTGTTGTTGTTGTTGTTGTTGTTGTTGTTGTTGTTGTTGTTGTTGTTGTTGTTGGTTGTTGTTGTTGTTGTTGTTGTTGTTGTGTTTGTATGTTGTTGTTGTTGTTGTTGTTTGTTGTGTTGTTGTGTTGTTGTTTGTTGTTGTTGTTGTTGTTGTTGTTGTGTTGTGTTTGTTGTTTTGTTGTTGTTGTTGTTGTGTTTGTTGTTGTTGTGTGTTGTTGTTGTTTGTTGTTGTTGTTGTTGTTGTTGTTGTTGTTTGTTGTTGTTGTTGTTGTTGCTTGTTGTGTTGTTTTGTTGTTGTTGTTGTTTGTTGTTGTTTGTTGGTTGTTGTGTTGTTGTTGTGTTGTTGTTGTTGTTTGTTGTTGTTGTTGTTGTTGTGTTGTTGTTGTTGTTGTTGTTGTTGTTTTGTTGTTGTTGTTGTTGTTGTTGTTGTTGTTGTTGTTGTGTTGTTGTTGTTGTTGTTGTTGTTGTTGTTTGTTGTTGTTGTTGTTGTTGGGTTGTTGTTGTTCCGTTCGTTGTTGTTGTTGTTTTGTTGTTGTTGTTGTTGTTGTTGGGTGTCTGTGTGTCTTCTTTGGTTTACAATGCTAAAGAGTATCATCAAGTCATCCTGAGTATCGTTGGTGCTGCGATATCGGAGGGCCAAGAAGCAAGATATTAAGGCTTGCACTACGCCTAAAACGCTAGTGTAAAGATCTTTCGAGTGTTTTTGAGTTTGAGGAAGTTTTAAGCACTGAAAACTAAAGAGAGAGTCGTAACTGAGTAGTGCCATTAGTTGGCAAGATGCATCATTGACCATATATTCTGGTAGCAGTGCATACTAGACGAGATCCAGCACCAGCAAATACATAAGGCCATGCGGTTCTACGTGGCACATATTTTGACTTGAAACGCCATTCCAACCGCGGGTAGACTTGTAGAGTGTGATAGAGTAGGATTGTGTAGCCAATCCTTACTCACTCCACGATCAAAAACGGAACGCGTGGATGTTCGTCTAGCATTTATCTAGTGTGTGGAAGTACTCCACGCTGCGCTAATAATCTAGAAGCGATATTTCATCAATCGACCTAGTATCACTACGAGCGCGTCATTTGAGAACCCTGTCTTCAATGACTATCGCGAAAACACAGTCATGATCGAACTCAAATCCCCTATCTAGGATCGCAGTCACGCGAATAGGCTAAGACCGTGTGTATTCATTCGCTCCTCCTGACAAGGAGTCACGGAAAGCAACGACATAAGTCGGACAAGCGGGAGAACATCATGATTAGAGTGCCTGGGGGCACTCTCCGGAGATTGATGGTACGACAGGTGCGTCGCACGTTCGGCAATCCTACAATGGGTCAGGCTCTGTGTATGGTGTAGCATACGCTTATTGTTCCAAGTTCTGGTAGACTGTGGCGCGCCTGTACTGCCTCCGTATATGCGTATGTTGGGGAGCGTATAGCTGCCATTGTTCATTTGACCTTCGGTCTGTGTGGTAGTAAGGACCTTGTGCGTTGGCTGACCGTACTAATGGTTCTGATACTGATGAATTATCATAGTATCGTTGACATGGTTTTGTTGAGGGACACGTGCCGTGTTCTCCTTATCGTGTTTTCTGGATACGTCGTTGGTGACGTTCCTTAATGTATTTCCAGGTTGATTTGAAACGGATGTGGTGAGCCTTGTCACGATTGACGCGCGTTGACTTGCGACGAAGTCCATGTTAATCACGGAGAGTCTTCTCAACCTCTACGCGGGACTCAGGTTATGTCATGACGACCGGTCATGGGTACTTGGTAACCCACGTCTTTTTTAGAACGATGGTTACTGCGTCTGCTGTCTTGGAGCAGTCCTTGGTAGTTCATTGATACAATGAATCTACTAAGTTCCTTCCTGTTTGTGGGTAGAGCGATAGCTGGATCGATTCTATTACTTTCTTTTTAGTTAAGGTTGGCTTCTTCTCCGAGAAGCCCATTGTTTAGAATATTCCAGTTCTTCCTGTCTAGGAAGGCCTTGGTAGTGTGGAGTTCGGTTTCGACTTCTTGAAGTCGTTGGAAAAGGTCATCCTACTGTTCATCGCGATCTGCGAGATCGACGTCCTTTAGGATGAGTTGATCATAAACGTATGCACGGACATTTCCAAAGTCATGCATGTGTGTTTTCATCTTCCCTTGGAAGATTTCGGGTCTATTACATAGGGCCCATTGGCAACCTGTGGTACTCGTGCTTTCCCTCGGGAGTGCAATGGTATAGTGTTGCCTCGAGTGATGTGACAGCTAGATGTGGTATTGTCCCGTATTCAGGTCTAGTCTGGTAGCGCACTTTAATCCATCTGGTTTCAAGAGCATGTCCTGTTATTTTGGGATAGGATAAGGCTTCCGCTTGATCCCGTTTGGTTTTGGTTCCCGAAAATGCAAGATTAATAGTACCGGATCCTTTTTCTTGGGAATTATAAATGTTTGTGCCGTCCACTCTGAACGGTTTACCTTTTTGATTACTCCTGCCTCGTAGAGACTTTCAACCTCCTCCTTAAGAGTGTTTGGATATGGACCTGTGGAGTATGGTGAGCCCTAGTACAATAGGATTTAGCGTCGGGACGAAGTTCTACTTCGTAGGTGTCCATATCGCAACTCTCCCAAAGTATCCCCGACTGGGTCGAAGCACTTGGTTGAAAGGCATGAGGCAGTTCTTGCTCTTCCTATTTAACGGGTTTCGAATCGGGCACATCTGCCTTAAGTCTAATTGTTCGTATGTCGTGTCAAGAACCCTCTTGAGACTATCTGCATTGTCGTTGACAGCTGCAGGATCGGAAATGGAGAATTTCTCCTTTCTATTGGTATTGCCATCTTTCGCCGGGTAAAATGCGTGGTTCCTCCCATGACATGGTAGTGAAATAAAACTTGATTGCAAATACAAGGCTCTTAGGCTTATTCGTGACTCGTTCCTAGATAGGTTTTGAGTTCGACTCATGACCGAGTCTCTCGTGATAGTCATTGGACAGGGTTCTCATGACCGTGAGTCATACTAGTTGATGGATGATACACCATCGCTCTAGATATTTAGCCAGCGGAGAGTACTTCCACGCTATTAGATCCAGGCTAGACAAAACTTCAACGCGTTCCGTTTTAGGATCGTTGAGAGACGTAGGATTACTACCGTAACCTACCCTATCACACTTTACAGTCTCCCGCGGGGAACCAGATCTACGATCCTGTTGAGTGATGATATCTCTCGTCGATTAGTTTTTCATAGCTTTCTAATCTCTCTCATACTTTTCATTCTCTCAAACTCAAACACTCGAAAGATCTTTACACTAGCTTTTAGCGTTAGTGCATTTTGTTAACAAACCAAATAGCTTTCAGCTACCTCAACCTATTCCTTTCACCATGAAGATGGCTCAAGGGAAGCATGCGTTCCGCAACTTCGAAAACCAGTTGCGTGACAAACCCATTCTTCGTCTCGTCGACAATGACGAAGAACAACAGATCGCGGATACTCGTGCCACCCATACTGCAAACTTCGAAACCATGTTGCAAAGCGCACATCAGAAGACTCTGACAATGAGGACAACTCCTCTATCATTTTCAATCACATCGATGGAGAAATCTCTATTTGAGGATTAGGCCAGGATGATGACTCACAGGAACCCTGTTCCGATTTCTCATACCAAAAGTGATGAAGATATCTCACTCACTAGTAAACAAGCAATTGTTTGCAAACGATGAACTCTACGGCAAATTAGATGATTGCCTAGAAGCTGCTCACTTAGACTCTGATGATCTATTTAGCATCGTTAACCTCAGCCGTGGCCAACCACCTCATAAAAGTCGCAAGACAAGAAAACTCAAACCCATCGTCTTTGTTTAGAATTTAACAGCGAGAAAAGGGAACCAAAACCCGTACACTCCGTTGCTTACTGGATACAGGAGCATCTGGACCCTTGATTGCTCAATACTCATGGCAAGAAATTACGCATGAAGGATCTTGGGGCGTCCTACGATGTGGACTACCCCTGCAGGAGAATTAACACCAGCACGAAGTGCAAAGGTGCATTCATGGTTCCTGAATTCCACGAAGAAGAATTATCGAGTGGACTTACACGTCACCCCAAGAGCTTGGGGGCGTAATACATGATCACAGTCGAGATATTCTCTCTGAATTAGGTTTCAAGGTCGATTTCACTACCATGTCAGTGGAATGGGACGGCGACTCTATTCCTATGAAAGATAGCGATACCAATGAAGAAGAAAAATTTTTCATTCCTGATCCTATCGCTGTTGATGACAGTGCAGAATGTCTCAAGAAGATTCTTGATACGAACAAGCTGACTTAAGGCAGGTTTGCCAAGTCAAGATCAGTTAACACGGAAGAGAAGGAACAGCCTCATTCCTTACTGACGAAGTACTGTGACCTATTCGATGGACTTTGGGATAGTTGAGAATGGACGACTACGAAGTAGAACTTCTCCTGATGCTAAACCCTAACACGCTAGGGCTTACCCTAATCCACTGGTCCCATAAAAACACTCTTAAGATGGATGTCGAACGTCTCTGCGAAGCAGGAGTACTCAGGAAAGTAAACCGTTCCGAATGGACGGCACCAACATTTAACATTCAAGAAAGATGGTTCTGTACGATTCATCTCTAATTTCCGGGAACTGAACAAAAGGATTAAGCGGAAGCCCTTATCCTATCCAAAAATACAGGACATCCTCTTGAATCTAGACGGATTCAAGTACGCTACTAGTCTATACCTGAACATGGGATACTATCAGATCGAGCTGTCACCTCACACGAAGCAACCTCTGTAATATCGTACTCCCGTGGGGAAGTACGAGTACCAGAGGTTGCCAATGGGACTATGTAATAGTCCCGACAGTCTTCCAAAGAAGAATGGGACACTAATGCACGACCTAGAATAAGTACGTGCATACATCTGATGATCTACTCATCCCTAACTAACGGCGATCTAACAGATCACGTTGAAAAAGTGGATGAAGTTCTCCGAAAACTTCGAGAAGCCGGACCTCCAAGATCAATTCTACCAAGTCCTTCTTCGGAAGAGGAGAACTTGAGTACCTAGGTTACTGGATCACTCGGGAAGGGATCCAAACTATAACCAAGATAGACGCGATCTAGAATATCGCTCCTCCTAGCAACAGGAAGGAACTCCGAAGATTCATTGGAATAGTGAAATACTATAGAGACATGT